ATATATTTTTGAGACCCCAAGGTGTGTATGGAACAACTTTATGTAATGATTATTGTGCGCTATGAACTCCCCTGTTGTATTTTCGGGAATAATTCGTTCCGTTAAGCCTTCCGTCAATCTTTTAGGACAAAGAATTTTATACATATTTTTAAATCGTTATGTATACCTCAAAAACGGTTACTCTTGTGAAAAAGTATTAAGGGTGCACCTAGTGTAATGGCCTAAAAAAGGTGATTTTTGGAAATTTTTATTAAAAAAATACTTTAGCAATTATTTCAAAATTTCAAGAATATATTTATACATGTTTCAAGAATATACAGTGAAATTTTTGAAGAAAAGGTCCTTCACTGCTTCAGTGATTTCGGCCTTCTCCGTGGATGAAATCTAAAAAAAAATTCTAAAATAAAAATATTTTCTGTACAATGACCTACGATAAAATAAAAATCAAAAATTGACCATATGGCGGCGTTTTAAAAAAAATAGTCGAAATTCATCCAAAATTTTGCCAAAATTCGATTTTTTGATTAGAACAAAAATCGATAGGTCATTGTACGGAGAACTATATATAGAACAAGTAAAAAAATTCGATAGTGATCGGATCATTTGTTTTTGAGTAATCACTGCAGCAAATTCGGAAAATGCTGTTTCGAGAAAAACGCGTTTAAAGAAAAAATGATCGTTTTCACTCGTAGCTAATGAGACTCTCTGCTCTTTAAATTGCTATAACTCAAAAACTATTTGAGATATCGGTTTGAAATTTTAATATGTTATTTTCAAAGGTGTAATCTACCAAAATATGAAAAGGATAGATTTTTTTGAAGTTTCACACTAGGTGTGCCCCTTAAGACATGGATAATTATCTGAACTACCAATTTTGTCTACTCTATTTAATTTTATAATAGGACTTGCCGCTGACAACAGCCAAAAACACGTTTGAACCCGAGTTAATTTTTTTCAGATTATGTCTTGAACGATCCTACCAATTTTGAGCTGATTGCGACTTACTGTAGCCTCAGATGTCGAAATTTTCGTTTAGCATCGAATTTTCACTTGAACAGAAATATGCTTTTAGTGCTGTGGCGAAAGGAAAATTTAATTCTTTGTTTTCATTCATAGTAATTTAACGTAAATTTTCAAATATTTTATCCTGAAAAAATATCACGGTTCCTTGAATGGAAAAATTTTCAGTTTGCAAAAGGCGATCGTTTCAAGGTTCAGACAGCAACAAATTAGATCTACTGGATGCGTGTCTCAAAATTTTTTTTGCTGCTGGCTAGTTCTATTAAGACTTTCTCGCAAGTGAGTTGCCGAACCACAGCTTTTTCGTACCTATTTTAAAGATAACTTATTTGCATAAACTTGTAACAGACCAAAAAATCCAAAATAACGCAACTCATGATACGTGCACTTATTTTAGGCTTATCTATAAAAATATTAAAATAGCAGTTTTTCGAAATAAGCAAGCTTAATATACATACATATTCTCGGAAGGCCAGGGTTTGAGCCCTGCTGTGGATACCATCATTTGTTGAAACAACATAAAGATCCAGAACCAGTCTTTGAACCGATTTGATAATAGCTGAATGTGATTAAGGCTGAAATATTGTTTTTGAAGTCGTAGCCGGTATTTTTATCAGTAACAGTCTTTTAATACTAGTAAATGTTAACCAAGGATGTCCAGAACATACTTGGAACACTTCTGCGGAACACTTCTTCAGCCTACTGAATGTCAATGAAAGCAGAACAACCGGAGATGGTGAACTCGAAACTTCTCATTATCCAATTGCATGCCTAAAGAACAACAAAATAAGCCGATGGCTTACCGAAGTGGAACCTAAATGTGCTCTGCCCGATCCATCAAAAGGGTTAACCCACAGTCTGCGTCAATTACCAGAGGTTTAGTCCATCGTCAGTAAACTGATTGGAACTTATCTATGTGTATTTAGACCTGTCAAATTCACTACTAACCAGATATTCATTATATGTCAAATCTACGACTAACCCCGGGGTGAATAAAACGCTTTTCATCGATTTCAGAGCTATCTTCGGCAACGCAATAAGCAGGTACTTCCACCCCGCCATGTCTGATTGGGTATATGTACATACCTGCAAAACTAATACGACTATGTAAACTGACGCTAGGCAATACCAAATGCTCTTTAAGGGTCGAGAAGAAGAGAATAATAAGAGCTATAGGGCTAAACATCGAACATACAAATATTTTACTGGTGTATGCTGCTGATATTAATATCATCGGCCTCAATAACCTCGCCGTGAGTTCTACTTTCTCCAGACTGGGTATGTAAGTGAAACGTGCGCGTCTGTTAGTAACTGAGGAGTAGACGAAATATCTCCTATTATGAAACAAACGGATGGCGCACTAGCATCTTTACTCCCACGTCCGCCATAACTTCGAGGTCGTAGATAACTTCGTCTATCTAGGAACCAACATTAACACCAATAACATGTCAGCCGTGAGACCAAGGGGCTCCTCTGAACTAAATAGGCAATTAAAAAGTAAAGTTCTATCTCCACGAATAAAAATCAAACTCTACAAATCCCTCATCAATCCCATCTTGCTAGGGAGCCTTCGAGGGAAAAGTTTTGCTAAAAATTTGTGATTCTTTGCGCATTAGCGTGAATGCCGCAGACGATGGAACGATGCACTGTACATTGACAGTGTTCAGGGAATAAAGAAGCAGCGGATATGATAAAAGCACTCCAGCTTTAAAAGTATTCGATGCAGTACCCGCTAGTGGAATCAGCCGAAGAGGAAGACCTCCACTCCGTTGGAAGGATCAGGTGGAGAGCGACCTGGCTTCACTTGGTTTTTCCAACTGGGTTTTTCCAACAGCGAAAAGAATAGATGAATGGCGCGCTATAATCGATTCGGCTATAATTTCATATCTTAAAGAAATTTTATTTTAATTTTTTTTTTTTGAGAAACGCATTCATGCATGGGTCTTGCTCTTCTACATAGTTTCAAAGGACAAGCTTTAATAACTTAATAAAACCACTTTATATTAATTTTGTAGCACATCTAATTACTCTCATACATATACTTACCAATGGATATCCACATGTATACGTAGGTAAACTCGTAGATGTGCGCTGATGAACATTCTCATATCTATATAGTTTACTTGGCCACTACTTTCATTGCGCGACGGGTGGCAAGTGAGTAAATAGTGATTGTCCGCCTGCAGGGATCGCCCACAAACGGTCTGTCAATTTACCGCAATTGCATTTTGTCAGTGCTTCGACACCTTGCCTGTGGAAGTGATACTTTCTCCACACTGACTTTGTCTGCAGGTGACATTGTATCTCACCATTGAACGTATTGTCTAACCATGTGAGTCCATCTCATTACTTAATTGCCCTTTGTTGCAAATCTATTGCGAATCCAATTCCACTAAACTTGAAGAAGCGCACGAATGAAAGAAGGTTCATATAACAATAAGTGTAACTCAGTGGCTGTTAACTTAATTACTATAAAATCTTGTGTTCACGAACAACAGTGCTGGCAGAAAAAAAGTTTCGTATGAGATTACTTTAACTTTTCTAGCACTAACAAATGAGGAAACTTAAATAGCATCAAGAAAGCATAGTAAACCCAGATTTTGAAAAGTTTTCGAAATTCACTCGAAAAATAATTCTAAATATTTCTGTGTGTTTCTTTACACACCTGTTTTCAATGAGGCAAAATTGTTTTTTGAGCTGGCCCGTTTGCCGGTTGTTAGTGTGTATAAAAGTTTGGTTTGGCATTTCATAATGAATAAACTTTTTCCAGATGTAAAATTCATTATTGGGTATATGCATTAATTCGTGAGGTTTTTTTTTCGAAATTTAAGACTTCATTGTAAAAAAATTTTAAACGTCTGGAAACGGTTGCTTGATTAACTCCTCATACTTTTGCAAGTTCTCCTTGCGTCTGGCATGCATCTGCGTCGAGAAATGTCTCCAATTCTTCGTCTTGAAATTTTTTTGGCTGTCCGTCGTCTAAGCTGAAATTGCCACTTTTAAACCGTGCAAACCACTCTTATCTCGTTCGTTCGGCTAAATCATGGTCGCCATAAATGTCCAGTAAAATACGATGGCTTTCGGTAGCAGTTTTCTTCATGTTAAAGTAATAAAGTAGAACTCCCCGTAAAAACACTTTATCTGGAACAAATTTCAACAAAGCGAGGCGAAACGACAGTACCTTTGAAATGAATTCAGCTACAGATGAACACAACGCAAAATAATACTAGTAGAGCCCTCTCTTGGTAAACCGCGAATGAGTCCATCGTGTGCAACATTTGGAGCCATCACCATTCTTGTAGTTGGTTTTGACAATTTTAACACGTTGTCCGGTTATTAAGCCATCAATTTTCTTAAATGCCTGAATTTTAACTAAAACCAAACATATTTGGTTTGACAGTTAATATTGACAGATGTTAAAACACAGCCTTATACCTTTGAAACTACGAAATGAATAACCCTACACTTAATTCGACGGAGTTCCTCCTAGTTCCTTATAGTGCGCGTTTTGATGTTTTCCCAACGAATGGAGTGACAAACAGTTTATAATAAGCCGCCTCCGTACGGCTGATGGCTTTTTATGAGAAGCTTTTATTTCAATTTATAAATATATTCCGAGAGTGCTGGCCGAATCATGAAAATGTGCCGAAAAAAGTCATAAATGAGTATTATAGACTGCAAATAACGTCTATGGCAAAGTGAATTCGGTGATGTAAACCTGCATCGAGTACTTTACGGTGGTAATGGCCTTGCAAAGTGGTTGGGTTGAAAGGCAAAACACATATTATTCCTAAGCACACATTTCACACCATTGGATTGTGTTGAATAACTAGGATTCCAAATTATAGAGCCATATTCCTGAACTTTGTACGAACTAACGAGCTTGGTTATTCAGATTATATTGCTTTGGTGAGGATGAGCTGACGGATCTGTAATTGGTAAGGGAAAAAAGATCCAAAATACATACTTCTGGTAACCCTATGGATGTAATGTCGTTTACGTCAGACTTCTTAAGGAGTCAACCAGTCTAATCTAACATAACTTGAAATTTTCGAACGCCACACAAAAAATCGCAGATATAGATACGAAGTAACCATTGAAACTCGCAAAGAGCGTTGGTAGGCGACCATCTGTGATGAGTTTTCTGAATCGGCTGCAGTATGAACTCGTGAAACGGTGCCGGTGATGGACGTCGTGCGATGCATCTGGAAAATTTTAATCAAATTTTTTCTCTTCTATATGAACTAAAAAAATAAACACGAGTTGGAAAATACCAAAAAAAAATCACTTCAAGTTGCAAAAAAATATAGTTTAAATAATCCTTTTGCCCAACTTTTTTAGTTCATATAGAAGATAATTTAATCCTGAGCCTAGATCACTTTAATTTTGTGATCGAACATACATACACGTATATTCTTTTTGCTTATCATCGACACCGCTTTCTGAGAATTGCAGTAGTGAAAACTCGAGAAAACGCGCTTTAAAGTCTGCCTGAGCATTTGAATCTGCTCGACGCTCGGCCACTCAAACTATACCCGCTTCCAAAATTTGTCGATTTGGCCACTGATATTTTGAAGAACATATTCTTGGATATAGATTTGAAAAAAAAAATTTTGGAGCGTCTGAAGCTTTAACACTCTCTAGCAGGCAAAGTCACATTATCTTTTATAAATATACATTCATACATACATATGATTTTACCTACGCGCAACAACTTCCTCATCATAACTCTTACTAACTTATCACAATTTCCTGCTGCGGATTGACTAACTTCCTCAATTATTTTCGTGTACACAATATTGATCCCAACCAATCGGTTGTAATTTTATGAACTTCCTTCAACGCTGTGGCAAATGAACGCCCCAACACGTTTTATTTACTACCATTCTATTTGCACTTACATACAAAATACTTATATACACATAGATATTTATTTTTAATACATATGCATATTTCTTTTTTAGACGAATTATGCTCCCAACGTTGGCATCTTGGAAAATTTGCAATTAGAGGATGTAGTCGAGAGTCAAACATTTGCAAGCAGGAATGATAATGCAATTGTGAGTGTGAGTAATGCTGCTGCTTCAATCGCTATTACACCAGCTCCTCTAACGACAACAAATATTCAGAACATGACAAAATCTACATACACTCATTCAAACAATAATAACAACAACATTAATAACAGAGATACAGTGACACGAAGAGAGGAGCAAGGAGAGTGCCTCGAATCGACACATTCACGAATGGAAGCCGAACAAAATGAAGAGTTGCCCAGCACCACGTACAAATCGCCCTGCTGTCTAGCGTTCCCTTTGCCGTCGGTGCCAATGCAGTCGTTGGCACCGACACTATCAATCACATCACCACTTCCAGCATCGGCGGCGACGAGCAATGGTATAATTGATAATAAAATTAGTATTAAATCTAAATATTATTATTTATGTTCGCTAAATGAGAGGGTTGTAGAGGGTGACCAGAACTAGGCTAATTAGGATATAATAGGGAGAGAAAAGTGATATGTGGAAAAAATCGTATATCTTGCTATTATAAAGTTCTTTACCGAACAAGGAAAATCAGTTACGACCATATTGAGTGCGATGTCATTGGTTTACAGCAACTCTTGTACGGGAAGAAGCATGGTGAGCATGTGGCACAGATAATTTAAACAAGGAAGGGAATCTCTGGAAGGCGACCCAAGGTGAAAATACGTCCTCGATGATGCTCGACTAAAGAAGAAACATCTCCCAGAAATCGTTGGAGTATCCAATACAACCGTTTCTAAAATAATTCACGATTATCTTGGCATGACTAAGGCCAGCGCACGATGAATACTCCGCAAAAAACAACAGTCGCGTTCTGTGTGCTGACGTAAGATGGGCTTCGATATTTTGATTATCGATGTAACCTGTTTTCAAAAATGAAAAAAGAACTGAGAGGCTAGAATGTATCACCGATTATGAAGTCCAGGGTGCAGATTCGGCGTATTTTTAAGATAAAAAAATTTTAGGGTATAAATTAATTAGTTTAAAGTCCTGAGTAATGTATCCGTCTGGCAGATAAGCATATTGAAAAGGAAAAAAAATGTTTCCCTTATCCCCCGTTCCGCAAACTCGTATATTTTTGCTGTTTAATAGTTTTTTTTTTAATCGAACTAACAAGTTTCAAAATAAAAAATATTTTGCACATATGAACAAAATAATTTCCAAAAATTAATAATAAAACTTTTTTGTTATGATCAATGTAGATTTGAACAGAGAGCATTGGTATGCACACGCCCATGTACACGCCCATCCGCATCCACATTCACATCCGCATCATCATCATCACCACCATCACCACCATCATCATCAGCAATTGAGCGAGGATTTAGTAGTGTATACACCGCCAGTTGTCTCGGCCGCCACATCCGCTTCGGTGACGCCGGCAGCGTCGACCAGCCCGACGTCGATTGGGAAATATGGACTCGATAGCTCCACCGATGGTTACCTTAGTTCCCGTGTGCATGCAACAACAACATCACCAACAGGCAAGTACACCAACCCGCATGCACATGCTTACTTACATACTTACAAGTATATAATATAAATAATTACATATGTATGTATGGGCGAGACTACCGCATGGATATGTTACAATTACTCCATTTAAAACAGTTAAATTTATTCCTCGACGAATATTCCCACACAATTTTTTAATAATTTATTTTAAAATTACATCAATATTAGTTTGCCATTTTATCTAACAAATTTATTTTCTTTGCTTTGTGTTTATCCTTTTTTCTTAACTTTATTTGTTTGATTTTTTTATTAATATGTGCTTAGAATTTGTTGATATTCACCGTTTTGTTTATTAGTTACATAAATATTTTTCCACCCCCCAAAACTTACTCAGCTCTTTAGCAACATTGCCACAAGCTATTTGTTGTTGTTGATGCCCTTAAAATTAAATGAATTTAAAAGCAAACAAAGATTTTCGCGTCGGTATTAAATATTTACTTATATAAATATGTATGTATGTTCGGTTAAGTAAATGATGAGAAAAGAGCAGATATTAATAATTAATATTTATGTACATACATATACTTGTACTGGCTACAATATATATTTAAAGCAAAAAATTGAGAAGGTGACCTTTGTTGCTACGACATTTGCCTTAACACCCTTTCTTGCAATTTTCCTGCAAACCAATTTGCATTCCCGAAACGTCGCTTTCTTCTTTAACATCCGATTGTTTTACAACAATATCCTTTAAGATGGCACTTCTATTAGTGTGAGAATGTCGGAATCGAGCACAAAAGGGATTAGGATTAGTTAGATTCAACAAAAACCAGACGTTCACAATGCACCAAAGTTTGGAAAATATCTTTGAGAAAAGCTTGGACACACTACATCTGTTTCGCAGCCTTGAAGATACCTTTAACAGGAGGTAATGGATAGCCACTACGTAGCTATGTCTAAATTTGTAATGGCTTATACGGCTGTGTAAACTGAAGCCCACTAACACCATTAGCTCCGTCGGAATTGCAAGGACTTCTCTGAACAAGGTTTCAAACTAAATTACTCTCTGTCTCTCTCTCTCTCTCTCTCTGTTTAATTCAATGTCGGCGAAAATCGGGTTGCAGGACTATGTAGAGAAGATACTGTGAGCAAAAAGTAACGTGAATTTTTAATTTGAGCTTCGCGCGTTTAATATTCCGGGTTAACTTTTTTTTAATGTTGGTGGCACTGTTATTGACATCTACGCCAAATTTCCTGTCAATGTCATCATTGGTATTTTAGTTACGCTTGTGTTTACTAAACGACTTAAAATACCTTCGTGGTTTTTGCCTCCCGAAAAAACATACAGCACTTCTTCGTCGTGACCATTTCGTTAAAAATTCCACGAATATCGTTCTCCAACTCCCGTATTCGCCGGACTTAGCACCATGTGACTTCTGGCTCTTCTCTCCAAAAAATCAAGAGACCACTTCGAGGACACCGTTTTCAGTCGATTGAGAAGATTAAATGTGAATCAGAGCGCTCTTTGAAGACCATGTCAAAACGTGACTATTTGACATGCTTCGATGCTTCGATACACTGACTTCAGCAAACCATTTGACAAGGTCTCTCATCCTTTACTGCACTTTAAACTCGATCATTTCAAGTTTCCACCTTCTCATCTCAAGTGGATCTCATCGTACGTGATTGGTAGAAAACAAAAAGTAATTTTTAAAAATTGTACATCACATGAAATAGCAGTTCCATCTGGTGTTCCTCAAGGCAGTCACCTCGGTCCCTTACTCTTCCTTATATTCATCAATGATCTTCCAAATGTTATTCTTCATTATAAAATCCTCATGTACGGAGATGATGTCAAGCTCCTTAAACAGTTCATTCTATTGAAGATAGAAAGCTTTTGCAACTTGACCTAAATAATTTACTTAGGTGGTGTGATGCGAACTGTATGTCTCTTAATTTAAATAGGTGCAAATATATGTGTTTCTCCAGAAAATCTTTATTAGTTTACCCATATGATACATAATCACAGTGTTGAACTAGTTACTGACTTCGTTGATTTAGGTGTCACAATGGACCCTAAGCTAGATTTTAGAAATCATATAAATGGTTGTGCTAATAAGGCAAAAGGAGTTTTAGCTTTCATTAAACGTTGGACTAAGGAATTCAAGGATCCATACTACATTACCAAATTACTCTTAACCTCACTTGTTAGGCCCATTTTGGAATATGGATCAGTTGCGTGGAGTCCGTACTATCAACTGTATAGTGATAAATTGGAATCTGTACAAAAGCAATCCCTATTATTCGCGTTAAGAAATTTAAACTGCGATGCGAACAAGAACCTGCCTTCTTACAAAAGTCGTTTACGGCTCATTAATCTGCCTACACTCCAAAGTCGTAGAAAGATGCCCTTTTCTAATTCGCGAGCTTAACTTTACCATCCCGTTAAGATCATCTAGACACTTTAGTCCCCTTTCATTGAGCTCGTGCAGAACAAACTTTGAAATGCACGACCCTTTTAGATCTGTATGTGACGATTTTAATACACATTTCCCCAACATTGATTCCTCTGACTCGCTTTTCTGTATCAAAATCTACTTACTGAGTGCTTTAAATAATTAAATAAATTCCCTCTTCTTTTCCCCATGCATTTTTATACCAGCTGAGGAACAAATCTCTAGCTTTTAGTGTAAGAGGCAAGTGTAACCACGACCTTCCGCGATCGGTTTCGGGTTCAAGGCAGCTCGGACTGTTACTGGTTTTCGGTCACCGGTCAGTTGGATTTTTCGATTTCTCTCAGACGTGCCCCTCGGTCGGTTGAGCGGGAGGTGGGTAACGCTGAGTTCGTCATAAGTGCATTGCATCGGCAGGGGACTATTTTGAAGGCGACGAAATCGATGTAGAAGAATAAATAAAGATTTTTAATTTTGCAACAAATGCACTTTAGTTTTTGCTCACAGTATATACTTTTACATATAATAATGCTGTCGCATACCATGATATTTTTGTCCTCACCAACCGCGATTTCAATTCTATTTTTCCCAGAAAGGATAAGTAAGCAAAGCAAATGACTCTGATAGTGAACGAAATTCAGACTAAAGATAACGTTATTTTGGGGCTCGATTAAGATCAGCCTCAGCCCATGGGATTTTTCGCCGAGGAAGCTGAATTTACCGAAGACTAATTTTTTGCTCAGATGCTCAAATTGATTTTCAGTTTTGTTTTTCACCGCATTTCGAAAAAATCAACCCCCTGGGCAGCGAAATATTTCCATTTAAGTTACTGGACATGCTAAGTACATGCCCTCAATGCAAATGCATAGTCCTCAGTGCATTTGTCATGGTCGTCATTAAAAGTGGGGCTAAATGTTGAATCCCAATTCAAGCACACAGCCTTGCAAGAAGATATAGATTTTTTATACATTGCCACTAAACTGATTGCCCGTCTCAGCCGCACCTCTGGTGAACAGACGATACAAAGAACCGAAGATATTGGAATGGCTCCACTGAAGCTCTCTCTTTTAGCTGAGCGTTAAGGCTCCATACGGGTTGGTTACTACATTTCGCAAATGATTTGTTCACGGTGCCCATAGTGTGCCACGAGGACACAAGAATAAGAATTGGGTACAACACGACAAATGTAGCTGCATAACCAAAAGCAGAACTGCACCCCATTCCACTGCAGAGAATTCCATTTAGAGGCTGGATCTGGGAAATCTTTGTATAGGATAAATACAGTTATATCAGGTGTACAACTTTGCTTCCACCGTTTTCCGATAGGTGGCTATACCGGCTGAGGCTGGTTGAAATACATAAATGATAATGCCTTTAAAGTGAGTGTGGACAGTGCCTAACGAATTGTCATCGCCGTTTCAGTGACAGTTGTTCTTGTTTTCGTATTATTCACGCTCGAAAATGTCCGCTTATGTGCCTAATTCTCACCATTTGCGGGAAGTTTTACTTTTCTGTTACAATTCGAAAAAAAATGGAGCTGAAGCGCATCGAATGCTCTCAGAAACTTACTGTAATGCTGCTCTGAGTGAAAGAAGGTGTCGAGAGTGGTTTCAACGAATATTCACGGTGCCAAGATTATGATTTGGTGGGATCAGCTCGGTGTGATTTACTACGAGCTCTTAAAACCGGGTGAAACCATCACAGGAGATTGCTACCGAACGCAACTGATGCGCCTTAGTCGTGCGACATGACAAAGTCATCCTCCAACACGACAATGCTCGGCCTCACGTCGCAAAAGGGGTCAAAAAGTACCTGGAAACGTTGAAATGGGAAGTCTTGCCCCACCCGCCGTATTCCCCAGATGTCGCCCCTTCTTTCTCCACCTATTCCGTTCGATGGCACACGGCCTGGCAGATCAACATTTTCAATCCTTCGAAGAATTGGAAAAATGGATTGCTTCATGGATATCATCAAAAGAGTACTCCTTTTTTCGAGTCGAGATCCAAAAATTGCCGGAAAGATGGGAGAAAGTTGTCGCTAGCGAAGGACAATACATTGAATAATATATCTGTAGGCACTTTTTCGCAATAAAGCTTTTAATTTTGGAAAAAAACGGCGGAAGCAAAGTTGTACACCTGACATTTCTTTTTCATCTAATATTTTTCGCATAGAACACCTGCCTCGGAGCTAGTGTGGTGTGTGAAGATATGAAAATTTGGCAATTTTTTTGCAAATGGATTGCAATGTACCCCGTAGCGTGGTAATCTTACTCAATTTTGTTGCACAATAGCCTCTTTATTACAGCAAACATTTTTTATTTGCTATGCTATTTGCTATTTATTTATAAGCGTTTATATGAGGAAAAAGAATAGTGAATGTAGTAGTCAAAATGTTGGTGTAAAAAACTAAGTAAGATGCCTCATCTGCGGTATAAGCTGTTTGTATGTATTTACCTATGTGTATATCAATATTTGTTGCATGCTTGTTTTCGTTCATAATATAACTTTTTCCAAGAGGTTAATGCTTTTTTATTTTTTGTTCATTTCTTAATCTTTAATGTCTCTTGCAGTCAGCAGCAAAGGAGTACGTCACGAAAGGACATCCTCAGCAACAGCATTTTTCGATATTCCCGCTGTGACACATCCTTATTGCTACAGGTAAATACAAATCATTTTAGCTAAGAAATGACTTAAGTGAAAGCCTGAACGTATTTAAGTGAAATGAGTGTTGCACACATGCATACCTACATAACAACCCTGCAGGGAGAAAGTACACTTCTAAACAAAAATGATTGTTAAATACCGTATTTTGAAGATGAAAGTAACGGAAATAATAACAATTATCACTACCGCTTGTTGTTGGCTGTCGCATTAGCCAAGTAGTTAGCATTGCATACCAACATTCGGAGGTCCAGAGTTATAGTCCTGGAATGAACAAACATCCAAAATTATAAAAACTTAGTTACGGTTGCTCTTCATAAAAAGCCAATGGTGATATGGTGGCGTCTTAGAATAAAGTGTAGATCCCTCCAATTGTGGGGAAAACTTCAAGCCGCACAACACAAAATGTAGGAGGAGGAGTGAGCGACTCAGTGGTTACAAAGCGCGAAAAGTATTTTCTTTTTCGTTTTTATTTTTGTTGAAGTAGAAATTCAATATGTCTAAATGAACTAGTATTAAGCTGATACATAGTCAGACAATGGACACTTCGCAGACTTCACCGTGTCGAAAATTCCCGTTGCTTATTTGAGAAATATATGGAGAATGAACTAGTCAGTGCTAAAATGTAAACTTGTGGGATTATAGTTAACAACTAGTATTTTTCCCTGCAGGGAAATAAAATATTTCTATTGAGGAAAGTCGATTACATCGGTGAGAGTAGAAAATACTTATTTTTATGTGTGCAATTTGTCTTTGGTTGGTGCTTAGCTATTTGTAGATACCATTTACGATTAAGATCAAAGTAACTGGCACAGCAAGTAGTTGAGCAAATAAGTTATTTTAATCATTATTTAAAGCTACCGCGAGAAATCGCGATAAGCTACATGGTTTCTTTTTTTTTGTTTTTTTTTTTTTTGAATTTCAACATTTTTCTATAATCATGTGCCTATATTGTTGTTCAATTTTTCACATTATTTGTTAATAATAAAATGTACTGTTGTTGTATTCTATTAAAAACGATGCCTTATCTGCCTCCTTCAAGATTCCCATCAACACCACCCGCGGGGATTCTTAAAAAGAACGACCAAGGTAAGAGCACAACAAATAGTAAATCGAATTCATACACATACAAACATACATATATAAATATATAAATATCTTCATTGTCATACCGCAACCAATATTGCATAATAATAATACGAAAATCAAGAAAATGAATAAAAGAAGAGAAAAACTTGTAAATGTAACAAAAGTAAGTCATCAGTAGACAGCTACGCAGGTGGCATACAACGGTGAACACTCCATTTATTTAAATTATATGCATATTGTAAAGGCATCAGGCATCAGACATCAGGCATAAAAATGTATCAAGCCTAACAACCACCTGTCATATCTACTGGTATTTATGCTTTGACGGTAAATGGCTTGTGCGATTATAATTCAATTTGTTTTTATTTAATTTGTATCTAATAAAAAATACGCGGCACGATTTACAAATGCAATGAGCCACAATAACAGCATTAGAAAATTTAAAGTATTTGTTTATAGAACAACAACCGCATAATCGCTAATCCAATTGACAATCGATATTGTTGACACATCCGTACGACATATGTATGTACATCAACCGAGTGGCAACATGACTCAAAATTTAAAACTTTTAGCAAGAAAGTTTTATTCTGCAGATTTTAATAAAGTTTTATTAGTGAATCATACTCATGCAGTGTCCAAGGAGGTCATCTGGTGACTGAGCCCCAAAGTATATTGAGTTTATGGACGGAAGAACACGTCTCCAGCCTATTGAATGACAGTGAAGGTGGAACATACGAATTCTCAATCGATGATGACGGAATAGCTATGCCATCATCCGGCTATAACGATGTTCAAATATCTATCGCTTGCCTTAAGAACAACAAAGCGGCGGAAACCAATGGTTTATCAGCTGAACTATTCAGTTATGAGTGGCGAAGAAGTGTCAGCTTCTTTGCAGAATATATTCGGATTTGTGCATGCCTGACGATTGGTATCTAAGTGTGCTCTGCCCAATCATCCTCCACAATAAGCGCTAATTATCATGGAATGATTCTCGCGTATATGGTCCTACCCAATATGTCTAAAGTCCACCATCAACCAACCGATTGGACCTTATTACTATGGCTTCAGTCTTGGTAAATCTACCTGATATTCAGCCTGCGCCAAAGCTGGAAAAGTACGTTGATTTTGATATACCTCAATACTTATATAGCCACATAAAATCGCGATGACGGACACCAAAAGCTCCGGCAGAATCGGGAGCAAAAGAGATTTCAGACAAGCTGACACTTTATCATGTGACTTCTTTGATTTAATACTGGAGAAAATAGCATGAGTTATGAAGCTAAGCGGAGACGCGTGTAACTGCTAGCGTACGCTGATGACATTGATACGGCGTTAACGAGAACAATCCAAAATATTATATTATCTCTCCTGTTATCAAACGAACAGTCAACGCACTTACTGCTTGATCCCTACGTCACCCTTGACAGTTATAACTGTGAGGTCGTAAATAACTTTTTTTTATGTCTGAGAACTAGTTGTAACACCAATAATATGTCAACCTTCAAATCCAACGCAGTATAACTTTTGACAATAGAATCTACAATACTTTGGACCGAGTAGCAATTAAAAAGTATAGTCCTCTCTGTCCTGCTATATAGTACAGGAGAGTAGACAATATCGATGTCGCAGATGATGAAACGATGTACATATGTAGTTCAGCAAGTAAAGATGCAGCGATTAGGCTGGCTAGGTCATGTGTTCCGAATGGCGTTTCAGCTTTGAAAATACTCGATGCGGTACCTGCAGACCACCACTTCGTTGGAAAGGTCATGTGGAGGTTGTCGAAAAGAAGAATCGATTTTGATGCCTACGCTAATTTCTTTTAACTAAAAATATATATTTCCTAAAACTGCTCTCATTTTTTTGCAATACATATTTGCCATTAACACATATATGTAAATGTGTATATATGTATGAAACTTTGCAATTAAAAGCCCGTAAAATTGAATATTGCTATTTTCCCTTAACTAACCGTGAAGCATCAGCAATCCTCATCACCTTTAACATCAACATTAGCACCCGTTTTGTTTTTTCAATGCCAACCTTCTTCAACCCTCTTTGCAGTACTAACTTAGTAAGTAGCAGAGTGTTTCCCTCCCCATGGGACTTGATCATAATATGGCTCTTCCATTCCAAAAGTTTTAATGTGCCACAAGTGCAGGCATAAATATCGATATTGTTGTTGCTGTTTTTATAAAACAGATTTTTGTTTTTTTGTTATAGAAAATTACGTTGCTGATGGATTATGCACGGCGAGCCAAGGTATCTTTTGAATTTTTAATAGACATTTGTAAACGAAATATATGTATGTATGTTCGCACATACGTGTATGTATGTGTAAATTGTTATTGTAATTAGCATTATGTCCAAACTCACCTTATGCTCAATGTTAATTTATAACATATCGAACATTTAAGAGTGCACATTAAATGGGTATTTTCATAACGGTTAAATGTTAAAAGGCAATTAGTGAGGTAAAAACACATTTGCAGGCAGATTTTAAAATTTGTCTAGACCTAAACAATGTATTCTTTTTACCAATAGAAGAAAATATAAAAGTTCTCTAGCATCAAAAGTCTGCTCGAAGATTGTACTTTTTATTCCAAAAGCATGGAATTGTTAATTGAAAAAAAGTTTTCAGACATAACCAAAAATGTTTCAAACTCAAATTTTTTCACAGATCAGTTTGCAGAATACAACTTTGCCGATATAAGAGTATTCTTTAATTAAGAATAGTTCCGAATATATAAGATTCGCTTAACAAGTTAGAGTAAGTTCCGAGCTGATCCTGCTGCTTTTGAAATTTTTGAAAAACAGCTAGGTTTTCCCTTTTCTCGATTTCTGTCTCATCATTCTGTATTACTCTACATAGGCCAAAGGTTGGTTCCTCATTTAGTGACGATATACTATCGGGTGCATTCTTCTGACCAGCTTCGAATTGATATAAACATTGAGCAGCAATCTCAAAAGTAATGGGTGAATCTTAAATCCATGGTAAACTATCAATAAGTATAATTCAATCTAACTGTTAACAAGTTTTTATATCATGAATTGTGACAATTAAATGCTGGAATACTCTCAATACGCACTTGAGGAGAGCACAAAACCACCTCCCCTATTACCTTCAAAAGAGTGCAAAAAGCTAATAATTAATTTACGAGGTGTGTTCAAAAAATATCGCAAATTTTGTGTGTTTTCAAAAAATATTTATTTATTCATGAATATTTATTTTGTCGCCTTCAAAGTAATCCCCATGAGCCAACGGTTTTTCCAATCTGCAAAGCACTTCAAATAATCATTTTTTTATTTTGTTCAGCTCCTCCTTCGATGCCGTCTTTATTTCGTTAATCGTGGCGTAACGTCGTCCTTTCATGGGCCTCTTCAGGAACAAGGAAAAGTCACAGGTTGTGTGTTGTTTTTTGCCAAAAAGTCGCGCACAAGCAACGATGTGTGAGCAAGGGCGTTATCGTGGTGCAAAAGCCAATTTTTGTTCTTCCACAAATCCGGGCGTTTCTGGCGGATTGCTTCGCGCAAATTGCGCATAACTTGCAGGTAATATTCCTTATTGGCCGTTCTACCCTGTGGCAAGAACTCATGATGCACCACGACCCTGCAATTAATTTTTTCGTCTGTTGTTGAAGTGCTCGGGCGTCCAGCACGCTCTTCGTCGTTCACATCTTCTCGGCCTTCTGAGAGCATTTTGTACCACCGATAAACGTTGCTTCGATCCAAAGTAGCTTCTCCGTATGCCACAGTCAACATTCGGAATGCATCCGCGCACTTAATTTCGTTTTTCACACAAAATTTGATTCATGTTCTTCAATTAATTTTTTTGAATAGGTAAGAATCGAAGACCATCCAAAACACGTGCAAGCAAAGCAGCTGTCAACAATTAAGTGAACATTCAAAATGGCCGAAATTGTCAGCGTAGGCGACAGACATGGGTAACAACATAACGCCACGTAACCCGCGAAAATTTATTTTTGAAAACACCTCGTACAAGGAGGGTATTTAGCAGACGCTGTACAAAATTGTTAATGACAATGGGAAAATGATTATAGGTCTTTTATTTGATTGTTCTTCTCTAAATAAAAACATTTTAAACATGTTAAAGCTGCCTCTTTAAACAAATTAATGTGACCTTGCCCGAAAAAGGTGATTCTATTGTTAAAAAAGGTTTGAGGCTCCGCTAAAAAGGCTGTATGACGTAGAGACGCTTAGTCCCTCAACAACACGCTGAGAGCGTGAGCAACGAAATCTCTAGCGACGAGTTCAGTTCCTGACTAATATTGAGACTGCCGTAATGCTATAGCGTTTTCCAGGACGAAAACTTTAGCGGCAAGGAGTTCGGCTAAGCCAATCAACCCTGCAGGGAATAGCTTGAAATATATAATATGTATGAACCAATACATTAATAGCAAGCCAATAGTTATAGGACATCAAATTATGTCATTGGCGGCTGCAATAGCCGAGTGGTTCGCATTGTGGACTGACATTCTAATTGCGGTCGCCCCGCTGCATGAATATCAAGTCCTACGAGTATATTTCTGACATGAAAGAAAAGCTCCTCATAAAAATCCATCGGCTGTTCAGAGGCGGCTTAGAAAGAACTGTATGATCCTCCATTTGTTGGTGAAAACATCAAGACACACGACACACATTGGTGAGGGAGCTCGGCCGAAAATCGCTTCAGCGGTTAGAAAGCTCCAGTTTTATATGTATGACGGTGAAGGGTAAATATATAAAGAACACCAAGAACGTGGACAAAGAGAGCAAGGGAAAATACATCCAAATTGCAGGAACTATAGCGAGGCGTTAGAACACATTCTCTGTTCCTATGCAGAAAACATTACAGTAGGCGCTAAAAAGGACCAACAGGTCTACACTCGTATATGGCGTGCCAGCCGCTTAGCATAATCTAACTTAACCTAATGTTGGTCCAACTGATCTAAGTGAAATCTAACAGAGAATCTGGGTGCGGAGTTTACGAGCCTTTAGTCGTCTGCATGTTCACAATGAGCCTTAATCTTGCCTGTTTAATACAGCCGAATTTGTGGTTTGAAAGCAAGGCGCTGTCATTAACAAATAATACTGTATTAGTTTTGGGTCACACCTGTACATTTTTAAAACAGATAAGCACACACATATATATTGGATGAGTGCATAAGTTCGTGCCCGATTCCGCTGGATGCCGTTCGAATCCGTGAAAGAAATATATACATATTATATATCGTTGGAAAGGTAACAGTCCGAACTGTAAATCAAGCATAAAATAACTTCATTTTGATTTGAGTTGCTTAGTGAAAAGACGCATGGAATATGGACAACGAAAAAGATCATATGCGTCATATTATTTTCTTGCTTCGACGGATCAAAAACGAACCTTTTTTGGATCGGCTCGTGACTGGTGATGAAAAATGGATCCTGTACAACAATGTTAAACGCAAAAGAACATGGAAACAGGCACATGAAGGGGCGGAACCGATGTCGAAAGGTGGATTGCATCCGATGAAGGTACTGCTGTGCATTTGGTGGGATATCCGAGGCGTGATCTATTTTGAGCTCTTGCCCAGCTGGAGAAACGATCACTGCCAACAATTATTGTCAGCAATTGGTCGAATTGAAGAAAGCAATTGATGAAAAACGTCCGATTTTGGCCAATTGCAAAGGAGTTCTTTTCCATCATGACAACGCCAGGTCACATGTTGCAAAACCGCCCCGGCCAAACTGAAGGAGATGAATTGGGAAATCATGCCGCATCCCCCATATTCACCCGATATTGCACCTTCTGATTATCATTTGTTTCGATCGCTGCAGAACAATTTGAATGGAAAACAATTTAAAAATGTGGAAGACGTCAAAAACCACCTTGACACCTTTTTCTACGAGAAACCGCGCGATTTCTATGAATCAGGCATCCGTAAATTGGTTGAACGTTAGGAGTGGATTGCCGAACATGATGGCGAATACATAATTGATTAATAAACGCGCTTTCTTCAAAAAATTTCAATTTTAGTGTGCACTTGAAATCGGGCACGAACTTATGCACTCATCAATACATATATACATAACTAAAAATTTTCATTGAATATCAAATTTCCAATTTTACAGAACCAACACTGTCGTTTTGCAACAACCCAACAACTGCTGCAAGCACAAATATGGTACCTATGAGTCATCATTACCACAGCACTAAAGTGGAGCATCCCGATTCGACTACAACACATTTAAGTGGTCATTCTCATCAGCAATTGGCACATCATCATCCAACTCATATGCATATACAGCCACATCCTCATACGCATCCCGCAAGTCAACAGCCACTACCCACGCATACACACACACATCCACCCAGCCATCCTCACGTACACTCTAGTATATTACATCAACCGCACCCCAGTAGCCACTTATCCACCCACGCATCCGCTTTCAAATTCGGTCATGGAGCCATCATATCAACCGGTGCTACAAGCATGTATCATCAACATCCTTATAGTACAAGCAATAGCAACTCCTATGGTCTACGTACAAGCGGCTCACTCTCACCTACGCTCACATTGCCATCAACAAGCTCGGCAGATGTTGATCTAAAATACGACAGTCCCTATAATTCCACCATATCATCCACCTACGCACTGCGGCCAGTCACAGTGGATTCGACTACCGTTTCCTCTACCGATGGTGACATGAAATACGATAGCCTCTATAACAATGCCATTTCGACCAGTCAAACAGTGTCTCAACGACGCGGCTCGTTGCAGTTGTGGCAATTCTTAGTGGCTCTACTCGACGAACCCACGACGAGGTAAGCTCAGTTAGTAGTGACATTAAGTTAAAACTTATTCATTTTAAGGAATTTTTAAACAATTAGCTCAAGTTGTATAGCTTGGACTGGACGTGGCATGGAGTTCAAGCTTATTGAACCCGAAGAGGTGGCGCGTCGTTGGGGCTTACAAAAGAATAGACCAGCCATGAATTACGACAAATTATCCCGAAGTTTACGTTACTACTATGAGAAGGGTATTATGCAGAAGGTAAATGGGGAACGGTATGTATATCGATTTGTTTGCGATCCAGAAGCACTTTTTAACATGGCTTACGGGCATTTGGCGAGCGGGACAAGCAGTGCATCCAACACAGCTAAGAGTGACCATCACACGCATATCTTATCTACGGCAGCAGCGGCGGCAGCGGCAGCAGCAACATTATCCGCAACGAAAATCTTATCGGAACCGAATGATCACAATGGTAACTTGTTGAGCAGAAATGAATTATCAATTAATGACGACCACACGTTGGATCACAGCGGTGGGGAAAGGGAAAGGAGTCTCGTGACTCAGTTGAACGCTGCTAATGTGAGAGCCAATAGCGAAAGTCTCTTCTACACCAGTCCCATTCACAAATACTAACAGCCCAATATGTATTAAGAAAATATGTGCTCTGTATGTGTGTATGATGTGTAATGTATGTACAATAATTAGCTGAATGTTTGGCATGTTTATGACTAGCAATAAATAAAACAAGATAGTCTTTGCGGGAATGTTCCCGAGTACGATAGACAGATTTTATTTATCTCAAATATTATATTCGAAGGATGTTGCACATATAAATAACTGAAAAACTTGTACGTATGCATGTATATACATATGTATATAGTTTTGAGATATGTAAGCATACGGAGGTGTGTATGTATCTGGATTCTGATTTATTACAATTTTCAATTTGTGCTTTCATACTTATTTGACGCTTATAAAATTGCATAAGTACAAAAGAATTAGTCATTTACATTTACATGATTTTGAAACTTTTTCACTAACACTACTACTCTGTCTTCTTCTTCTTTTCGGGTGTCTCACCATTATCATCCCCATCATCTTCGCTATCATCTCCCTCAGAGCTGGAGCTATCACTATGCTCTATTTTACGTTTTTCAGCCTTTTTCTTTGAGATCTTCTCCACATATGCCTTCACCTTATCTGGCTGTGGACTGTATGCCCAGTGTATGAGTTGCAAATGAATTTCCGTTGGTGCCCCACTTTCGGCATCGAACAATTTCGCCTCCTCAGCTTTAAGTTTTTCCATTATTTTTGCAATATTTCGATTACGTATAATATCCCATGACGTCGAATCGTCAGCTTCGGGATACATGGTGCGTAAGTGTTTATAATTGCCTTTGGCTTTGAATCCACCATAGGCCTTGACAAATTCTGCAGCCAACTCATCTTCCGCCTCAGGTAGTTGTTCGATAATAGAATATGCGAGATAGGCACGGTTATTTTTAATTAGATTTTCTGTCTCAAACTTTTCCAAGAAATCCTCTAATATCTTAACACCTTCTTGTATGGATTTAATTTTATCTTCGTTTTTGGTACCGGAGAGTACACGTTTTGAACTGCCAATTAAACCTCTGATTGCCAATTTTTGATAATCTGGATCACGACCTTCGAGTATCCTGAAAGAGAAGAAAAAAAATTCTTTTTACTTTTGAATTCGAAAAAATTATATCTCAGCATAATGCTACAAACAAAGAAAGATGCTAGGGTGCTCTGAAGTGGTAGATCGCTGCCAGAAAAATCCCTTACAGAAAATCATTGGAGCGAACACAACATCTCGGTGAATCTACACAACAGGTATGCCGAGAGCGAGGCCAACGCCTACATTGTAAAGGTAAAATCAACAGTGTCGAGTGAACTTTCTACAAGAACCTTCGCGCATAGTTCGATAATCAGCTGCCGGTTGGACAAAATACACCACAAGCCCACACGCTTTATCAGGGAAAGAAGATTCCAAGTCACGTTTTGCATCATCTACTTGGAGAGATCAAGTATGGAAGACGAGGAGGGCGCCACACGCATACTGGAAAACGTAGTAGTTGATGAAATTGCCAAAAGTGCCAAAACGCAAAACGGTTTACCGAATGGATCACGCTGAGATGGAATGCTTTAACGACAAACAGGATCACCAAGGTCATGTGCAAGAGCATCAGTTTTTTTTTTCTTGAAAGAAAGGAAGGCCTAATGACACAACGTACCAATTCACACGCGACCCGAATGAGCTTCAGTAACGATGATACTTGCAGGAAGTGCTCTGCAGAAGGCATGAATGAGACACTGGATATCTCATCAGCTTCTGTCCGATCTGATCTATAACTCGTCGTAGATATCTAAGGGCATCGCAGCTCGAAGGATTAGATGAAGTACCAAAATAAGAAAGAAAAAATTGTAAAAGCATTGATGTCTTATATGACGACTACTTCAGCTCGATCAGTATTTCAAAGGCTAATATAACCAAACCTAACCTAATGCTTTGAAATATATATATAATTGTCGCTTTTTAACTGCTGAAGCGATTTTTGGCCGAGCTTCTCCTTAATTTTAATTTGTGGTTTGTGCGTCTTGATATTCTTTCCAATAAACTGAGGGACCTACAGTTCATACTAAACCGCCTGCGAACATCTGATGGTCTTATATGAGAAGCCTTTAATTTATGGCAAAAATACACTTGGAGGGGTTGACATTCCCTGCCGAGGGGCGACCGCAGTTAAAAGCTTAATTCTCATTTTAATTAATTTTTTTTATAACTTTTTGAGGGTCTATTAATTAGGGAAGTAAAAGTGAAATAAATATAATAAATTTCGAAAAATATTTAAAAAATAATCACTATTTTATTTACTTATTATTAGTGTTTCTATAGCAGTTCATATATTTAAATAAATAAATTTCCCCTGCCGTATTGTCCTAGGAGGGGGCTTTATAGTTCTCCCGACTACATTAAATATCAGTATCAGATAGTAAAAATACAGGCATCTTTCTAGGTAGTAAGCGGGAGTAATATTCAAAAGACAATATTTTTTATGTAATTTCATTCTATCCTAATGAACATATAATCCCTTTATTATTCGATTGAGCTGTATTTGTATTAACACCTAATTGCTAAGAGGTAGATCATAATCCGATTTGTCATTACTTAGTTTTTTAGCAATAAACATAAGTAGTAAGTATATATGCATTCTATTTTATGCTCTCATATAGACAAATTTTTTAGCTTCCCACGTGCTTATCGGCACATATGCTAATTCGCAAAACTTACTAAATAAACGACCTTCGCTGCTAAATGAATATTATTTATGAAAATACATATACATATGTGTATATAAAACACTACATAATAATAAATATAATATAATATACGCTTCAGAATTGTTTTTAGGTACGAAAGCATTTAATTCGGCAGATGACTCTTAATGATAAATATGTACGTGTATATAGATGACATGCCTACATATTTACATATGTAGAAAAATATGTCCGTTGGCTATGGTAAAATTGTGATATTAAAAAAAAGTGAATAAATCATATGTGTATTAGCGTTCCAAAATAAACTATGCTATCATAATAAGCATATATAAGTATGTAACCACAACAGTATGTATTCAGGTATGTGCTTAAAGAAAGAGCAGTAAATTAGTAAATTTTATGCAGCTATGACCAACTTATATATAATATTTATTGTCAATATTTGTAGGGATTGCGCAAAAATCACATAGTAATATTTCGGGCCTGATATGATCATATCTCTCTCATCATGTAGCCCTACGTTGCCTCTTCTGATTCTTCGAATTACATTCTCTCTCCTGGTTACGTTCCTATATATATATATATAATTGGCGCTTTATAACCGCTCAAGCGACTTTCGCCCGAGCTCCTCCTACAACTTGTGGTTTTGCGTCTTGACGATTTTCCAACATCAACTACATGGACCTACAGTTTATATTACTAAGCCGCCTCCGAACGGCTGATGGTTTTTTATGTGGAGTTTTCTATTTCATATCATAAATACACTCGGAGGGATTGACATTACCTGCCGAGGGGCGACCACAATTGGAAAAATTAGTTTTCTATAATTTTGAATGTTGGTCGAATTAGGGCTCAAACCTGGACCGTCCGTTACATGGTACGCACTTAAACTAACACCATTTTCTTCTTGGCTTATGAACGCTCGCTTAGGCAACATGCATACTCGCAGTTCAATTCATTACGTCGTTTTCATTTGCCTTCCACAATTCCCATTGCTTTTAATAGAGCAGCGCATAAGCGCTGTTCGAAATGCAATTAGTAATCAGCTCGGTAGGAGTTCCTGCTTAGCTGATAAAAAAACACTTAAATTCAACTATTACAATAATATTAATTAGAGTATATTTTTGCATATGTACCGTAAATTTAAAAGCAGTAATTGCCTATGTATCCAATGTTTGTTTGTTGTGGCGCTCGGTAATAGAGTACGACATGGCGTGTACGTAATCTTTTTTCCGCACACCTCCAGGAAATATTATATGTAGGGACTTCGGAAGGTTAATTGTTGTTTTCCCCAAATTATTACAATGCATAAAATCCATAATTGGCGCATTGTAAGCGGTGAGGAGATATTCGGCCGAACTTCTTCTTCAATTTGTCTTGAAGTTTTCCTAACAAATGGAGAGACCTACAGTTTTTTCGAAGCCTTTCGGATGTTGGTCGTACCTGGACTCAAACTAGGGGCTTTGGAATGGTAATATGCAATGCTAACCACTGCTGGAAACTATTGCCATTATTATTATTCACTGACATTGAAAAACATAAATTCACTTTAAAAAACTAGAAACTACAGCTTTATACAAATAATCCCTGCAGGGAGATGGTAGACAAGTATGCAAACATTTTAGTTAAATACCAGTAATTAACAGATAAAATCATAACAGTTGGTTCACAAGTAACGGGAGTAATAATAATAACCATCGTTACGTTCGGTTGAAGTTCGAAAAATTACTTCACGATATCATCGTCTCGATAGCCGAATGGTTAGAAGTTATCGCTGTCGAGCGCTAACTTTCTAACATATATATGTATATACATATTTAGATAAGTATTGCTTAGAAATCATTCATTTATTTCAAAACTTATTCATTCTTATGAATTAATGCGCATGTACGGGCTAATGAATGTATGCAGTGCACAACCCAATGAGAAAAAATGGCCCAACGTTTTTTTTGAAATTTTTGTGGTTTTGAATAACTTGAGCAGTAAATTTTAAAGACAAAAGTTCTGGGAGAAAAGTGCAAATTTTCTTGTATTTTAAGCCTTCTAGGCATTTTTTTTTTAAAGAAAAAACCTAAAACTTAAAAAAAAATTAAATTACATTGTGTCAACAAATGATCATATTTTGGACCTTCCCTCACATAATGTGGCCCTACGATAGTTCAGCGATAAAAATAAATGTCATTTGTCATTTCCAATTTAATTTTTTCATTCAAAAATTTACATTGTAGGAGTATATACATATACGAGTATATAAATTTTAGTGAATTGGCCACAACTAAAATTAACAGACGAATAAATCTAGGTATATATGCATAATTGGCGTTTTATAACCGTTGAAGCTATTTTCGGCCGAGATGCTCTTCTAATTTTTGGTTTGTCTCTTGATGTTTTCAACAAAAGGAGAGGCATGCAGTTTATACCAACCCGCCTCCGAACGGCCAATGGATTTTTGTGAGGAGCTTTTATTTTCTCATTATTTTTTAAAATTTTTGATGTTAATCAGACCAGCGATCGAACGCTGACTTCCATATGGCAGTACGTAATGCTAACCAATCGAATGTGAAGAACGCCGGTCATTAGCCAACACTCTGACAATAGTTAGTTATCGATAAAAGCTACGACAATACCAAAACTTTTGTCAAGACATCGTCGTATTCTATCAACGAAGCCAACCAAAATAGAGGAATAATCAAGAGCTGATAGAACTAAGCAAAAATGTGTGTTTGCGTAGAATGCTCTTTTTTTCAATTAACAAATTTTCCTATAGGGAACGTCTACACGATGATTGTATTTATTTTGATGATCTCAGTGAGAGAGAAACAACGCGGCGATGTCAACATCGTGTTTTAGTAAGCTTATGTACGTATGTTTATGCATATAAATACTAGATATATATGTATAAACAAATAATCTATGAATATATGTACAAACAATACAAAATATATGTACATTTGTTATGTATGCTATACGCTTTTGTAGTTCACTTCATAAAAAGCGTCATTAAATCGAAATTAACGATTTGAATCAATAATTAATATAATATACTTACATACAGACACTACTATTGCATTTGTAAACGGTTAATTTTGAGTTTGTGTATATATGTACACGCAAAAATATGAGTTTTGAATGACAATTAAACACTTTAAATTACCTCAAGGTGGCTTCCGCCGCTTCTTTGTCCTTAAATCCTAGGCCAGGTACTGTTTCGACTTTGTCTTCTTTATCGGTTTTGGCATTCTTATTGGCAGCACCACCACCATTCTCTTCCAGCCACTTCTCGAAAACACCGATTGCTGAATTGATATTTTTAAGCTTTTCCTCGGACTTCGTCACTGTTGGGTTAATGGGTTAATATTAATAAAAGGATTCTTTTAAATATACATTTGTATGTATCATAAAAATATAGGTCAATTTGGACATATGTATAAACACACAAAGCGTTAACATTAAATATCTAAAGAAGTACATAAATACGTGCGCGCATATTTCCGACTTAGATGTGTGTACATAAATGTTTGTACTCACTGGTAAGGACACGTTTGGCGCGTCCTAGTAATCCTCGTACTGTCAATTTCCTGTATTGCATATCATGACTTTCTAACAACTGCAAAGTCTCCTCCGCCTTCTCCTTGTCCTTGAAACCGAATTTCGACTCACCGTTCGCTGCGTCGGACATTTTTGTGCAATGTTTTATTTAAATATACTAACGGATATGTATCGGTTTGTATGTAGGTTTGTAATAATTCTTTTTTTATTTATATATATATTTCAAATTATTCACCAAATATGTTTTCTATTTATTGCATATATAATCTGTGAACTTTATAAACAACACTGAATTGAGAAGACCGTTCCACACGATACGCAATGCACAACTAATAACAAGCGAATGTCTAACGCATTTGTAGAACCTGAAAATATTTGAAACTGTCGAATATTTTTTCGCTTCTGCTTGCTGTGTAAGCTTTTGTATAAAAAGGTACCAAAAACGGTGTGGTGGGGACAACGGGGTGATGGTAAGGTAGCTATTCGGAAATGTGTATGCATAGCGCTCACATCATCCAGTTCGGGCGACAAATTCACTTACATACATACAGACAAACATATATATATATATATATGTACATATGAAAATATTCAGTATAGTATTTTATAATTTTTTTTTCTCAGCCATACATATGCAAATGTGTATATATGTATGTATGTACATATAAATATAAATGAATATCAAGCATTTCAAAGAGAGTCATAAGAAGAAGCCGGTTCTTTGAACAAATTGTTGTTACAGTCACATGAAAATATACACATATATATATTACCTACTGTACAAAAGAATAAAGAAATAAATTTTCAAGAGCTCTATGGGGCAACTGAGTGGACTGAAGGTGAAAAAAAAAACATTAGATAAGCTCGGCAATATAAACATGATGTCATATGGCACAAAGAGGCAAAACGGATAAAATTTTATGTATATAAACCTTTGCAAAGAATTTGAAGAATCAAAACAGAAAACTAATAATGAGCTACATACGAATACATGGATACAGACATAAGCACCTACATTTATATGTATGTATGTATATGTTTTCAAGTATACAATTGTAGATTTGCGCAAATATATATAATAGAGTACTTATGTATTTACCATTTACCAAAAAATTTAAAGAAATGCGTATTAGGGTAATCTATTTTAGACTTCCATGGGCGACTCTCGATACAGACTGTTGATCGAGCCTTCCGTTTCACAACCTCATTTACCGTAACACAACGAAATGAAGGGGTCTAGAGTTTAATCAGCCACCTCCGAACGGCCTTTGGATTTTTATTAGGAGCTTTTATTTCATGACACTCGGATGCATGTGCCGAAAAAAAGGAAAGATACCGATATGCGTGAGTTCAAAGAGCTTATGGAGCTAGCCGACAAGTGTAATGCTTCAAAAGTTCTATGAAAAGATACTACGACTTACAGAAAGTTTCAAAACCAGAACAGACCCTTGTAGAACCCAGCGCGGTGACCTAGTGAATTTATGGAGGGAACACTTCTCCAGCCTGCTGAATTATAGTGAAAATGAATCACACGGATATGGTTTACCCGAAATCCCAATCTATGACGAAGGAAAAGACATTCACAAACACAACAAAGGGGATGGAGCTAATGACCTACCGGCAGAGATATTCAAACATGGCGGTGAAGACCTGGCAAGGTGCATGCGTCAGCTACTTTGCAGAATATGGACGGACGAAAGAATGCCCGATGATTGGAAGTTAAATATGCTCTGCCCAATCCATAAAAAAGTGAACCCCACAGTCTGCGCCAATATCGCATATAATGCCCTTTCGATTTTAGTATTGCGTGAAGGACCAAAACACACCATAAACAAAGTGATTGGAACCAGTGTGGATTTAGAACTAGTAAATTAACAATTGACCAGATATTCCCTACCACCCAATCTTGGTAAAACAAACGTGAAAAGAGGATCGACACACTCCACCACATTGTTAATTTTAAAGCGGAATTCGACAGCACGAATCGGAGCTGCCTTTACCAGCTATATCTGAATTTGGTATAGCCGCAAAACTTGTACGGCTATGTAAACTGACCTTTAGGAACACTAAAAGCTTCGTCAGAATCGGGAAGGACGTCTCCGAGCCGTTCGATACCAAACGAGGCTTCAGACAGAGTGATTCCTTGTCGTGTTACTTCTTTTATTTATAGCTGGAGAAAATAATACGATCTTCAGAGCTGTAAAGAAAAGGTACAATCTTGAATGTTGTCATTATTGGCCTCAACAACCGTGCCGTTGTTTTCCGTTTCTCAAAACTTGATAAAGAAGCGAAGCGAGTGGGTGTGATAGTTAATGAGATCAAGACGAAATACCTTCTGTTATCAAACAAAGTCACTCGGCTCCCCCATCATTGTTGCCGGTCATAACTTTGAAGTCGTAGATAACTTCGTCTATCTAGGAACCAATATTAGCGTCAACAACAATTTCAGCCGGGAAATCAAACGCAGAATCACTCTTGTCAACAGGTACTACTTTAGACTTAGTAGGCAATTGAAAAGTAAGGTCCTCTCTCGACAAACCAAAACCAAAATTTGCTTATCGTTCCCATCATGTTATATGCTTCAAGGTATTGACAGTTCTGGTAGTTGCTTGGCGAAGTCCACGTAAGTAAAGTAAATTATGGTAACAAAATGGGTGTCATTCTGACCCAAAGTGATATCGATGCATGGTGCTTCCAATTCGCGAAAGATTTCAATCGTGAAATAATTTATCGGTTATGCCTTAAAAATTTTCGTAAAATTTCACATAAAAAAATTAAATATATAGGGAAATTAAGTTGATTACATATTTTATTGTTTTACAGAGTCATACAAATGTATGTATGTATATTAGTAGCTTTATGATTATCGATTAGGCAGGCATGTCTGCATATCTGCATAATGCATATTTATGTTAATATGAATACAACGTTTTCATATACTATTGTGTAATAATGAAAGATACAAATCTTGTAAAGTGGTTGTCAAATTTAAGTTCTTGTATAACTAACCACCATTAAAATTCTAAATATCTAAAAATTAAAAATGTTTTTTCTTTTTTTTTTTTTTGTTGAGTCGTAAAAACCGTAAGATCTTCTGTTTGCTGCTATTTGCAAATATGTATGCCATGTTATTACGTCTTTTCAAAACAAAAATTTAATAATAATCATTTCTGGGATACTTTGCATAAAATCCCGTCGTTCAACATTTAATTTTAAATTAAAACTGTAGTCACTAAATCATTAAGAACTCAACCTACCACCTAAGGCCTTAAAAAGACATTCGAAAATAAGGTTTCCCTCGCATGTAAAAAAGCATATATATATATAATATTAGTAGCAGCTGCGATGAATTTGTAGTGCATCGTCCATCATAAAATTACGTAAATGACATAATGCTGTCACAGCATCTTCTGTGGTACCACCGGCATATTTACCCAACCAATTGGAAGGTAAAGTGATGCCCGGCCTGACAGTCACATCTGCCACTGTTGCCTTCTTCAATCCAGCTTTCCAGGTGGGCTTCTGCGATGGTCCTGAAGTATTTTGCAAACTTTCAATGTATTTAATGTACGACTCGGAGTGAAGTACGCGTTGAGGCCTTGGTGGCACTGTTACAAACATTGGCTCAGGTGGTGGTCCCACAGCTTGTATTGGATTCTGTGATGGTGCACCATTATCGCCATTATTACCGTTGGCACATCGAGGCGACATACCCGATTGTGGAGCTTGATGGGATTGTACATTTATTTGCACGCCTTGCGAGGGTTTTTGATTTTTTCTGTGCACGAAATTCTTACTGCGTTCATTTGGAAGAATAACTTTTCCACCCTTGTTTAAGTGTACCTCTCTGACATGCTTAATGAGACGCAACAATGTTGGAAATGCTTGCATATTTTTTTTCATACGAATACAACCGCGCCATAAGCAAGTGAATTCAGTATCGTTGCCCTGCATAGCGGTACGTTGGACGTGACCACTGCTATCTTGTATGCAATGCTCCATGCAGTCTACACTGTCCTCGAATTGATAGTCGCATTTATCCCATAGACATTCAAATATATGACCGTTTCCTTGCTCACTTGGGCCCGGACTACCACTTGCACCACCCCCAGCAAAGTTTAAGCTTTCATCTATTTCTCGACGTGCAGCTGACTCCTCGTTTAGTCGTGATGCGCGGTCTTCCCAACTTTGTTTTACACTAGCCGGCAAGTTCTTCCATTCAGTACCGACCATACGTGAAATATCGCCAAATGAGGCTTCGGGATTACTTTGACTAATACCTAGTAAACAATTATTTCGTCAAAAGGCAAAAAAAAGATTAACATGAATAATTTTTATGTAATTAATATGTATTATAAACTCACCTTTGCGAACCTCACTCGAATAAAGAATATAACCAGTAAGACTCTTTTTAGAAGTTTTGTTTTTTATTTTCGACGATATGGGTGTAGAAGACACCGAAGGTGCTGGCGACGATATTGCAGCTACATCTGAATTCACTGAAGGGGGATTACCATCTAATGAATCTTCAAGCAAACATAAGTTTTCTTGACCTTCGGAACCCTTGATCTCCTTAATAGGCTTTATAGGTGTTTTGAAATGGAAAATCTCATCCTGAGTTACCTCACAACTGTATTGAAATTTACGTAAGCCGCCGAGTGTATTAAGTTTACGTAGGGATTTCCTCAATTCATCATAAATTGACTCACAAATGTAGACATCACTTTCTGGTATCTCCGTCGGTCGACAACTAATATATTCATTACATTCCAATACTGCACAACGACCAACAATGGCTATAAGTGGACTAACATCTTCAACGGTTGATAGTAAAAGTTCTTGCCGATAGAATTGCTTATTTGATGGAGATACTATCTCGCTTGGTGTTAAGAGCCAAGGACCTTTAAAATATGATTTGCTTGAGTTTTCCCATATTTGATGAATTTGCGCAATGGACTGTTTTCCACTTTGCGTAGCTACATATACAAAGTCGCCAACTTTAACTGCACCACTGCAAATAGTGTTATATTGCTGATAGTAGACACTATTAGGCTCAACATTTGTCGGTGGGGCATCGCACACTACATTAGGTTTTTCCTTCTCTACTAATGTCTCCTGCAATTTAAGCTCCTCCAATTCTCCTTTGTGCTTTTCAATGCGTTCTTTAAAAACGGACATGACTCTACGCAACTCCAAGGGTTCCTCCCGGGGTATAAAACGCACAGGATCGTTTACACGTACGAAGGGCCATATTTTGAATTTCTTGAAGCAGCGTGCTCGGCTATTATACTTTGATTCGCAAACAAAAACATCTTTATCAGCAAAACCTTCTGGACGCATTTTTATATAATCTTTAATATGCATTATGTAGCACTTCCCAAGCACTTTATCCATTGGGATTGTTTGAGAAACACTACTCTTGAATACTTCCATTTCAAGAAACTTACGTGTAGCCACATGGTACGTTTCATGTGGACGTAAGAATACGGAGCCATGCATCCACTTTACATTATCTGCAGCAGTCCAAAGACGTTCAATATATGCAATGCTGGGTATTTTGTTTTCTGGTAGCTGAAAGTATACAAAATCTCCTGGAGAAAATACCTTTTGATTGATAGTCATACTTTCTCCTTGCATCGCAGCGGTATCTAAATCGTCTTTATCCTCTTGGTCTTGATCTTCTTGCGCTAGTTTTTGTTGGCGCATCGCCTCTACTTCGGCTAATAAATTTTCCACAGTGTAGAGAAGAGCAGGGGAGCTAAATGTATCTCTGCACATCTCGTCTCTTTTTTTAATAAAGAAGGTTTGTAGCTCAATTGAATCCTGGAAAACATCTGAGTCTGTACGAGATAAACGACGTGCGCGTTCAAGGCATGAAAACACATCTTCTTGAAATACGTCTAATCGCTTATATGCAAGCTTATCCAAACGCCGTTTTATTAAGTCTAAGGAAATTCCTCGTATTTTACTCAATTTGCCGCTGCCATCAGGAAGCTCATCATATTCAGGCACTTCAGCCAAAGAGTCAGAATAACATCTACCTGCTTCGTCTTGATGATTGTATAGCTGCGTAAACAAACTGAGCAATAATTCTTGTACAGCAAGTGCTATATCTGGTGTTGAAGATTGTTCACTCCTCAAGCTCTGTTTTAATTGCAAAGTCAGTTGTTGCAGCACAAGCGCATCTTTGTATATCTGCGAATCTGGTTCATTATATTTACAAGCATTCTCAAGCATTAAGAGGAAGTCTGCACCCAACTCATCTACGCTCTCATAGCTACCTTGCTTCAATTTCTGTGCTATACGCTCCATATCAATCGGTTCTTTTATAATATCATAATAATCTGGGTACTCACTCTTCGATGGTAATTTCGTGAATATTAATGATAATTGTCGTTTTCCTTTTGGCTCCTGATATTCTCGCAATGTCTCATAAAACTGCCACATTTTATCAACGACTGCAGTTTTCCTGCGACCACCAGTTTTGGTCAATTTTTGCAATGGTTTCTTAATATCAGCTAAGCCAGGAAATTCTTTTAGTTTTTCATTTAATGCTTTTTCCAAATTATTGGCATCTTCATATATGGTAGAGCCTTCCTCGTTATACTGTCTACAATTAGAAAACATTAGACGGTAATCAGATACTACATCTTCCACCGTGGCATATTTATCACAGCGGATATTATGATCAATCGTATTCATATCAATTGGATTTTGTATTATGTCATAGTAGTCCGGATAAATTTTTCTTGGAGGTTTCTCCATGAACAATTCAATTGGTCTGCGATTACTTATTGTAAAATCAACCAAGTATTTTTGAATACTCAATATTTTCTTTTTTATAGCTGCATTTATTGGAATCCTGCTAGACTTTGGTGAATTGCTTGTGGGCGTATTAGATACGCTTGTACTATTGGAATTAATACGTGGGCGTCCTTTCTTCTTTTCTCGTGGCGCACCACTATTATTCATTGTATCCTCCAAATCTCCATCTATATCGCCGTCGTCCTCCATATCGCTAGTTTCCGGTTCTAAGGACTCTTCTACTAATTTCATATTCATTATTTTTAACATCTTTACAGCGTCTCTGTGTGTCCGATGTGTCGGAGGAAATGCCTTTTTTGCATTATCTAACATTAGACAAAGGTCAGCTGTAAGATCACTTATATTGGCATAGTCTCCTTTTTTTAGTTTGGTGTTTATTTGAGACATTGAGATTGGTCGTTTAATAAGTTCGAAATACTCAGGATGAAAACGTCGAACTGGCAATTTCCATAAAGAAGTACCCAAAGGAGGTCCCGTTGCGCCAGGGTGCTCAGAAGATCCAGGGGCATTATATAAGTGATCAAAAAGTGCCCACATTGGCCCTTCACCTTTTTTGCTTGTTTCTTCATCATCGGAACTATCAACATCTTCTTTCATAGCTGAGAAGAAAAAAATTTCCTACATTGTATATTTTAAGATTCATTTTATTTTAGGCATAGAACTTACCTGATATTGCCGCACTTGAAAGATTTTTTATACGACGTGACGGTTTTACCTTACCACTCTCAATATCTATACGCCTTTGCGTAAATAACCGCTTGAGGGCTTTTGCGTCTTTATATATTTGAGAACCCGGCTCGTTGAATTGGCAAGCATTTTTGGTCATCTGTAACAGATCCCTTTCCATTTCAACTAAGCTCGAATAAGCATTCATTTGAATTTTAGTTGCAATTAATCTTAAATCTATTGGATGCTCAATAACGTCGTAGTAATCGGGATACATTTTTTTGGAAGGCAGTAGAAGAAACATGCGGTGAAGCGGTCGATCGTTCATGCTCGAGTCCACTGTTGTCATTACTGCAGCAAAAAGTTCTTCATAAGGATTAAAATCATCGTCAATTCGTGTACTGTCGCCTTCTAGTTCAGCAGAACCGTTATTACTAGTCGATCCAGTCAACCGCCTGGGATTGCGACATAGACGTTTTACCTTCGGTTCATCTTCTATTATACCATTAGAATCTAAGATTCTATGTTTATTAGCCAGTATGTGTTGCCAAAGTGCATTAGCATCCTGATGCTCTACTGTGTCTGGCTTGTAGAATGCTTTAGCATTCTTGACAAGCAGCTCAAAATCTTGCATCAAATCATCGACATCATCATAAGAATCTGTTTTAAGTTTTTGTTGAATTTTTAATAAATCAATAGGATTGGTAACTATGTCATAATAAGAAGGTTCCTGTCGTCTTTTTGGCGCACGGATAAATGTATCGCACAATGTAGCGCCATCTTCTTTTTTAATGCTTCGTATTGAATCGTACAGCTGCTGGCACAATTCACTTGGATCAGGCCGGCGTTTCTTACGCACAGATGTTTGCAAAACTGGAGATTGTTCCGGTGTAGAATCATCCATTTGCAAAGGATCTTCATCTTGCTTGCTAGAAATAGAGCTAGCTCGTCTTTTACGACTCAACATTTTTTAAATTAAATAAAACACAAAAACACAATAAGCAATATGTAATGCCAAAGAAAATTTGTAAACGCTTGTTTTTTGCATTCAGCACGTTGTCAAAATGTAAAGGTATTGCCAGAGGTAAGTTTCGAATATCTTATCGAAAAATAATCTTGACTCTATTATCGTTTTTCAGTTTTCGGTATAAAGTTATATATTCGCGAAGTGTAGGATAACTGAATAGTGGGTCGGACACGAGTATCGAAAGTTCGTTATAGAAAATATTCAAATTGGATCCGCTGAAGCGATTTTCGGCCGAGCTCATCCTCCATTTTATGGTTTTGCGTCTTGATGTTATTCCCACAAATGGGGGGACCTACAGTTTATACTAAGCTGCCTCCGAACGGCTTATGGTTTTTTTTATTTTTTGTTATTTCCTGCCGAGAAGCGACCGCAATTGAAAAATTATCATAATTTATTATTTAAATCAATTTTTTTAACTTTTTGGATTTAGTTCGTCATCAGGACTTGAGCCCGGATCTTCCGAATGGCCGTACGCAATGCCAACCAATCAGCTATCTCGGCCGAGCTAGTAAGCTGTGTGTATCCACAGAGGATAATCTGTCTGAAAATAAAAGGGAATATCAAATACTCCCAATGCATTTGATGTGTCGGTATTCAAGGCAGCTCGAGCTCGTTGTCTGCGATAGGTGGTGGCTTTTTTTTCTTAGCACGCCATTCACAAGAAGGGAGTCCTTGAAGGTATTGACTGACTCCTGAGGTGTGCAAGTGATGCTCCGATGACATCACGAGGTTTCCTGCCGCAGTCCTGAGGGCAGTGTTCTGACAGGCCTATAACTTCTTCACCTTCGTCTCGTTCGTCCCCGGCGCCCAGATCGGTGCAACGTAGTTTACGACCGGCCGTCCAATTACATTACATGTTGCTGCCAGCTAGCGGTTTGAGTATTTTGTTGCTGCTCTGGAGTTTTGCTGGAGAAGTGCAGGCTGTCGAATGTGACTCCCAGTATCTTGGGGTAATGTATAGTCAGAATTTTTACGTCACCGACCTTCACATCTTATTCGAGCCTGTAATGCTTCGTCCAGCTGGTGAAGAGGGTAGCTAAGGATTTTGTCGGTTGTATCTTAAGCTATCTTGCAGTGAATAAGTGGGACAGGTCGGCTAGATAGTTCACCTTCGAGCAAAGGTCAGCAATATCCTGACCAGACGCCAATACCGTGCAATCATCGACATACCAAGTTAGGGAAACTCCCTCTGGTGGAGGATTGAGTTTCGAAATATAGAATTCAAACAGTAGTGGGGAGAGGATACCATCCTCTGATGTTTGATGATCTATCGAACAGAATTGCTGGCGCTGTGATTTCAAATTTGAGGTACTCATTTGAAAGATGTAATGGGTATATATTTTCATTTCTCTCATCACTCCATTGACATTTCGTTTTTTAACCTTCTATATTCTTGTATACATTAATAGTTCGTTTTTATATCCATTCGTAATTTTTTTGGCCATAATTTACCGCATTTTTATAGTACTATTATAAACAATTTAATAAATTAATAAGCAGGTTTTAACAAGAAACTTAGTTCCTTTCGAATCGGCTATTAGAATTATGTAAATTCAACAAGACGAGAAAGCTACAGCTATGTGAAAAAACGAAAATTTTTTTGGTTGGGCGTAGGAGAAGTGCTAATGCAATTTAGATTGGTAGAGGACCGAGAAGAAAAACAGTACTTCAGACAAAGTGGTTGGAAATCCTGAGGAAACTGCTGCGATTAATTCTGACATAAAATGTTTAACGATGTGCACCTTGCACGCGTTAGTAAAATTCAACGCAGTGCAGATGCAACCAAGTCAAGTGCCGAGACTAAATCTACCAGTCGACGTTTTGCTTGTCGCAATTCGAAGGAGATGCATTTAGCAAATAATGTCACTGAGTTGGTATTCGTAGGTGGTCACTCTCCAAGAACTGGTGATATGGCTGTTGGACATGAAATTGAATCGCCTGATCACACTCAACGCGACAACAATGAAAGTGATAACAACATCAGCTCCTGTTCCACGCTAGATATTGGAAAGGTAAAAGGATAATATATAAAATTTATTTAGTGATAAAGATAAAGGAAAGCAAAAGTTTGAAGGTAGGTTACTTGTTTTCTTTATTGCTATTGACATATTACTGCGCAAGTGCGCTTATGATGGGCCGATTATTTACATTGAAACAAAATAAAAAATCTACAAGGTCAGTGCGGAGGGTAAAGTGGAGTGTTAAGAAAACTGTTTTGAATTACGTACAAGTTACGGGTTTTATTTATCTGAAAATAAATGGCAAAATATGAAAACTGCAAATAATTTATTCTTAATTCAAATCGTATTAAATTACTATGATCATGGAAAATTGGCCTCCGCTTTCAAGGAGTCTAAGTTGTCTCTGTTGCAGCGAAATGCAGCAACGTCGTCAACAACAACATCAGTTTAATGAAAATATTGTACCAACTGAATGGGAGTACGCGATGATATCACAGCCGCTACCACGTCATAGATTCAATGTGGGACAAAAGAATAACAGCCTCCTTTATAAAGAACTTCCTTTCATTTAATTGATAACCTTTTGTCTTTTAGGTGGAAAACTTATCCCTTCAACAGTTGGAAGCTCAAGTGGGAGACTTAGTGTTACGCCTTCAAAAATCTGAGCACCAACGGGCTGACCTGCAACAAAAATTAGAAGAATGCAACGGTGAAAAAGAATTATGCCTTAGGCGTTTAGAGGTTGTTAGTACAGCACATGAATGTCGGATAACAGAAATGCATTGCGTCATAGCAGAGTTAAGTAAAAAGCTGCGAGCCAAACAGGAAACAGTCATTCTAGAAGAACATGAACCAGATGACAGTGGTAAAATAATACTAATTAGGGCTTTAGTGCGTATAAATTAAAAAACATTTTTCAGAGCTAAGCTATCAAGAAGATGTTTCTGTATATAACTCTGAGCTAAATCTGACGAATCCCGATGCTGAATGTCAAACTGATTTAGTTGAAAGCGGTGCTGAACAATCGATCTGTAAGAGCACGAGCACTGGCGACAATGTACAATGTGTAGATTTAGCAGAACAACATAGAATTTTCGATCCCGTTAGTAAAGGACAGTTGGAGGTAGCAATATCAATATGTATTATTTCATATAAAATTTTAAATAATGTTTTTTTTTCATGAAAGGCTCTTCAAGAGGAGGTTCTTCATTTAAAAGCACAAATCGCTCTGCTACAGTCGGAAATAGCGAATAACGAAATCGCCACATGCGAACAGAAGCACAGCACTGATCAACTCCAGACAACAACATTGAGTGAAGACCAAAATACTGATTGCGAACGCGAAGGAATGACACAATCAGGTAATGATAACTAATTAAATTTCATATTTTTGAGGAAACATTGTATTAAGTGCCTGCTTTGCAGACTTCGTAACACCTCAAAAGGCTTATGAGTTGCTCTCAACTGCACACGTAACACCACCTGTAGCGAAAATTGCTGAGCGAGTTAAACTAAAATGTGGGAGTAAGGCAGATATACCGAATGCTAACAAAGTAAGTAAAAAGAGTATTAGCTACATATATATACAGTGAATCTAGAACTAATTTATTTATTTTGGAAGGATAACATGGTTGAAGACTTGGACTTAGATTCTAAGCAGCATGGCAATGCTATCGCAAATAGTTATATGGAATTATCAGAAATGGACACAGAACTACAGCGACTGCAACGCAAAATAGAACACTTGAAAATGCGGAACACGATTCTTTCACTTACGCTAGATGAATGTAAAGAACATTGTGAACACTTGTACTTACTATGCGGCAAATATGAATCTAATGCGATAGCTCTACAAACAGCCGTTAATTGTAGTGATAGGGCAATCGAAGCGTACGATGTTATGCTGGCGCTCTTAGAGAGCAAGTATGTTCGAAATTACGTATAAATGCAAACAAATTCAAATAGTCTATATTTATTCTTTAGATTAGCGTTGATGTCGGAGAAATCACCCAATGCTGAAGAAAGCAGACGAGCTGTAGAGTCAGTTGCGCGGCATCTTCTGGATCGGTTGGAAAGTGAAAAGAATATTTGCGAGAATAGTTTGGGTCCTTGGCAATCAACGTAATACATATAAATATGTGATTTACTATCGTTGTTTTTTCATATGCCCATATTATTTCAGTTTCAGCATACCGGATAAAGTTTGCGCACCATGGACAACGGATGATGACAACCGATTACGCTATCATGTTTCTAAATTGAAAGGGCGTCGTTCGACTGTACAAAATACAATAGTCAATCTGGAATCACCATTTAGCGATTTGTATGAAAAATCACGTATTGCTATCGAAAGTGGAAAAGGAAGTACTGAAAAGGAGAATAATACGCAGATTGATCTCGAAATAGCCGTTATGATGCAAGAATTATTAAATTTGCGTGAAGAGAATATTACACTTAAATCAAAGATTGAATCGACAGAAGCAGAGAAACGAATTGCTAACGAACGCATCAGCTCACTTGAAGAGGCCTTGCAGCAATTACAGCTACAGTTGCAGTTACAATTACAAATTACTACAGATGCCAGCAGTGCTCTTTTTCACCGCGAACGGATTGCAGAAAATCGTATTTCCTACTCGGAGTCCGAACATGTAGCCCTTACGGAACAACAATTAGTCGAAGCATTAACGAGAGAATCCGAGCTTAAAAGTCGTATACAAACTCTAATAGCATCCGTTACCGCTTCACAACTTAATGCTGACGAGCGACACGTCCAATTACAGAATAATATTCAGGAATTGCAGAAATCAAATTTGTAAGGGTTTAATACATATACAACAGATTTATAGACATAAACATAAAACGTTTTAATATTACTTTTTTCCCCCGCTAAAAGAAATCTTACTCAACTCTTGGAACAGAACAAACGCAGATATCAAGCACGAGTGCGAAGATTAGAGCAGAAGATTGTAGAAATATCATTTGGTTTGGACAAAAAAGATATTGGAGAAAAATGTAATGTGGGTAATACTGGAATGTCCTTCGAAAATTTCACTAAATGTACTACGGCACAGCAGCAGCCTCAACAACGTTTAAAATCAAAAAACTCAGTAGAACTACCACAGTCGTTTGAGTCACAACTAAAAATACAAGAGATCGTGCCTGAGACTACTCTCTAGAATAATAGATAAATAATAGAAGAACATTGTTCACAGCAAGAAATATATTTATGTTGATTCTCCTATAATTGTAGCCTACCATATGCCAAATTGAATCTTACATTTTCTAATTAATTTTATCTATTCGAGTGTGCCATTTATCAATTTATTTACCGCTTGGCTTAGCTAATCGGGCGCCTTTGTGCCAGAATGCAATACAAAATATATATATATATCATAGTACATTAATTACACTTACAACTTTCTGCTTCAATTATATAGCAAATATTTAGGTATCATACTTAACTCATATATCCTCATAAGTATACCTACCTATATTTATATATTAGTACATACATGCATAAATACGTATTCGTAAATACATATGTTATTTTAATTACACATTCGCTTGTTATAGTTACTAATGTACAAAACGCGCTGGAATAAAATACTTAAATTAACGGAAAGCATGTTTTATCGATGGTGACTTGAAATAAACTTTAGGTTCCTCCATTTGTATGAAAAACATCATGCCGTGTACCACAATTCTACGAGGAGCTGCGCCAAAGAGCGCTTTAACGGTTATAAAGCGCCTGTTAATTTATGTGCTTATACGTACAGAATATAGTTAATAGTATTTGTTAGTAAAAGCATTTACAATTTATTTTTATTTTCTGAAATGCATAATTTTTGTAAGGCGAAAATATTTGTTAAAATTTTTTTTTCCAATTCGTTTCGGATTAGGACAAATCCGGGCGAATAATTTTTTTTCAACTTCGTGCTCAATTTTATTTCAAACGCATAATTAGTATGCCAAAACATTTTACACGATTTTAGGATCTATAATTAGTTCTAAGTCGACTAAAAATGAATGAACGTTTGATTTATGACGAGCTCCGGTTTATCGCTGAGTTCACTCGACGCCTGCAGGGGTGTTTCACCAAAAATTTGAAATACAATTGGAAGTCCTTCGGTATTTCCGGCGAACGTATCTTTTCGTATGGGTCCTAATGGCAGAGCAATAGGTTTCACAACCACAAATCCAGAGGGAGTGGATCTTCGCCATATCCAAGTAAGAATAAAACAGTCTAATTAAAAAAAAAATTTTATAAAAAAAATGCCTTTAATCATCATAAAACACATTTCTATTAATGATAAGGTATAACTTTCATTTAAAAATCTCTCTCACTACCAAAAGAAACCCGTTTTTTACATTTTTCCCTAGGTGCGCCAACTAAATCCTTTTAAACAAAATTAAACTTACAAATTCCATGCTTCACATTGAATTTTTTTATTTACATTCCATTTTTAACAGATATTTATTTCCGTTCACTAGCACTCATACACTTCAATAATTTCGTAATATTTAATTTTAATTCATTACTTTTTAATTGTAACATTTGCATTTATACAAAATTTCGTTTAAGACTTCAAATATAGATGTCACCACGAAAGTTAAACTAGCAGAACTGTCAAAAAAATTTGCAACTAGCAGCGGCATCTAGACTTTCGAACTAACATGATTTCTCCGCCATCTTGTGCTTCCGCCCAAGTGCTGTCTTTTTCTGTCCCCTGTTGTTTGGTGGAGGACGTTTTCGCTAAAACGGCGGAATTTCACGCGATTTTAATAAAAGTTAGAGAATAAAAATGGTGAGTTTTTGTTCAAAAATGTGTGCTGTGTAGTTTCAATTGAAATGTGTGTGCAAACTTGCTAGAACACATTAATAATAGCAAAAAAAAATGATATGAATGTGTAGCACACGTGTTTAGATGTGGCAATAGAACGCCGCACAATGTGTGACTTTTCAAATTGTGAAATTTTAATCGCATTTATTTTTCATAAATTTGTAATTTGATTTAGAGTTTAGCCAACGCAAGGCCTTTGGTCTCTGTCTATTCAGACAAAAATGAGCAAGTTAAGGACAAGAACATCTGCTTGCCCGCAGTGTTCAAAGCCCCCATTCGGCCAGATATTGTAAACGAAGTTCACCAGCTAGTTCGCCGTAACAATCGGCAACCTTATGCCGTTAGTGAGCAAGCAGGTATGTAAAGATTTGTTTTGATAATACTCATTATCCTCAATAAAATAGCAATTAATAATTGTAGGTCACCAGACATCTGCTGAATCTTGGGGTACTGGTCGTGCTGTCGCTCGTATTCCTCGTGTACGTGGTGGTGGTACTCATCGTTCTGGTCAGGGTGCTTTCGGTAACATGTGTCGTGGTGGTCGTATGTTTGCCCCAACTAAAACTTTCCGTCGCTGGCACCGCAAGGTAAATGTCAACCAACGCCGTTATGCTATCGTTTCGGCTATTGCTGCATCCGGAGTTCCAGCTCTCGTCCAATCTAAGGGTCACATCATTGATGGAGTTTCGGAATTCCCCTTAGTCGTGTCCGATGACGTGCAGAAGTTGCAAAAAACCAAGCAAGCTGTCGTATTCCTTAGACGCATGAAGATCTGGGCTGATATCCAAAAGGTAATTTTAAGTTGTTAATTTTTTTTCCAATTTGGCAGTATTGTATTCCAAGCTAATACAAATGAAACCTTATATTTGTATTTACTGGAATTTTATATTAAAGAAATGCTGCTAGAGAAAAGTCTTTTCATAGGCGTTCCGCTGAGGGGCATTCGATGCCTTTCGGTTGGGGTATTTGAAAAGTACATCATAAAAAATTAAATATATATTTTATTTTAGTAATAAATTTTTCTTTTTTGCTTTTTGTAGGTATACAAGTCGCAGCGTTTCCGTGCTGGTCGTGGTACAATGCGTGATCGTCGTCGTATCGCTCGTCGTGGTCCTTTGGTCGTTTACTACAAAGATGAAGGTTTGCGTCGTGCCTTCCGTAACATCCCCGGCATTGAGACAATGAACGTTGACAAAATGAATTTGTTGAAATTGGCACCAGGTGGTCATGTTGGACGTTTCGTCATCTGGACTGAATCAGCTTTCGCACGTTTGAACGAATTGTTCGGCTCATGGAAAACACCATCAACCTTAAAGAAGGGCTACAATTTGCCACAACCAAAAATGGCCAACACTGACTTGTCCCGTTTGTTGAAATCGGAAGAAATTCGCAAAGTGTTGCGCGATCCACGTAAGAAGGTATTCCGTCGTGTCCGCCGTCTTAATCCATTGTCCAATGTGCGTCAATTGATCAAATTGAATCCATACGCTGAGGTATTGAGACGTCGTGCAGCGTTAGCTGCTGAAAAGCGCACCATTGCCAAGACAGTGGCTGCTGCCAAGAAGAAGAACGTTGAATTGGCAAAATCACACTTTGCTGCAGTGGCAACAAAAGCGCAAGCCAACCGCACAAAAATGCTTCAAAAAATTTTGGCTGAACGTAAGAAGAAGGCAGCCACCAAGAAAGCTGCTGCTAAAAAACCAGCCCCAGCTAAGAAGTAAATTGGATGGTTCCATAGTTATGCTTTTCTCTATTTGTAATAGAAGAGTAGTTACAAGAGTTCTATTCATAATATAAAATACTTTATAAAAAAATCAAGAGTACTGTTATTATTTAAGATAATATATACATCCAGGAGTTTTATAAATATATTGCACTTAAATTTATTTAGTGGTAGAGATACAATTTGAAGACCTGTTGAAACAAATTTTAAAAGGTAAACATTCTCAGTTGCCGATATTTTAGTTGTACATCTTCATTTTTTCCTATAAGTGGGGAAATATCTTGAAGCTTAAGCTTCCGTTGCACGTTTAATGCATTTTCGTAAGAAGCCATTATTTTCGCGTCATAGGTACACTCGAGGTGTCGAAACTCGCTGTCGACGAGCTAATGCTTTTAAGAAAAAATACTTGTAGCATATTTCTAGGCTGTATAAATTATTTAAGATCAAGAACCTGATGACAAAGCATAATTAAAATACATTAACTGTGCACGAATATGATTTAAAAAATATGGATATCATATATGCATTCATATAAATACATATATCATAATCTTTCAGGTAATCTAAAAGGGTCAGCACTAATACATATTTCAAGTTTGACGTTTTGAGGATATATTACTTAAAATGTAATAAGTCCTATGATTTGCTAAAATCAGCCATTACGACCCGTACTAATATACAGTACTTATAAGAATTTTCTTTAAATATAAATGATATGGATCTTAGGGCGATGGGCTCATCGTTTGTTATCACGTTGTGCTATACTCCTCACTGTTCTCCCATTTTTTCGCTAGTGATTAGCGCTGAGTGCAAAGCTTTTCGCGCTCACAATCATGTAGCGAGGAGGAAAGGTCGGCGTAACGCCAATTGAGATTTAATTAAAATACAGAAAATCGAGTGACACTTTCAACATAATCACAGTCGCCAACACTTCTCCGGCGTGGATAGTTGCAGAAATAATAGCTTGTCTTCACTTTGACAGCATTTGTCGTATATCGTTTATATTTACTTGTACTACAGTTGTCGTTTTTAAATTATAGTTCATTTTTAATCACTACTATTGTTCCGCGGCATCATAAGTGATATATGTACATATATATACATTTATATGGGTATAAGTGTAATAGGAATGATATATGAACTTCTGTGAACAATAATAATAAACGAATAAAGCGATTGTCTGGCTAACTGGTGGATTGTCAGTTAATAATACATGCATATGTATGTATGTACATATTTATGCATCCACATAAATATATGTATATACATATACATGATCTATATATATGTATATCGTGCTTGTGTGCAAATACTTTGTACTAGTGAAACCCTCGTATGATACTTTTCCAGTGGTAGCATCACAATACGTCACAGATCATTCGTCGCCCGCTCAGCATCAGCCGTTCGCCACCTTATCAATGAAATAGACTATAGCGACGCAGTTACTAAAAAAAAAAAACATTCAATTGTTAAATATGATCGTTTTTATATTGTGTGCATATGAATATGTACACAGAAGTAAATATGTCTTTAATTAGAGCGATCGTGTGATTTTGCTATAAAAAAAACGAGTAAAGAAGACAAAAAAATCCAAGCACTAGCTATATATAAACTGATAGAAGTGAATTAAAACAGAAGCAAAATAAAATAAATAAAAGCATCAGCTTAAGCAGTTGGACTAAAATGATAACTTCAGTGCTAAACTTTGTACAAGGTGCCGTGGAGATGTCCACCATCGGTTGTGTTGAGTTGGCTTCGGTGGTTCTCATCGTATACTATATCTACGCCAAAACAAGGTAATTCAGTCAACTTGAGTCAATTTGAGCGCTATGTCACGTCAAGTTCAATATCGTTTTTGTGTTTTTTTTTGTTTTGTTTTGTTTGTTTTTCTTCATACATAGTCAACCGGCGCAGTTAGCATGTAGTTTGGGCAGTTGATCATTTTGTAAGTTTGTCGTATAGTATGGATGTATTTATAGCTATGAAAATTTTGTGAATTCAAATCAATTGTTATGCATATACGGTTTTTGTTTTCTTCCTATTATTGCCTTTTTGCCACAATTTTTTATCTATTTTTTATTTACTTTGTACATAAATATATACATAATACATACATATATTTAAGTATCTTATGTTTATTCAAATTGAATTAAATATGCACAAATGTGCATACATATGAAGGTGCATAAATTTTATGTGGCATAGAACAAAATATAGGCAAATATGCACATACACACTTGTAGAGCTTTGCGTCAGTTTGCTCCAAATGCTTCGATTTAAATTATTTTCTTACAGTAAATTTAACAAAAACTAATTCGAGTTCTTTTTCTAACGTTTGTTTCTGCATACCCTAACTTTGCTAACTTGCATAAATTCACCAATTTTTGTCATTTCTATAATTTAAAAGAAAAAAATAATATTTAAAAAACACATATGTATGTACATATATAAAGTAATTCATACATACCGAAATGTGAAATGTTCTATGAAATATAGTATTGAGTGTAAATATGTACTTATGTATGTATGTATGTATGTATGTATTTACGTATAAAACAATACAATAGCATATAATATTAAGTTGGAATTCGAACTTTGGCATATTTTTATCCTAGACCCATATTTTTATCGAAGGTTGGAAAAAAATTTAAATTTTAAAAAGTGCTAGGAAAGGAGGGGATTTTCACGCTACTACCGGTTTTGATAATTCATTTTGTGAGAAATAAAATATAAAGACTCTTACCGTAAGAGTAAGCCCAACGTTTATTGTGTATAGCGTGTAACGAAGAAGCATGAAGCATGTTGTAATTATTCATTATTTAGTTTATGAATATTTGGCTCCGTGGCTCCGTGGCTCCTCTGTTCCTTCAAGGAGCCTTACGTGGTCTTTTCTTTGGCCCCTCCCTTTCCTGCTCGATGGACTTGACGTTGTTTCACGCTTTTCTCTTTATTAAAATACAATTTATTTTAAAGAACAATATAATAATTTATATTTCTAATACTATTAAAAATATTAAATATTTAGTAATTGTTAATAATCCACTTATTAAAAATAATCCACTAACTTAAGATACTAATTTCTTTCATTTGAAGAGAGCTACGTCGTACTTTACCTAAAGCCCATGCCTATTTTTATTCGTTCTAGCATAGCTATATTTTGTTTTGATAGGTCTCACAGATAAGCACTCTAATTCTTATAAGAGCTCTCGGGGAATTTTCGAAATATTTCCTACCTAAGCCCGCACCATATCTCACGTGTGCTTCTAAGGGCGGCGGTTTCTTCGTAAACATTTGTTTTTTCCCCTTTCGGCGAAGCGTCGTACCGCAAAGAGTCGACGACGCATATAACGTAATTCGTTTTCAATTAATTTATAAAATTTTTATCTACAGCGTCGAATCAAAATTATTGAGGTGTACTTAGGCCACAGTAGTCGAGTGGTTAGCATTGCGTACTAATATTCGGATGTCCTTCTGAATCAGAATCATGGTCCGACAAAGATCCAACCCTTGGCAGGGAATGACAGGCCCTTCGAGTGTATTTCTTTAAAAAAATAAAAGCTCCTCATAATAGTCCGTCGGTCGTTCTGAGGTATATAATCTGTAGTTACAACAAATTGGAGGTATAGCTCGGCCGAAAATCGCTCAACGGTTGCAAAGAGCCAATTTATTGAGGTTAAAACCAAAAATATTATTTTTTGCTTTTTCGCTTTTTTGGCGGTTTCATTTTATCAAAAAAGTTATTACTTGTTGTTAATTGGAAAGCGATTTTTCAATACCAATATGGGTGTATATTTCTCCGCACTGAGATCAAACATCGTATTGTAAAAGTTAAGACAATTTTGAAGTAAATTTGCGATACGTAATAAATAAATATACATATGTATATGATATAAGTATACATACATAAAGATATCTATTTATATTTATATATGTAGGTATGCATTTATATAATTTAATTATTACAGCGATAGATACGTACGTATACAGTACAACCAAACTATCCAGGCGCTTACCGCAAATTGCAAAAGAAATATATTGTCAAGGTGTAGTCTCCAATTGAAAATAAAAATCTTTAAATGTTTCTCAAAAACCTTAAAATGATAAAAAATAAATAATAACTGAGTTTTTCCTTTCTTTAACTAATTTAATTTTGTAGTCTTACACTTATCTACAAATGATAAATGTGCACATACATACATACATATAAGTATTTTGAGAAATCATAATTTAAAAAACTCTGAAACTAATTTAACTTGTAATAGATCAACATTATAAAAATAGATTTATGTTGCTTTAGTATTTCATATATTTTAGAAGCTTTCACAGTCCTTAAAAAAAAAAATAATAAAAAACGTCTATCAAAAAGAGTTTGGTATTTATTCTCTGTATAATTTAATTATTTAGTTCTTCAATACATTTACGCTTTAAACACATATGTATGTCCATATGTACTACGTGTATGTATTGTATATAAATGTATAAAATATTGTTTATAAAGTTAATTTTATACCGAAGGATAAACGTGGTGTGAATAACCCTTGAAGAAATGCGCACCACATGATTCAATTGTATCGTACATACATACATATGTTGTAGATATGTTTCCTACAGTTTTAGTATGTTTAATTAAAATATACATTGCACTTGTGATTATGCAAATTTTAGATATTCAAATTATCAATTTACCGACTTTTAACCTATACGCCTTAATTGGAACTCCAAAACACCAAAAATTGTCATGATTTGGTTTTCTGTAAGTACATAAGTATGTTTACCAAATATACATAGTGTACATAGATAGTTTCACTAGAAAACATACGTCTAATATACGCATTCATTCTTATATGTTAGTCGAAAACAAATTCAATATTTTAGTTTTATTCCTATTGAAATGCGTTGCAATATAAATGCATTACAAATAATAAAATAAAAACCTATAATAAATGCCTATCATTATAAATAAATAATATAAATATTTAAAAATTTTCCGTTATTACTCTATTGCTTTTAGTGATATGTAAGTATGTATTAGAAAACCAAAAAGGTCAAAGTACAGCAATACGTCAAATACATCATACACGTACATATGTATAAATGGCACACGCACACATATTTCTTTATATAATTTGCTTATTTCTTATGATAAGCCAATAAACTATATTTAACTATACATATGTGTATGTGTTCATCCTAAATTTGACACTCAGTGGTTACCCATTAAGCACACAAACACAACAATGAAACTTTGAAATGCGGTTTTAAACAAAACGAAACTTATCCTAATCTTAATGCACCTAACCAATTTTGAGCTAATTAAGTTATAAATCGATTATCACTATACGATTATTATGTGTTAATCTAAGAAATTACAATATATGCATGCAAAAGCATATGTATATATAAATATATATATATACATATACATACATAAATGCGTAATTACTAAGTAAATATCTTTAATTGGTAATATTTCCGTTTTTTGAATTTGAACTTAGTACCATTGCTAATATACGTGTATGTACATATGTATGTATTTATTTAAGTGCGTATACGGTTTCGCATAGAAGAATTTATAAGTTGCTGAATATTTCTTTGTTCTATTTAATGTGATGTAATAAATATATTTAATATTAAAATATCCGAAGTTTAGAATACATACATACATACATATGTACATGAATACACAAATGCTGATCGTAAATTTATATATGTACCTAACGGTTTTTCGTTGTATTTATACAACTATTGTATTTATTAATTTTAAACCTAATTTTTTCTTTCATTACAGAGCTATTGAAATCCTAGGCAACCTATTTCCTAATTTAAAATTGAATATTGATTATCGGCCATCAATTGTTAAGTTCAATACTATGGGCAATGAACTGCTAACAACGCTGCGTAGAAATGTCCAGTCGGTAAGTTGTGCAAATGGAATGATTATAAACAGATTGAAAGTGATAGCAAATCAGTGATTGCTTTTTCAAGCTTTTTGTTCTTTTTTATTTTTATATATAGATATACACTTTTAGCGAAAATTTATAACCTAAAAATTATAAAGCTTAACTAAGTCATAAAAATTAAAAAAAAAAGCAACTAGTGAAAAATACCGCCCGAGATGTGCCTACTTCCGTTTGCACTAAATACACCTTGAATTTTATTCTGTTAAGTAAAGATATCAGTCGATAGGTTTGACGGTTTAGTTTATTTATTATATTTATTTAAGGTTACACAGCAAACCGTTATCTGCTTTATTTTACCATTTAAAAAAAAATAACACTTAAACAGTTATGTCATTTGTAAATGTAAACATTCATTTTATATAAGTTACTAAGCAATACGGTTTCTTACAAAAATAAAATATTTTATTATTATATGCAGGCAAGAATACTCTGGCGAATAGTTAGTTGAAGTAATAAAAAAAAACACCTTTAAAATGTTTTTTATTTAGTACAAGTGCAAATAATTTATTTTAATACCATTTTTACATAATACATAATTTCCACACTAATGTCTTAAATACCTCCTTTTTTAACTTTGATATCGATACCTTTAAGAAAGTATTTTCCACAGAATCCCCTGCAACTATATACATATGGAAACTGTTGTCTCATTCAACGGACCTGGAGTGTAGAATATTTGAATTAAATTTAAAAATCACTGTACAGAGTTAGGGGACATGATTTGCACGCGTCAAAATTAGTACATATACATATTTTGAATGCTTCTTATTTTTTTTTTGTTTTTATTTTTCAGATTAATTGATAATAGCTCTAGTTACCCATAGACAAATCATGTGTCATTAAATTATAATCATTTACTTGACATTTCTATAGCATAGAGGTCGTTTTCCGTTATAAAAACTCAACAAAAATTAAAAAAAAATCCAAGAAATGAGATTGCATATCTGAATATATTTATTTATTTATATATTTTTCTTTAGGTTTAGTTTCTCTGAAGTACTTTAAAAATCTAATAAGGAAAATTACTTGACTAGCTGAATTTGTTTGAGGTTCGCAAATTTATTATGGTGAAAATCATAATTAATTTCTTGTTGCTGTTTTTGTTATAACGGCAAAAGATTTTTCGGCGAAAAATAATTGGTATTTTGCTATGCCAAAAGGAGGACAAAATGCTCGTAATTTAAACAATACAAAAAGATCCTCTTTTATTTTTAAAAAATCTAAACAACACCAAAATAGCATGACACATTTTAACTATGTCTCGCACAAACAACAGCCTCTTGTTAAATATATAAATAGTTGGCAGCTCTTCGTATTTTCGGCCTACCAGATCTGTATGTTGAAGAAACGCAAACCATGAAATTTCCTTCATTTTTTTTTAATTAATGTCCGTCTTAGATAAATAAAAGCAATTTTTTTTTATTTTTTGATAATTATATGAATTGTGTTTTTCTTATAGGTTTTAATTAAATCAAACTCATCTACCATCTAAATTAAAATATTAACCGATAATATTTAGTCTGGCACCAATGCTATTTTGGCCAATCGTTTTTTGCACATATTTTTTTGTGTGGTGCTCCATATAGCGGTTTCAGGGTATTGTTACAGTTGTAGTGTATGTAAATTGGTTTCGTGCTTAGTGCATTTTGTTGGCGAGGATTGGGGCAAACAACGCTTTGCTATTATTTTTTATTCGCTTTTGTTGATTCAATACAAAGGTTGTCGACAGTTTAAAGTATACGATGTCTGAAGATGAGTTTCGCGCGCGTGGCTGGTTTGAGGTGGGACATTTCCTGCCGGCTATATATTAAGAATATATATACAATAATTAAAATATATAGATACAAGACATATACATTAGGAAATGCCATAAGTTACGTCATGAAATATAAGAAAAACTTCTATTTTATAGGAAACAAAACAGCCAAATGCGCTTACACATGCCCACGGTACAAACAACATGTTGGAGTTGACACCCCATGCCGGTCGGAAACCTTATCACTCAATGTTTGATTGGGGTGTTTATTTTCCGTTTCTTGCACAATGTTTGCGTATAAAACGCTTTGTATATCCACAGGTGGGTGTATTTTGCAAATAAATGAGGCACAATAATTCGTTACAAATAATTTTTACTTATGCTTTTCAGGTATCCGGCGCAGTGCAAGATGATCTTATGATACAACGTGCTATCAAGCAAGCTGCTGAACAAATTGTACGGGAACAGAGAATTGAAACGCACAGGACATTTAAAATGAATGGTGAAACATCAAGCGATATAGAGACAGAAGCTAAAAATTATCAGGATATTTTGGAAAGCCAAGAACGACGGGCCAAAAGTATTTTAATGAATATGCGATCAACACTCAATCATTATCTCATAATGCTTACATCATGGTTACTCTATAAACTGTTACCATGTTTCCTTTCTGGGGTTGTTACACACACAAAGCAAATAGAAACTTTGAAAAAGGCATCGGAACGTGCACCTGGTATTCCTTTAATATTTCTACCATTGCACCGCAGTCATCTAGATTATATTATGGTTACTTTTATTTTGACTAATAATGACATACGCAGTCCATTAGTTGCTGCTGGCGACAACTTACAAATTCCAGTGTTTGGTGGACTTTTACGAGGACTCGGTGCTTTTTTCATTAAAAGAAAAATTGACCCTGTTGTTGGAAAGAAAGACATTCTCTATCGTGCCATTTTGCAACAGTACATTCAGCATGCGTTGAAAATGTCACACAATGTTGAATTCTTTATTGAGGGTGGCCGTACGCGTACTGGCAAACCGTGTATGCCGAAAGGTGGTATTTTATCGGTAATTGTAAACGCGTTTATGGATCGTAGTATACCTGACGCTTTACTGGTACCAGTTTCCGTTAATTATGAACGTCTCGTCGATGGCAATTTTGTGCGAGAGCAAAAAGGTGAAACAAAAGTACCAGAGTCGTTTTGGAAGGCCATGGCAGGAATTTGGAAAGTATGTACATTTGCTTTTACAATATTTGTATATTAATAAAAATGAATTTCAGACCTTAAACTCAAAATATGGTCTAATGCGCATCGACTTTAATGAACCATATTCTATTAAAGAGCTTGTTCAATCATATAACAAAATTGCCACAGATAATAGCCACTTCAAGGTGTACAAACCCTCTGAACGGTAGGTAGAAAATTGACTGGGATGCAGTAATATCAATTATCATTTTTATCTATAGGACATTACAACACAATCAGTCAACATCATCCCTGTATGGCACGGATGTAGTTTGCGAGGAACATCGCACACTAATCGATAGCATTTCAAGAGAAGTAGTATATGATTGCGCTTCCGCCACATCTGTAATGTCTACAAATGCTTTAGCATTCTTAATGTTAACACGTTTTCGTAACGGAGCATTAGTCACAGACATTGCTCGGGAATTGGATGTGCTCCGTGAACGTTTGAAGGGACGCAAAGATATGGCTTTTGCTGGTGATTCTCTACATATAGTCAATTATTCTTGTGATTTATTGGGCGAAGGTATTTGCTAGGAATACTATTTTTTTATGCTTTTCTAATAATCCATTCGTTTGTATAGTTTTGATAACGAGAACGCAGGACGAACGTGGGCAGATTTATTTGCGACCCGTGCCTAGTATCGAGGCGACAATTGAATTATCTTACTATTCCAATATGTTGACGCCATATTTCGCTCTGCAATCTGTATTAATGATAACATTTCATGAGTTGTTGACAAAAACTGCAGACGAAAAAATAACTGATACTGTAAGACCTAACATAGGACTACCATTCGTAAGGATAATCTTTAATTTTTTTTCTATTTACAGTTTGCTGATCCAGAGAATCTGCCGGGCATTTCGAGAAAAAGTCTTATTGATGCTGCTATAGCAAACTGTGATGTTCTACGATACGAATTTATTTTACATAAGCCAACTCAAATATTAAGTAATCTCTTAGAAATCTCTTTAGATGAATTGATTATGAATGGCCTCATAAAGCTGCCTGAGGTTAGTATTTTATTCTATTATTTTACGCAATTAACCACAGATTTTACTAGAATAATGATGAGCCTGAGTGCAACACTGAAAGCCGGAAAATCGCCCGAAACATTGCTGCATACTTAGAAGATACAGATGACTCTGAATATGCTGAATCCGATTATAATCAAGACGAAAAACCTGATATATTTTTATCACACGATACATTGACTGAACAAAAAGCGATTTGTGAGGTATTGGCGCCGTTTAGTCACGCATACCTCTCAGTAGCTCAGTCACTTAGTATTTTATATAGAAATTCTATGCTCGAAAGTGAATTTATCAAATTCGTTATTAATGATATATCGAACAAAGTAAATAGTGGCGCTTGTCCATATGGTAAGTATCGCAGTGTACTGTTAAATATTCTTAGAACACACATATTAATTAAAAAATTATAATTTATAACAGCTGAAAGCGTCTCAACTGATTCAGTGCGAAATTGTTTAAAACTGCTGGAGAAGTGGTCAGTTCTGGAGATATGTAATGACCATGGTGTGCGTCTTTTAACGCTTGGAACACTCTATGAGACGTCAAAAGAATCTGTTAAGACAATAATTGGAAGGATAGCAAAAATAGTTCCACCAAAAAACGGATATTTGCCCGTTTAAAAACTGTCGAATTACCAAAAAAATTTAAAAAGATTGAGACTATTTTTTAAATAGAATCAGAGGATTAATTTGCGTAACAACGAATCAACATTGGATCGTAGTTATTTGCAAATTTAAACTAAATAAATAGTTCAACGCAACATAATCCAAATATTAACAACAAAAAGTAATGAATTTATTGACTGAATAATTTAGTTTAGGCGAAAACGAAGAATAATAAGTTAACTATTGCAAATAGTTTGAATTATATCGAATTTGTCATTTTATATAGACAGAAACATTGCCACATAGTCCGTTTGAAAACTTCGTTCATATATTTAGAAAATAACATGATCATTGAACTTAAACTTTGGTGATTCTACATTTAGAAAAATATGTTCTAACAAAGGATGTGTGGCGATTCCTTTTTGTAATAAAGTTACTTATAGATATGTATATAAGATCTTGTAAAAAGCGAAAATAAAAACATTTTTTACAAACCTAATTCTATGTTCTGTTACAATATTCGCTAGCACCTAACTCCGTAAGTAGAGGACCAAATTTCAATAAAGTAATTAAAACGAGAAAAAAAAAAAAAAAAAAATCTAATAACCTATGGAACTGTGTCATTAGTTTAGATATAATTGAAATAGTCTGGTAGAAGTTCTAGCTGGACTGAATCCAAAATCATATAATGGCCAGAGAAGTATTATGCAAATGTTTTATATCTTAAATATTTTATACATGATAAACATCAGTTTAAACTATACCCCTCCCACTCCTTTGATAGTTTCAGTAGTTGGAAGACAAATAAAAAAATATGCTCCAAATAAAAATATATGCCATTATTATATAAACAATTTAAAAAAATAAAATTTTTACTCACGATATAAACAGAATTTTGTTAAATTATCCTATACATGCATTAAAGAATTTACCAAAGGAAAAAATTATATCAAAATATATGAGTGAAGATTCTAATCAGTAGCGTTGTTTGCGTCTGATAAGTTTCGATTATTTCCAAGCATCAACGAGCTATCGTCTATTTCGGTTTTTTGTTCATCTGTCAGTGATTCACTTGTGCTCACTTGGACGGACGCTTCCGAATTCTCTGATGTAATATTCGAACCTTTTTTGTTCACTCTGTTCACTTTACCCTCTCGGGTACGGTTTTGCAATCTCTTCACTGCTTTTCTTTTGCGTACAGCACCAGTTTTTGCTTTGCCAGCATCCGGCAGGACCGTCTCCTGATAAAAAAAAAATACACAATATAAGTAAAAAATAAAATATCCAAACTCATAATTTACTTTGGAAACCTTTTCATCTTTGCTTTTACCACCGATTTCTCCTACACATTTCGCGGCACCGCATAGACATAGTTTTTTTTGATTGCCTAACAAATCGTCCCAATGATAATTGAATGTGAGCTCCGTATCCTACGAAAAAAAAAAAACAAAAAATGTATAAAAATGTTTTCTTTTGATATAAGTTGCATTGCAAGTAATTACCGCGGGTATATCTTTAATAGCAAAGAGTCCAATGCGGTTCAAGCCGTTCACTGACCATTTTTGTGTCTCACAATTTGGATCACAGGAATGATTCATGAACCGTGCCAAGTTTCCTTTCGGTCCAGCATCAATGATATAATCCTTCTCTACTGATAGAAAATAGAAGTTTTCATCACGATCTAAAGACTTTTGCGCCATTCGCTGCCTGAACTCATTATCATCGATAATTTCACCAACATATTCAATAATAAAGTCGCCTGCATTAATAGGTTCCCTACAAATTAAACCGAAGCCCCGCTCCTTTAGGTAGACCACATCAAGACGAGGTGACAAACGAGACTCGAACATTTGATTTTGACAACGGTCACCGGCCGGACAAAGCTTTGGATTGCACTCATGGTACAAAACGCGATTTAAGCAATTTGAACTCGGCCCACATGGATCTTCATCGTAGTTTCGACATTCACATTTGTTAACTTTTTCCAGATCGATATGCAGTTTAACTGGATGAACGGCGCGATTGGCCTTGATTCGCACATAAGGTTGCGGATGCAATTTTTCTTTGCTTTCATTTGTAAGACACTGAGCGAGTTTTTTCGATTTTATTATTTCGTAAATGCGTTTCGCTTCCTGAACACCGCGATTATAGCTTTGATCTAAGCCTAAAAGCGGATTAGAAAACAAATATACTATTTTGGGAGTAACTTAATTTAGTGGCGATAATATCTTACTCGATTTCGTTTTAGGAGGTTCCGAGCTATCGCCCTCCAAATAAAGGTAAACACGTCGTCTGGAGATCCAACCGTGATCGTGTGTGCCAAAGAAGCGAACGACGAAATCATTTGAATTATGTGCCTTTCGCCTGATATTTTGTGGTATTTCTGTTGGTGGTAAAATTATCGCTGGCCACCAGCGAAACGAATTGAATTTGGCCCACACCATTTCACCGTATAACGGCAAACGACCAGACTCACACTCCTCACATATGTACCCTTCACTTGGATCCAATGGGATATTTAAACACTTTGCGTGAACAGCAGTAGGACATGTTTCGCAACAAATTACTTGACCACCTCCCACGCAAATAAAACACCAACTTACATTAACATGTCCATCTGACTTGTTAGAAGTATTGTGACGAGGACAGATGATATGAGCAGCCGTAAGTATTTGGGAGCCTGCGGGTATGCAAGTGGAATCCATGTGATAACTGGCTGGGCACTTCACACATTTCGTAAGTTTTGCATTGCTAAGATGTTGGAATTTGCCTTTGGGGTCGTCTGAAACACATGTGTGACAAACATGGGATGGACAACGGAATGATTCAATTTTATTTTTTGATTTAGTAAATTTGGCTTGTGGCCAATATCTGCAGCAAGCAGGATGAAATGCCTTGGTACATTGCTGCATATTACACAACACCAGCTCTTCCTTATTCGGATCAGGTGAATTTTCTTCTCTACATACTGCACATACAGGTGGCTTGCCTTGAGCGCAGGTATCGCAAATGACCTCTGCTGTTAATTTGTCGATTTGGATGTCAATTTCTGCATCTGCGGTGACATGATATGTTACGGCAGAAGAAGGGCGAGCTATTTCATCCTCTAAATTTGATGGTGTATTAGGTGGTTCGTATGTCATTTTGGCTTCAACTGGCGTTTTGGAGGAGCTCCTCCTGGCATTATCACTTTTTGTCTTGCGGCGACCAACGTTTTTCTTTTTTTCTATATTAGGATCTTTGCCAATACAATCGGCATGTAACCAAGATTGGCAACCTTTAGCACATCTGACCAAAGGACCACCTGGGTGAAGACAATATTTACATACAGGATCACGAGCTAGCCCTCGGAATAAATACTTGTTGTCCAAATTGAATATATCATCGATTACTTCTTCTATAGGACGATTTAGTGGTTTTCTTGGTTTGTTAATAGATGGATGAGCTTCTCGATCGATATCTTGTTGATTCTCTAACGTTTCCACAGACATAGGCTCCCGAATTTCGGCTGGCAGACTATGACGATGATTAAGTGTTCTCAACCTATTTGAAAGACGCTTAACAGTACCCGTACCACTATCGTTTTCGAGCAGAGCAGATCCCAGTTCGTGTTCACTACCGGCCGCTAACAACCGTCGCTTAATTTGATGTCGGTTAATTTGCTTCAAAGCCCATATGTTGCGTGCTGCCACAATTAAGCTCCTTTCTAAACAATCATCTGTATTACCTTCCAACACGAATTCCTTCATAGCACTGTAAAATCTTCTGAAATCGTGATTGTTCAACTCCATTTCGTGCAAAGCGGCAAATGAAGAGGATGTACTGGTCTTTTTATCTGCGGTTTGTGCGACACTTGTATTATATGTGCTTTCAGGGACTTCATTATTTTTATCAAAGTTTAGATTCTCTGTAGCTTCGGGTTGTTCGGAATTCGTTTCACTTAGTTTTCGCCTTTTAATGTTTGATAATGTCTTCAAAGGTGAGAAAGCCGGACTATACGGCGAAGCAGATCGGTCGCGTTTACCTGAAGACAAAGGATTTTTCACTAGCAAACTTTCCATTGAATCTCGTCGCAAGCTGCCGGTGCTACTAGCGTTGTCTATGCTTAATTTTCTTTGTTGTCTTTGCAACTTTTGAAGACTTCTATTAAAGAAATTATTACAAAAATTCGAAAAAAAAAGAAAAACACAAAAATAAATGAAATTATAGTGAATATTTAAATATTATAAGATTTATTGTCATCATGAGAATAAATTCGAAAATGTTGCTAAGTATTATAATTTTTACTTACTTCTTGTGCTCGTATATTTCAAAAAATTTTGTTAATCGATCTTCATATATGACCTCGGCTACCTTATTGGCCTCCTTTATTGCTTCACGCCAAATCATTACTTTATTCGGCTTTGGCAAAAGTAACTTGTACTTTAGACTATTCTTGCCGTACTTTTTTCGTATTTCTCTCATTTGTTGTTTATAATTTTCCAAATCAGTATATGGGATAAGATTCTCACGTTTCACCCAGTTCCTGCGTCCACTATCAGCAAAAAATCGTACATGCACAAGCACGTTCTCCTCGCCATTTCGGGCATTGCGTTCAGTGGTTATCGTTTTACCGTCAGGATCCGGAGAAACGATGCAGGGCCAATAGCAATACGTGTATATTTGCCCCCAAAATAGATCGCCGGTTGTAAACGACATCCATGTCATACCGGTTACAATGGATGAACCTTTGGCACTATCTAAACTTACAGCTGAAGGCGACTTTGCACTCAAACCGACAGCATTGCTTAATATCATAGACTCTCCACTTTCAACTCCTTCTAAATTATACGGTTCTACGGCATCTCCACTACCCAACAATGTTTCGGTGTTTTCCGAATTGCCCTCTGTAATATTTCCAAAACTTTCATTTTCTATTTTAACTGCCAAATAAGAATTGACATCGCTTTCTTTTGGCAAAGTAACATTAGTATCCAAGTCTTCATATGCATCGTTCATGTCTTCGCTTTTTATTTTCTCAGATGATTGGGTTTCTTCTTCCTCATCGCGATCTTCAATTCCTCCAGCAACATTATTTTGCTTTTCATTAATTTTTAACAAACCATTAGGTGAAGTATTCCCAAAAATTTCTGTTTGTGAAATAGCTTCTTGATCGATCTCACATTCACTATTCCCAATATTTAAATTAGGTTTCGGACTTAAAGCTAAGTTTTTAACAATATTTTCTTTGCTAATATCATTCAAACCAATTGAACCGTTTCGTACCAGTAATTTTTCAATGGGACTCTCGAACTGTTTTCGAGCTGACAATTTCGTCGGAGACGGCGTTAATACTGGACTACGCGTACGTCTAACACAGCCTAGTAGTGCTTTTGACGCATCCGTTAATAAACCACTGTTAGATGCTCCTCTCTCTGGGCTTGCACTATACATTAGCAATTTTCGATAACGTGCACTTCTCGTTCGCAGGCCATCATCGCTCATACTAGCATTTGACGCGACTGCGGATGCTTGCGGTGTTCTAAATCCGATATAATTTGGGCTCAAGTCGGAATACAAATTAGTTAGCATATTTCGTTTTCCTTAAAATAGAAAAACAAATCGTAGAAAAAGAATACCGTATGAGATCGATAACTTACTTCGAGGTGTAGACGATGACAATCTACTGTTCGAACCAACACATATCGACGTATTTTTTCTTCTTTCCTCACTGCCCGATGCTGGTGCAGTTGTTGACGTTGGAGTTTTCAATCGCGATTCACAGTTCTCCATTTTATTAATATAATTAAAATTTTCACTTCTCATTCTTGTAGCCTTTTTGAGGGAGTTACTTTTAAAGGAATCAACACCACTAATTCTTTCAATTGGACTCTCGAATGATGCATCAGCCACAACTGTGGTACTGCTATGCGATTTTCCAATGCCCGAACTGTTTTTTGTATTTTTATCGGTACGCATACTTCTCTCTTTATACAACCACCAATTACAAAAGCACACTTTCCACTTAACTTAAATACTCAACTTTGTTGATAAGCATTTATTTATTTTTTTACAAAAAAATAAGTTTTATAATGAATATGCGAATCACCAAGCCTAGAATTCCAAAGCTATTGTGCGAACGCGCCAAAATTTTGCAGCTGTTAGCTATTGAGTTGCCGTACTTTCAATATCTGCTGTCACATGCTACTGAAAAGATATGTGAAATAACTACAAAAAAATAAAAAATGCCAATTAATAATTATTAGAGTAAAATCATCTGGCAGCTCTTTATTACTTAATCATTTGATCTAAAGTCATATCTACTGATAAATTTGGAAAATCTTACATTAAAAAATATCTCATTTCAATTAAGAAGTTCAAGCAAAGTGCAGCACTGAATTCAAAATTGTTAAAATTGATTTAAAATTTCTCTCGAAAGTCTATTCTTTGTTAATACTGGTATTTATAGAGCTATATATGTATGTACGTATGTATGTATGTATGTACATTCCTGTTAATTTAAGGAAAGAACTAAACAAAAGCACCTTATAAAATGTTACGATCCAGTAACCGGACAGTACTAAGGCTTTCTTTTATAAAAAATATTATTAACATCAAAAAAAAAAAATTAAAATAAGAATATATATAAATAAAATCAATCGAAGCAGGAAATAATTTATAATTTTACAAGAAAACGGCCGCGAGAGCCGACAATTAATATTTTAAATTAAAAAAAAAAAAAAAATAATAAGAATATATATAAATAAATTCAATCGAAGCAGGAAATAATTTATAATTTTACGAGAAAACGGCCGCGAGAGCCGAGTTTTTAAAATTGCGTACTGCCATTCGGATGATGATGATGATGGTCCTGGACCGACCAAAATCCAAAAATTTTAGAAAATTAATTTAAAATAAAAAATTAATTAATTATTATGACGTAAAATACAGGCTCCCCATAAAAAAACCATCAGCCGTTCAGATGCGGCTTATTATAAACTGTAGAAAGCTTCCGATCGTTTGTGCCAACATATTTTAAATCCCGAAAGCTCGTAGAACGATTTTCCCATCACTTTCTTTAGGCCGAAATAACAAATGTGATGTTTACATTTGTATACGTGTACATCTATCTCTCTTCGTTTCCTTCTCCATTTTGGTCATTCTTGTCACACAAACAGAACACAGCTGAGCAACAGCATTGATACCAAAAGGAAACAATATTGACGTGAAAAAACGCAGTTGTGCCGTACAAGCCAAACATATATGAGCGATAGCGTTGATGCCGAAGAAAATCAGCTTTGACAAGAATTTTCCCTACTTATATACATTCATACAAAATTATTAAGATTCAGTTTTTATTCCATTATTTTTACATATATCATGGTTTATATAGCACAGAAAAGGAGTAACAATACAATAATGAATCCAAAAACGATAAAAATGGCGTTCTACTCGAAAATAAGAACATAAAATAATATGGGTAATCCGTTCGTGAGTGTATTGGCCGTTCTTGCAGGGATTACTTTACAAATGCGACTTTTACGAAAAAAAAATAAAAAATAAAATAAAAATAAATAAATAATATTTATAAAAATTTCTGTTCTTGGTAGATTTAAAATTAATGAAAGGTTCTAAATTGGTATTAAATGAGCATTGAGTTGAAAAAAGTTAATCCTCCGTTAATTAGCACATTTACCCTACACGTACTTTAACTGACTTCATTTTGGCTGACCAATTATTAAATTGTTTTTATTCAAACTTTTCTGGCTAACATTTTATTACAAACTTTTGAAATACTTTATTATTAAGGTGAATTCATAGTAAGTAAGTAAGACTTGTGTATGCGTGAACTACTTTTAAGACTTTTTAATTGTAAGAGGCGAAAGAAGAAAGAAGAAAAAAAAACTTTATCAATTATTTCAAATTTTAAGAATATATTTATACATGTTTCAAAAATACAGTGAAATTTTTGAAGAAAAAAATTAAATATTTTTTAACTTATAGTCGATCTCGAAAAAAAGTCCTTCACTGCTGCAGTGATTCCGGCCTTCTATAAGAGAATATTGTCTGTACAATGACCTACGATAAAATAAAAATCAAAAATTGACAATATGGCGGCGTTTAAAAAAAAAAAAGAGTCGAATTTTACCCAAAATTTTGGTCGTTTTTGGCCTGCCAAAATTCGATTTTTTGATCAGATCAAAAATCGATAGGTCATTGTACGGAGAACTATATATAGAACATGTAAAAAAAAAATCGATAGTGATCGGATCATTTGTTTTTGAGTTATCACTGCAGCAAATTCGGAAAATGCTATATCGAGAAAAACGTGTTTAAATATAAAATACGTAAGATACGTCTCGTAGCTAATGAGACCCTCTAGCTGTGGAGCGGCTGCTAAATTGCTATAACTCAAAAACTATTTAAGATATCGATTTGAAATTTAAATATGTTATTTTTAAGGTGTAATCTATATAAAAAAGATCGATTTTTTTTGATATTTCACATTACTAGGCCTATTCTGTCGAGGTAACAAAATTTACCTAGGTATTAAAATTTACCATTCAGTAAATTTTGTTACCATTTCGTATTCTGAGCTCACTGTTACTCTGTAAATTTTGTTATCAGCGAAATAGGAGGTAACAAAAATATCTGCTGTTTGATTTTGTGTTGTAAGTTTGAGAAAAAATAATAAACCAAAATGGGTAGGCATATTTTAGGCCTGGAATTCATTGAAGATGAAGAAAAAAGTGCAAAAAGCCGTATTTTAAGAAGTTTTCGAGACTAAAAAATAGCCCTTTAATTTGTATGATAACGTTTTCATTCAGCTTTTTTGTTGTCCAGGCATATTTTCCATAATTATGTTCAAATATTTATGATTTAATACACAAATTAATAAAACTCTTTAATATTTTTTTTGTGCACCATCTTCCATTTCGATGTGAATATTTTTCTTTTTACTTTATCAACTAGCAAATGTAATTTGACTTGGACGAAAAAAGGCAGTGCTGCCATTTTCTTTTTTTTCAAACATTGTAACCAGTTCGCCAGAATATCAAATTCATTTTCGGGTGTTAAAGAAAAGTAACAAAATTTACTTTACCGGTAACAGTGAGAATAGGCCTGTAGGTGTGCCGCTTAAATTCTGAGTTTTAAAAAATTGTTTAGTTAGAAGAAAGCAAGAAAATTACAAATTTTTTGTATGGTTGTGAATATGTGCGAAACCAATTTTTCGCTATTTATGCTTAATATCTCTTTTCGCATGGAAATCTTTTTTAAAAGTTCTTCATTTTCCTATTTACTTGACTCGAACCAATGTTGTTGTTGTATTTTTTGCATGTATAAAACTCATAATGTACTATAATGTTCTTATTAAGATAAATAAAGAGATCAATTATTCGCTGCGAAGCACGCAACTGAATAAAATTATTTATACATACACTCGTGTACATACATATGTATATGATAGTTTAATGCCAGATTTGCAGTATCTTGTTAAAGAGGAAGTGAATTGGGAATTTAAGTCGTTATTAATTACGTAATGTGAATAGGGACTAAATCACTGAAAATCCTAAAACACATAATTTCTATGTTTCACATTTATTACTTAGTATGTTTGGAGAGCTGTTGGGCAGTAACAATTGTCATTGAATTTTACTGCACGGTTTTACTTCGGTGAGGTGAAAATTCTCTAAAATTTGTTCTTGAAGAGCGCAATATTGTCAATTCGATTATTACTAATTCTTATTGACATTTCTCACCGAACTTCAAACCGAACGTATTGATAGCTCTACAAATATATTGCTAAGAATATGACTTTTGATATCGGAATATATACAATCTTCTCCAAGCAACGGATTTTTAAAAGCTATTAATTATTTTAATAGTCTTATATTTGTAATCCAATAAAGTTTTGTTTAGATATATAAATTGTGTAAAAATTAATAAAAATAAAATCCCATAAGAGAGCAGATAGTCCAAAGATAGTTGTTAGAAACAAAGCAAACAAGCAAAAAAAAATCCCATTACAATAAGAAACTCTGTATTGTAGCCTTCCTAACTATAGAGGGGGCGTTCAACAACATTTTACCAAGTGCAGTTATAGCTATATTGTTTGAGCGTAGATGTCGATACTCTATTAGTGGATTTTATCAACTAATTTCTATGAAGCAGGATTATAACCATGAACTAGGAAGACACTCGGATATGTAGGCAGAGGCATTCCACGGGACGGCATTCTTCCCCGAATTCCCTGGAACCTCGCAGTAAACTTAATACTAACGCAAACAATATCATTGCATACGCCGTACATCGTCATAAAATTCAGAAGCAAGTTCCCACAAATCCCTTGTGACTTGATGAAGGGAACATTAAGAAAGGTATCATTCTGGTCTATACGTGGTCTCTGTTTCAACTTAAACTAAGTGTAACTTGTAAGTGTAAAGGTTATATAAAATCCCCGGTATCAAGCTACCGGCACAGCACGGTGTTCAACTTAGCCTGGAGACAAGGCCAACTTTTTTGGAGTCATATTAGAGAGTCAGCTGTTGGGACACTCGAAATATTGGTTAAATACGATTTCATAACAAACAGGTTAGAATGGGAGGCGACGGAGGTGTTTTCTCAAGGGACACTAAACTCTGTTTGAGGCAGTGAAGCAGGTCTAACTCAGCTGTAAAGATAAGAATATCTTCATTTTATGCCACAGTCATGCAGCCATAAAAGCACTGGGCTCGTATACACTAAATTCAAAAATTTTGCTGAACCGTCGCCGATTTCTGCAGAAGATGGCCAAACAAAATAGACTGTCTCTCGAAGCAGATTCTTTTAATGAAGAACACATTGCCACTCATAAGCTACTGCTCAAACAAGTTAACATTTTAAGGTGGAATGTAACTACAACCTGCCGCACACCTAACAAAAATAGTATAAGCTAAGGTCACAAGATATGTACTACTTAAAAGGGAGATAATCAAAATAATAGGAGTTCTGGTAGGCTGCTGTCCCATAGGGCGACATGCATAAAGATGTTATACTTGTAGTATCGAAGTATTTCATTGATACCAACATGCTCTAAAATGTGAAAGCCCGATACCTTTCTGGGCCGATTCACTATGCTAATCGTCACGCTTCTATAATCAAATTGCTCAAACCTTTATTAATGTAAATATACATCTCTTTATGTTTAACATATTTTAAGTGGGTTAACAACGAGCTTAATGTGCTTCGATAGCCAACGGCTTTCCCAATCGATTTGATGAGCGTTTTGATGGTATGCTCATTCACGCCGTCGTTATAACTTTAATTGGTTTTTTTGAGGTAGTTTTATTAGACTGTGTAATGTTTGAAGAGACAGTGATGGCAAAAGAAATATCCAAATTGTACCTAAAATGAAGAAAAATAACTTTAACTGTATTTTTGGTTAGCTATTTTCCATTAAAAAAGTTTAAAGATTATTTGGCGAGTGAAATTGAAACAAAATATAATATTTAATTTAATATATTTGCAAATTTCCTTTATATATATAGAGAGCCAAAAAACGGTGGAAGGACCTACAGTTTATTCTAAAGCCCCTCCGAATGGCCGATGGTTTTTATTTTGATGTTGCATTCCGGGGATCGGAAATTAATTAAATTTTTTTTATTTGCATTAAATTCCTCTGACGGACGCGGTAGCCGAGTGGTGAGCATTTCGTATTGCCAGTCGGAAGGTTCGGGTTCAAAGCCGGTATCGTACTAACATCAAAAAAGTTATAGAAAATTAGTTTAAATAACAAAATTAAGTTAAATTTTCTAATTGCGGTCGCCACTCGGTAGGGGGGTCGAACCAGTATTCAACCCATGGTACTCCATGGTAGTACGCACTCTAACCACACGGCTATTGCGGCCAATTTTTCTTAGTTTAACAAACAAGCTCTATGACATTTTTAACCATACATTTATACATGCATACATACTCGTATACTTGTATCGGTGCCACTATCAATTGTGCAGACCACAAACAAATATCACAACACTGTTCAAATGGTTATGCAAAGAATTCGATTTCAAGGTCACCTGTGTTGTACCGCCACCGACGATCGAAAGTGATGTAATATTGCCAACATTATTCGTATTGTTAAAGAAAGCTAACCTTGAAATGAAGAGCAGAAGCAGAGACATATAATATAATATATATGTACAAACAGGCATGAGCGTATATATTGACAAAGGGAGTTGTGGTCATACCATTTTTATTGTACAATAATTTACATAAATTTATGCGAACGAAAAAATGTAAGTAGCTCATCCATAATTAATAGTCGCAGGCATACATACACACATACAAGTGTTCATATTTAGTATATATGTATGTAGGTATGAACCCTGCCGACCAAACCTAGTTTGTTTTGAAAATGCATATATGTTGATATTTTATTTTTAAATCTCGCCTGCCTATTATATTTATTAGTGCGAGTGAGAAAATGTACCACGAATACCGTGCGTTGCAGTGTTGAGTGCTATTTACCCCATGGAAAGCAGTTGCGTACCGGTCGCTTTTATACTAATTATATATTTGGCGCTTTGTAACCGCTAAAACGAATTTCAGCCAAGCTCTACCTCCAACTTGTGGAATGCGACTTTATGTTATTCCAATGCGAAAATAACAGTAACTGTTACTGTGGTAAAATTAATAGAGGGATCAGTGGTATGGAGGTTACATGATAATCTGAATTGGAGAAGTTATGATACTACTTACTTAATTGGCGTAGACACAACTTACGCGGTTTTAGCCAAGTCCCTTTCTACCTAGTGTTTTCAACGGAATGGCGGTATTCTTATCCATGCAGACCACATAACCTATCCAGCAGCGGCATTCGCCGTAACCAATTCGTAGAGGACCTAATGCTGACTCATCAGATGTTGTCATCGTCCGTGCTTCCGCACCATATAGCAGGAGAGGAATGATGAGGGACTTGTAGAGTTTGATTATCGTTCGTCAGGAGAAGATTCGATCCTGTTGGCAAGATTGATTCTGCATTGAATTTCCAGGCTGAAATTTTTGTTCATGTTAATACTGGTTCCACGACTTCAAAGTTATGACAGTGACGTGGGAGCTTAGTCGTGAATGCGATGATAGTTTGTGTGATGACAGGAAATATTTCGTCTTACCCTCATTCACTACAATTTAAGTATGGAGAAAACAGAACTTACGGTTGTTGAAGCCGCTGTATACTCTTGTAGAAGTCTTCTATATTCAGCTCAGCAGTTCGTATTATTTTCTCCAGCAATAAGTCGGCTCAGACAGGTCCTATTGAATCTTATCGAAGCTTTTAATGTTGCTTAAAGCATAGCAGCGTTGAAACAGCTGCTTTTCGTGCTGTCGAAAGTTGCTTTAAAATCGACGAAGAGGTGGTGGGCGTTTGGTGAATATCTGGTCGGTGGTTGACTTAGCAGTTCTAAAGACACGCTGACAAGGTCCAATATGATATTAATGAGGCTTATTCCACGATAATTGGGCAGAGCACACTTAAATTCAAATCGTCAGGCATTCTTTAGTCCGACCATATTCTGCAAAGTAGCTGATGCATGCACCTTGTCAGCTCTTCACCGCCTTACTTGAATAGTTCTGCCGGTAGACCGTCATCTTTTCCATCGTCTTCGAGTCACTGCCATTCAGCAGGCTGGAGAAGTGTTCCCTTCATAAATTCATTATGCTCTGGGCAACGATTGCTAGATAACCTCCTGTAACCTAAATGAATCTGCTCCGGTTTTCAAACCTTCTTTTTTGTATGCAGATGGGTCTTGTTTCCTTCTTAAGTTCTCGATATCTATCCCATCCCGCACGTGTAGTGGTCGATGCAACGTTGCGAGGTAGGCAGTTTGCTTTCTCTCCACTGCGATACGGCAGTCTTCAGTAGTACAACCACCATATGTCGGGCTCCGGCGAAGTCGATCAGCTTCAACCCATTAGAGGATGTTTCGTTGCGGAGGCTGAATATTCCGACAGTCGTACCAAAAATACCTTCTTTGCCCACCTTGGCATTAAAATCGGCAAGCACGATTTTCACATCGTGTCGGGGGAAGAGCTTGTAAGTATGCTCTAGGTGATCATAAAAGGTAGCTTTGGACCAATCGTCCTTCTCTTCCGTCGGGGCGTAGGCGCAAATCAGCGATATATTGATAAATTACGTTTTTATGCGGATTATGGCGAGACGTTCAACCACCGGGGTAAATGCCAGTACTCGACGAGGGGGCTTCTCCCCCACCACCAAACTTCCACTTTTTTATATGGCCCCTGTAGAAGATGTCACAAGAACCTACTCGCTTTCGCCCTTGTCCCGTCCTTCGCACTTCTCGGACGGCGTTGATGTCATCCTTTATTTTAGCGAGGACATCAGTAAGCTGGGCAGCGGGACCGGACATTCCAGGTGTGTGCCCTCAAATCGTGATCGTATGTGGGGTCGTCAACATAAAGGGGGTACCTCATCCGAGGCGTTGGAAATTTTTTCATTGGAGCTGGTTTCTACGTGGTGGGTTCCAAGCCCAAGCGCACAATCTCGCTAGGCGACACATTTATTACACATTTATGTGAAAGCTTCATCTCTCATTAGCCGTAACCCAAGGTTCCCTATGGGTTGGCTACCGCATATTGCAAAAATGTTGCTCACGTCTCCAAGGATAAGGTGAATGCATAAGAACCTCCGAACCGAGCTCTTGGAGCTTTTGTCTTGTGGCTATATCGATGTGTTTGGTTTGGCGTTGTCTTTCTTTTTGGCCAATTTTGGGCGCTTCTGGGCAATGGCTTTCTTCAAACGGTCTAATTGCTTACAGTACAGGACCGAACTAAGAATCTGACCGTAGGGGAGTAACTCATAGTTGGTTTCCTGGCCGTCAATGCTGTCTTAGAGATCGGGTTGTCGGCTCACTGGCTTTGTTTCAAGACCGTTTTCATTTGACGTTGCTGTAAGTGATCTACCCTCCGCCATTAGTCACCAACCGCTTCAAAAATGGATCGACTTTGTTACGATTCAGCACTGATTCACAGATGAAATTTGGTCCATGCGATTCTTTTCGTTAACACATGCAGCACCCATACATCGAGCTTCTGTGTGTATTCCGAATTTATCAATTGGTCTTGTAACTTCTTACTTGGTAGAAAAAGCCATCAAGATGCAACACATAAATCAGAGAGGAGCTTTACCGTAAGTGTTTATTTTTTATTAAATGTGCACAACTGTTAAATATAAGGCGATAAGTGTTATGCTATTGCTATTGCCTCAGACGTGTGGCGAATACAAAATTTGATTCTCAAAGTTGGAACGTCATCAAGAAGACAATTGACAATCGTACTTTAGATCAAATCTATTTTTAATATCTACATTTGTATGTTTTATATAGCATATCAGACAACTTATATAATCTAAAAGTTTCTTAATGTCAACGACACTCTATTCGGAAGGTGTAAAAGTGTTTATTTAGCCAATTAACATAAGATGGGCAACACATTTTTGCTTCTCGCTGACCCCAATAGACTGATAAACATTGTTTAGTGTAGTTTGGTCAACCTACGTAGAAAACTACAATTCTTTTCAAATTAAAGTACAAAAATTCAACTATGATCCTTAAGTAATTATGTTTTATAATTAAATTGAAATTATATTTAAACTTTGAAATATTCCCCTTATAACAATGTTAAGAGAGCGTAAAGTAATGTGGAAAAAATTTCAATTTACTTAAAACAACCAAAAATGATTTAACTTGCATACTAAGTAAACTTACCGGCAAAACTTGCGCTTTAATTTTTTAAATTTTATTTTCTTCAACTCATTTTTCATCTATTTATCTATTCATATTCTAGTGAAATATAGCGTTTGTATGTGTATACATACATACACGTATGTGTATAAATTTTTGCTGTTGCTACCATCATCAATAAGCCTCTATAGTAAATTTAAACTTTTAAGTATTAGTTTTCCTCAAGCTTGGCCCATTCGCAATTGAGAGTGAGTAAAATTTTACTATTTGGACATCGCTGTAAACATCTACGAATCTACGAATGTACGAGTATGCACACTAACTTATCTTTGTATACAAGTGCGCATTTTTGCTATGTGGAAGCAGTATTGTAATCCAACATCAGATTTTGCCACGGTTTGCCAGTCGTTTGTGCGATCGCTTAGTTTCAGTTACGAATTGTCTCTGATACGCGAAGTTTGGCACGGTGCGCAATCGCAACCGTTGTAGTTTTTTTGTTGGTGTGAAGGAAGTGAAGGAATTGCTAAATCATCTGGTTTTATGGTATGAAAAAAACGATAGAAAGATTTATTTAAAATATTTATGTTAAAAAAAAAAATACATTGTAAGTAGTGAATATAAATGTATGTATGTACTCGTACAACGTGGTGATAAAGAGACTTGAATAAAGAAATCATTTTAAAATATAAAATTAATGTAACAGTGTTGAAAAAAATTCGCGTGGAGAGCATTACATTTTCTAATTTCAAAATTAATTGAAACAACAGTTACAAAATAAGTACTTCCTTGCTTTTGCAATTGTTTGCTTATTTTTAAGACTTCTTAAATGCTTACCAAACGCAGCCGACGAATATATGCATGGTGTTCGAACAAAAGACTTAAGACACAAACTATATATGAGTATGTAAGTAGTGATTTAGCATTTAAGCACTCTTTTTTTGTTGCAGTTGTTGTTGTTGATGTTTGTGCTTCGAATTGCTGATTAACCAAAAATTACGTGCACATGTTGAAAAAGTGGAATAGCAAACATTACAAAATGTGTTAATTTTTCCATAAAATAATGTTGAAGTGTGCGTTGCAGTTAGTTAATGCTGCTATTGCTATTACGGTGTTAGTGGAGTTGCGCACAGACATACATGTATATGTATATAAAATAATACATTTGTTTTGAATCTAAGCAAGCGCTATTAAATTGTCTTATGTTCCACAAACTGGTGTATAAGCAATTGTGCAATTTTTGGATGTAAATAAATATATGAATTGAAATCAAAATGAAATTAAATAAAAAACAATATCATAATAAAAAAACCAAAGGTGTACATCATACATATTCACTCACATTGAAACCAAATAAAAGTTTATACATTATTTATTATTTGTTTAGTATTAGCTGTAATTAACTATTTAAATTTTTTATTCATATAGATATTTAATATATATATACACCTATATATTATATGTATAATACATTTATAAGCACATGTATGTTTGTTTTGGGGAATTTTACAAAATCAGGATTTCATAGTTGTTTTGGCATTGAAGTCAACAATGCCAATATTTATGGTAAAATAAAATTAAGAGCATCCCAAATTCAACAAGTATAACACACAACAGTCACAATCGTAACAAGTGAATGGAGATTTTTGTGTATATAGTTCGGCTTCCTTGTACGTCTAGTGGTGACTGTAATAACGAAAACTGCGCCACAAATGTAAATAAAGATTGTACAACCAAAACACATGGTACAAGGTGCGATACAGCCTTTTTTCCAAAAAAAAAAATTTAAATGAATTTCGCTTGAAGATGATATTTTGCCAATAATTTAGTATGAAATAAGAAGGAAATATGAAATATTAAAGAAATTTCAATAAGATTATTTTCAAGTACAATAGTAGGAAATATAAGTTATGCTATCGCGAAATTAATCAAAATTCAAAAAGTGCTCGCCCAAGAAAGGGTTTTAAGAAAAGTGCAAGAGCATTTACTAATATATTAAAATTGATTTCGATAATAAGCTGCCTATATAAAATATAAATAATATTAAAAAAAATATTTGGAACGTATACATTTAAACCAACTAGTATTACTTCGCGTCGTGTTTATCTGTGGCTATATTCATTTCAAAGGTACTGTCATTTCGCGTTGTTTTCAGTAGTTTTCATTTGTTTTAGCGTAAACAACAATTTGTTTCATTCATTTGATAATGTCGAAATTTGTACCAAAAAAGGGTTTTTTTCCAACTCCCCGCACTTCTTCATTACTTTAACATGAAGAAAAGTACTACCGCAAGCCTTCGTATTTTACTGGACGTTTATGGTGACCATGCTTTACTCGAACGAACGTGCCAAAAGTGGTTTGCATGGTTTAAAAGTGTAGACGACGGACAGCCAAAAAAAATTTCAAGACGAAGAATTGGAAACATTGCTCGACGCAGATGCATGCCTGACGCAAGAAGAACTTGCAAAAGTATTAGGAGTTGATCAAGCAACCATTTCCAGACGATTAAAATCATTTTTTCACAATAGAGTCTTAATTTTCGAAAAAAAAAACCACACGAATTAATGCATACACCCAATAGATAAGCAAGTGAAATTTTTCAGAAAAAATCAATAAATTAATAAAAAAGGACATTTCCAAATATGCATGTATGATAAATAATTCTATTATTATTAAAGTAAAAAAGGTAGTGGTTTTTGCTAAATATATAATCTGCTGCAAGAAAATACGAATCATTTTCGGTTGGTTCTTTCGTTACAGAGAATGGAGGAACCGACGTTTCATAAGATTAATTTAAATTAAATGAAAAACAGTCTAAGAATTTTTTAAATAAATAAGCAGCGCTGTGAGAACTTTATATAGATAGTTTTCCAAAATAACTCATTTGATTAGGCTTAATATGCAATTCTAGTAAAAAATTTATATCAATAAAATCATATTTTTCTATTTTTTTATTTCTATAGAAGAATATGAAATTAAACGTCTTTTATCTTTTGATTCTGGACTTTGAAAGGCACTGAAATTTTCATTTTTAATCCACAAACTTAGCTTATGGATGATTTACGTCGATAGGTACATATGAGATTGCTTTAATCCTTTACAAAACATTAAATGAAAAAAAAAAATTGTTATTCTTGTTTTTGGCATATGAGAAACTGAAATTTGACATGACTTAGACGCAAAAGGCGGTTTAGCTGGTTTAATTGTTGTTTAAATCATATACACTATTTACTTAGCGGCATAGCTACTTATACATTTTATTGAAACAATATTTTAATAAGTTTTCTTAAAATTAAAATTATGCGTATTTTTGCCTCTCTTCCGGTTACAGTGTCTATCCACATTGGAATGCACCTAGTATAAAATGGCACAACTAAGCTCCAACAGCAGTAATGAATATAATATAAATATACTAAAACTCTCGTTCCCCACGGCCAGCGCCATAAAAAAACACACACTAGCTACAAAACGAAAACACACACACTCCTCCTATAATCTCAGTGCAGATTGTTGCTGTGGCGCCATCGCGCCACTAACCACAATCCACATACTGCCACATAACAACATTGAGAAACAAGCATATGCTTTATACGGTTGCTCTGTATGGTTGCATCGATGGTATTCATGCCACAGTTAGTGGCACACAATCGATGCGAGTATGAGTTCCACGTGCATACAAGTTTATCAGCCAGTCTTACCTCAAAGCAAATGAGCGAATATGGTTGGAGCACCTTGCTTACCATCCACATTGTTTATATAACTTTGTCTACTAGTTTTTTGTTGCTTTTATTTAAGGCTTGTATTTTATTTTGATATTAAAACAGCACAAATGTGTGTGCTTGTATGTAAATACATTTGATTGTTTGAGCGAGTATGTCTGCACTAATCGCTTTAAAGCGGTTTTGGGGTAGCTACAGAAAAAAAAATTGAGAAAAACTGTTGCAAAGGAGATTGAGTAGAACCAATTTGGAAAAATAATTTTCGTATTTATTTAAAAAGGCGTTTCTTCAAGTGGATTTCGCAACAAATTCTGAGTAATTGTTAACAAATTTTGATTTGTCTAAAAAAAGCCCGTTGGTTAAGTGGAAAATAATTCGCTTATAAGGCTGTTAATAGCAAATCACCTCGGAAAACGTGACAACGTTGTTACAATCACTGCTCTCAACGGCACAAAATATTATAATAACATATGTATGTGTGATGATATTTTTTCTGTATGTAGAGACACCTCCGAGCAGCTGATAAATTTTTAAGAACAACCATTATACCAAAAACACATATTTCGTTGCCTTCAATACACCGATTCTTGAAAATAACTAACCTTGTGTTTTTTAAATAATTATAATTTACATATAAGTTGTAAAGATACGAATGAAATACAAAATTACAATTTCTGAAAGTGAAAAAATTTGATTGATAATAATAACGATTGTGACGTACTTTAATTATCTTTTGACTACATTTGTGCTTAAGGCCCACCTAGACGAAACAAAAGTAATAAAGTTTGAATACACAACCATTAAATTGCGCACGTTGAAAAATTCAATGCAATCGTATGAGATATTAAGCATCACGCGTTTTTTAAAATTGTTTTGGTCGCTGCAGTTGCACAAGCTCAATCACATAATTATAATTGACCTTGGAAAATAAATGGAAAACGTATTATATTTTTGTTTACGCCGAAAGCCAAAAGAGATGTGTGAATGTTTATACTACGAATACGCACAAAAGATGTTGTAATGAAGATATACTGCAAACAATTTTAAATAATAGCCATTTTTTTTTAAACACACATATGGAAAAAGTGTTTTTTTTAAGCAAATATATTTTTCGAAGTTAATCTATTTGATAGCAGCTCATTTTGGTTTTGGTCTTGAATCGGTAAGTGATGTGTTCTCTAGTGGATAACGCGCATTCTCAGAGACGTAGTGCAGTGCCCAATATAGAACAGAGCATCAAAGAACCTGTGTCCATCCACTTTATGGAAGATTTTGAGGATGGTTCTTGGCTTTCGCGCTTAAAAAATGCAACTCGAGCCAGAATTGAAGCCGAATGAGCATTGAGTGCGCCGCATGTTTCGTGAATGGGCCCAAAACGAGATTATTACCGATCGCGATTCTCACAAGAAAATGTTGTTCAGTTATGAAGCTCACTTTTGGTTGTATGAGTGAGTTAGTAAATAAAATTGTCGCCACTGAGGTGATGATAATTCACCAACCATAGTTAAGATGTCGTTACATCCTCCCAAAGTCACTGTTTGGTGTGCTGTTTGGGCAAAATCATTCGCCGTTTATATTTTTTCAAAAATGAGGATGTAGACGACCTGTGATTACAACAAGACCGCCCTGCAGAGCATACAGCCAACGAAAGAATTAATTTATTAAATGAAAATTTTGGTGAGCGCATGATCTCGCGTTGTGGGCCCGTGGACTGGACTATTTTTTCTGAGGTTATGTGAAATCGCTTGTCTGCGCAGATAAGACGGAGACCTTTGACGCGCTTCATTGCTGATATGCAGCCCAAATTGCTGCAAAAAATGGTAAAATGTTGGGCACTTCGGCTGAAATTAATTTTAAAACATAATGGCAAATTCTATCTTTACAATAAATCTAAATTTTTGACCATAACATGAAACGCATTTAGTGTTTTATTTCTTCTTGAAAACCACATGCCGAAAAAAGCACCCTTTATATTAAATCTATCGATATATTCATGAGTGAATGCATATTTTTGTCAAACTTGTGTATTTTTTTGGGTATATCTCTAACTTTTCCTTAAATTCCTGATGTAGATATGGTTATTATAATTGCTATGAAGTACTTTAATTACATTTTGACTACATTTTTATTTAATTTAAATACATGTTTATCGGTCCGTCCGCGCAAAGTAGACTTTCGGCTTTTGAGGTATTTTAGAACATCTCTTTATCATATATATCACAATCGAATTGCTCATATATATATACGCGTTTGACTTATGTATAGCATAGCCAAAGACAATGTTGAATGTTATATTAAATTTTGCATATAAAACTAATTGCACTTTCTTTAAATCGTATGTACATTATATAACCTGCTTTTATATCATGGAGAATAATTGCACACTACCATTTTCGCACATAATAAGATTTTATTTTCAGTACGTGTTTGCTCGAGCGGGCATCTTTTTTAATTTAGCAAATGATTTAGACAAAAATCAGAGAACAACATGACCGCCACGGCTATTCGAATTGACACAATTAAAGTACATGCACTAAAGTATGTATGTAAATACGAGTATTTGAATGATTCTACATTTATTTGAAATGAATTGCATTAATATTTAAAGATTAACTTTTTTATTCTTTTACTGCTGTTGAATGAAGATTATATATATCAACTGAATATTCTGGAAATAAATTTGTGTCAGTTAACTACCTACAGCTATTTAAAATTTGTTTTTACCGCCAGGTGCAATAACAAGGGAACATGTATTTAATTCGAATAATAAGACAGTTTACAAAATTAACGAGTATATTTAACAACCGGTGCATGCAATTGTTAAAAAACAATGAAAACTAAATAGATTTCAGCAATTATATATCTGATTAGCTTATTCAAACTTTTTAATTTTAAATTACTATTTATGCACATTTATTGTTGCTATTTTTTCCAAAATAATAACCAAGAGGTTAGCAGTGTGTGGTACCATGTGCAGGGTAATGAGTGCAGAGCCTGTATAAACCAACATTTAAATTTATAGAAAATTGATTCAAAAAATTAGTTTTTCTAATTGAGATCTTCCCTTGAGATGTAGTGTCCCCTTGTCATAAAAATCCTGCTGCTTAGAATAAACAATTGGTTCCTCCAAAACCTTCAGAAGCACATCGAAAATTGAAAGAGGAGCTGAATATCGCTTCAGCCTTGAGATATACTAAATCATGCCGTACACCATGGACCAGTCAATATAGTATACACACATAGTAAAAAATATAGTAGACGTATGTACTTGTACGTCTTGACGAATGGCTTTCATTTTTATGCGAATATGTTTTTAATTTTATATTATATTATTTTACTTTGTTTTATTTTTCTTTATTTTATTTTCTCTATATTTTAATTTAATTTTATTTAATTTATTTGATATGGTTTTATTTTGAATAAATTAATAAACTTTTACTTTTTGTTTTAATTTATTTTATTTTATTTTTCTTAACTTATATATATAATTGGCGCTTTGGTAACCGCTGAAGCGATTTTTCGGCCGATTAATTTATACATCCCCCTCCGAACGGCTGATGGTTTTTTTTATGAGGAGCCATTATTTCATGTCCGAAATAAATTTGGACATTCCCTCCCGAGGAGCGACAGCAATTAGAAAATTTAACTTAATTTTTTACTTTTGGATGTTGCTGGCAAAGGGATATGAACCCGAGCCTTCCTAATGTCAGTACGCAATGCTAACCACTCTGCTCTCGCGGCCGTTTTCTTAACTATTTGAATTTAATTTTAGTATTTTTCATATTATTTCATTTAGGTATATTATTTTATTTTGATTTGACCATATTTTAATAAATTTAGTTTAATTTTATTTCATTTTATTACTTTAATTAACTCTTATTTTTTATTGTAATATGTTATTTTGTTTTAATTATTTTATTATTTGATTTCATTCTGTTTAACTTAATTTTGCTGAATATGGTTTAGTAATATTTTTTTTTACTTTTCTTTATTTATTATTTTTTTTCTTTTATTTATTGATTTGACCTTATTTAAATTAATTTAATGTAGTTTTATTTTATTTCATTTTAACTTAGTTCAATTTAATTTATTTGATTTGATTTTAGTTTGGTTTATTTAATTGAGTTTTATTTTTTTATATTATTTTATTCTATTTTAATTTATTTTATTTTCCTTCACTGTTTTTTAGCTTAACTTATTTTATTTTTGCTTAACACGAATACTTTGAATAAGAATTGTAACTGACCTAACCTGAAAAACACTAGTGCCTTGGAAGTTATCTTAGCTGAGAGGACATACATACAAACGCATATGTACATACATATGCGTATCCCGTTGATAAATTTCAAATTTCAGATTTGCAGATTTGTAATATGCCAATTTATGCATAAGTAATGTATTTTAGTTTGGGAAATCCATATTTTTCATGTATGTAAAAACAATTATGTATGTATATACGAGTATACAATTTGCTTAAAATTATAAACTATTATTTACTTAATCGCTATTGCAGCTAAGTGTCAAGTTGAGTAATTATTTGAAAACTGCCAAATACCCTATTGTGTTTACAATACCGGAATCTATACACATACATATATATATGTGCATGAAAGCTTTTGACTAAAAGTGTAATAGAACTACCACATTAACCTCCTAAGAAAACGTAGAAGCAAACAAACGCTGAAAATCCAATAGCAAAATGCATTCACTTACAAATCCAGACACAGCGTGTGTTTGTTTATATTCATATGTATGTATGTAAGTTAATATTATATATGAAATTACATGGTGTCCACGTAAAAGAGTTGATGCGTTGGTCAGCTTAAAAGAGAGTTACGAGGTCAACATAACAACAAAAACAGCATTAAACGAGTTTAACCACGAGTAGACATAAAACCTAAAGCAAAAGCAATTAATTCCTGAAAGACTTTATTATTGAGAAGTATGTATTTAATAAAATGCAAGTATTAAACAATTTGGTTGTAATAATATCAAGATATGCCAACACCAAACACAAACACATAAACACATAAAAACATAAAACAACTAATATTACAGGGTATTTAAAGACCTAAAACTTTAATATTGTCTAGTGGATACATACATATACACACATACACGTGTATGTACATTTACACACTTCTCCACATACATACAAACATTAGCAATAAATGCATATACAAATGTATAACATACATATGTACAGACATGTAAATGCCTTACCACAGGTAAATGGACTAGATGGACTGAAGAAAAAATTAAATGAACCATCCAAGGTTGACAGCAGGTTTGTAATATCAGCGTTGCGCTACCTTGCCGGCTCCACCAGCAACAATCACCACATCACCAACACCAACAACTATTTTTATGCAATACCAAGAAATGTCGAAAATGAATACGAGTAAATATACATACATACGTGTATGTACATATGCATGCATGTAGGTAGATGAGTATGTTTGTTTGTATTCTGGCACATTGTAACAACTGTTGTACACATCAGCTGATCGGCGAGCCGCAGCAACAGCAACAGCAACATCAACAGATATTCGTAAAACCAAAAATAGTTTTTAAAATTGCAATTTTTCCGTATAATCGAAGTGAGCAGATGATACATATACATATGTATGTAAGTGTGTATGTTTGCATATGAAAGCGTATGCTTTATAAGAGTGCAGAATGAATATTTATAAGCACTCTCGACTGCAACTTTACGCACAGCGAGTTTGTTTGTTTCCCCCAAATATTTATTTGTGTAGTTACGTATGTATGTATGTATGTATGTATGTGTGCCATACCCATGACACTAATTATTTAAAATGAAATAAGAACCGCTAAAAAGTGTGTTGTATGTGTGATGGAATACGCCAAAGCAAAAACTTAAAATTGAAAACAAACGTAAATTTTTAAAGACAAAATCAAATTTGTTTTGTACTCTATTATTCATACAGTATGTATGTATGTACATACCTTTGTAGCATTTTAAATGATGACGCACATTCAGTCGGCGGCCGTGATAGCCAAGTGGTTAGCATTGCGTACTGCCATCTAAAATGCCAGGGTTCAAGTGCCGGTCCGATCATCATCCAAATATTATGGAATATTAATTTAAATAAAAAATTAAATTAAATTTTCTAATTGCAGTCGAACCTCGGTAGGGAATGTCAACTTCTCCGAGTGTATTTACGGCATGAAGTAAGGCTCCGCATAAAAAGCCCTCAGCCGTTCGGAAGCGGTTTAGTATAAACTGTACGTCCCTCCATTTTTTTGGAAAAACTACGAGACGCAAAACCACAAATTGGAGGTGGAACTCGGCCGATAATCACGTCAGCGGTTACAAAGCGCCAATTATATTTAAATTTGTATACAATACATACGAGCATATATATTATATTCAAATCAGCATATATGTATATACTTATATGTAAATGTAACTAAAAATCTTCTTATATTTTCTATTTAATACAATTAACTGCTTTAAGTTTAATTTCAATAGAATACTGGTTAATGATATTATTAGTTTCGTCAGTTGAGAACTCAATAAAAACATTTGAACAAAAACAAGCCATTTACAGCAAATTTACGGCTTATTGGAAAATATTAGACTGATTAAAGGGATTTTCATTATAAAGGCTACCTGTAATGAAATAAAAAATTTTAAGTCGCTGAAGCGATTTTCGACCGAGCTCCTCGACATTCCCTGCCGATTTTTTAATACATTACGCTATATGAAATATAGGTATATTCGTTTCGTGGCTTTAAAATTACAAGACTGTATTTTGACATCTGTTAAACTTAACTGTAAAACCAAAGATGTTTTGTTTTAGTTAAAAGTCAGGCATTTTTGTAAAAGGATCTCTTAACAACCTCTCAAAGATTTAAAATCATGATGTACATCAAACAAATTATTCAGCTACTCAAACAAATTTGAAATTAATTTGAAGAGACTGACACGGTTACAAGACCTGTGCATCATCGTATTGCTCAACATTTTTAAGAGCTGGGACAACTCAATTGCATGCTTGGACAACAAGCATTATATGGCGAAGCACATTTCTCACTTAAATAAGTGAAATTGTCGCATTTGATGATCCGTGAACCTTAAAATAATTTAAGAGAGGCTTTTATACCCAAAAAGACTTACTGCCTGGTATGCTCTTTGCTCTAGGGGTGTGATTGGAACTCACTTCTTTGAATAGCGAGGCTGTCACTGTCAATTCGGAGTATTAAGGTCGAATGATAACCGACTTTTTTGGCTTGCAATTGAGTAACTGGGATTGAAGAATATGTGGTTGCAAGAAAATGGCACCACAAGCCACTCAATATGACTCTTGAGCATTTTTAATCCAAATTTCGTGGTTGAAAATGACCTCAAACGGATTGAGGTTTGCAAAAATTTGCGAGGCGATCATTTTTTTTCATATATTATAAATATAATGCCAAGATCCATACTTTATAATTAAAAAGAATTTTACATAAAAAAATTAATTTTTAAAAACTCGAAATGGAAAACTTTGTAAATCTATTTTCAATTAATAAAAATAAATTGCGCTTTATAGTTTTAAATGTATTTCAGTTATTTTATTGTTACTTTTATTGAAGTGTATCAACAAATTCGAAAAATTCTTGATACTTCCCAATGAAGCGGTCATAGCAAAGCAGCAACACATCATTTGTCTTACGGATATACACACATTTGTATCTTATGTAAATACAAGTACATATACAAATGAAGTATGCATAAATCATTTCTTGAATAAACGCATTTGGAATATTAATTGCTTAAAAACTGAAAACCAGAATCTAACTAATATATGTACATACTATATTCGTGTATGTGATTATTCCTTTATCTTATTTTATTAGTTATTATAATTCTTACTGCACTGTACCTGTATGTATAGATTGTATGATGTGCCAAATATGCAAATAGTTGTTGCCTACATTATCTTTGAAAAAAAAAAACTAACATTTAAACTAATATTTGTAAATATTTATACATTTCCATATGTATGTATATATGTATTTTTACTTGGGTACATTTGGATATATCACTTAAGTGTTTAAATAAAATCAAAGGTGCAGCTAAAAAAATATATTTACTTAAAATATACGCTCATATGCGGTTTTTCTTATTTAATTACTGTTTTATTTGATTATTGCTTCTTTTGATGCAAAAAAAAAATTATGTACACATTTTTATTTGCATCTGTACAATGCATTTTATTATAAATTAGATACAAATGATTTTTGCGGATTTCAGTGTAGCGCAAAAAAATTTGTTTTCATAGCCATAAGTTTCCCTTGAGCCAAGTTTTCGACTATGGAGTGGACATTTTTAACAATTTTTGGCCATCCATTCTAAACTAAAAAATTATTTATTTAAATAGTAGCTGTACCCTGCAACGCCTCACCGTAGCTCATACTCATTGAATGTACGAAAAGTGAAGATATCCCATTTCATCATAATTTCATTTAATCAATACTTGTGGGAATACAACATTTACCATTGAAATTGGTCCCGGAGAGAAGTGTAGTTTTTCTGTTAATCTATGCAAAAAACCACCTATGCATTGAATTTCCAGTAAATCGAGGTAGAAATACAATATCGAATAGGTCAGTCCCTTATCCATTTTTTTTGTATAAACCTTCCCAGGAATTAATTTAAAAAAATTACGAAATTTCAATTCAATCGGTTTATAACCTTTGGGGCTTTTTGGAGATTACTGGATCTTTCCAAACGGACTTTAGATTTATATATAATATTATATTTTATATAATATATAAGATTTTTAGCGAACATTTTTGGTATTAGTTCAGTTTTTTCGAATATTTCGAAATTATAAGGAGCTTTTATGTGTACCTCAATACTAATGTATTAGGTGAAAGAAAAAGTTCGTTCGGTTTTTATCTAAGAGATGACGTTATTGTCCATAGTACTAGTGTTACGTGTCGCTTCATGTCATACTATACGGCGCTGAAAACGTGTTTATTCGCGCTAAAAGATTGTCTTTGACACAAAAGCTGTTTGCTAGGTTCCGTTTCGGTAATTTCGATGTCAAAGATGCACCACGGGTCGGGTGGCCTGTCGTCGAAAATTGCGATAAAATTATGGAAATAGTGGAAACAGACCGTCACCTGAGCACTTATTTAATTGCCGAGAAACTAAAGATAAGCCAGAAAACCACCAGAAGCTTAATGAATCGCAACAAAATCGACCCGTTTCTGATCATCTGCTACGAGCTGCTCCCCTATGGCCAAACGCTCAATTCGGCCTCTACTGCCAACAAATGGACCGCTCGATGGCAGCACTCATCCAGAAGAGGCCATCTTTGATCAACAGAGGCCGAATTGTGTTCCATCAGGACAACGCCAGGCCACAAACGTCTTTGGTGACGCGCCAGAAGCTCTAGGAGCTCGAATGGGTTGTCCATCTTCTCCTCTCCATGGTGGACGCGCTCAATGGTGAGAAGTTGGCCTCAAGAGAGGCCTATGAAAAATGGCTCTCCGAGTTTTTTGCCAATAGGGACACAGCCTTCTACGAAAGGGGTATAATAAAGTTGGCATCTCATTGGCAACAAGTTTATGAACAAAACGGCTTAAATCGGACAAATGTACACAAAGTTATCACAGTTTGAAAAAGACTTAATTCTGTCAGTTTGCTCCCGAAAAAAAAAAATGCAAATTAATTTAATGGTTTGGATATGCGTATGTTTGTATGTTCTTATTTATATAAGTGTGTGGATCTTTCGTTATGAATTCGAATTATTTCACCACAAATAATTCTAGAACACTGTTTCATATAAGATACTTTATATATATATACGTATATGTATGTGCTCATATAAATATTGAAATAATTTTAAATTATACAAAAAGAAATAAACCATATATGTACATATGCATATGTGCGCATACATAGAAGTATTTATGTGCGTATGTGCATTTTAATGAAATGTGTACGACTAAGTCGGTTTTCTTCAAAATGTATGTTCCTGTTTTTATTTAATGCTTTTTATATATTTTTTCAGTTTGTACACGGTTTGAATACTTTATGCCGTCGTCCACTATTCTAAAGCCAGTGTGAGCACCACATAAACGTCAACATCTCCAACTGTATGTATATACCATATTCGAACGTCATATCCTCGCTATAGCTTGGTAGCTTATAATCTACTCTTTTATACATACATACATACATATGTATATACAACTCATACAGGTGTATAGAAGAATATTTCCAACGAGTGCATCTGTACATGTTATAAGTAGATAATTTCATAATATAATATATATAATAAACTAAAAGAGCCACACACAAAACTGTCGATATGGCTGCTGTCGAAGTACGTAATGGATACAAATATTATGGCAGCAAATCCAATCCCAAGATTATACTCAACTATTTGAATATGAATGTAATGCGCGGTTCAATGTAAGTATTTCAAATAAAATCACATATTCTGAGAGCATTAACTGCAACTTTATGATAACCCGCACAGATATGGTCTCCTTGGTGCTTCCGGCTGTGGTAAGACAACATTACTATCATGTTTAGTTGGACAGCGTCAGCTAAACAGTGGCGAAGTCACAGTTTTGGGTATGAAACCTGGTGAGCCAGGCAGTGGTATTCCTGGTGCTCGTATTGGCTACATGCCGCAAGTAAGTGTCCATCACATCATTAGCAAAATTTTATTATTGCTTTACTTACCCGGTAATTTCTGATTGAGTTGGATTGAAAAATTCCGTGAATGTAAAAAATATATCAGGTGTACAACTTTTCTTCCGCCGTTTTTTCCAAAATGAAAAGCTTTATTGCGAAAAAGTGCTTACAGATATATTATTCAAAGTATTGTCCTTCGCTAGCGACAACTTTCTCCCATCTTTCTGGCAATTTTCCGATCCCGGCTCGAAAAAAGGAGTCCTCTTTGGCGCTATCTATGAAGCAATATATTTTTCCAATTCTGCGAAGTATTGAAAATGTTGATCTGCCAGGCCTTGTGCCATCGAACGGAATCGGTGGAAGGCAGAAGGGGCGACATCTGGGGAATACGGCGGGTGGGGCAAGACTTCCGATTTCAGCGTTTCCAGGTACTTTTTGACCACTTTTGCGACGTGAGGCCGAGCATTGTCGTGTTGGATGATGACTTTGTCATGTCGCTCTTGATATTGCGGCCGCTTTTCTTTTAGCGCGCGACTAAGGCGCATCAGTTTAATAATAAACGAGGTTATGGACAATCTAACCCTTTATCATGATACATTTTCAATTCGCTACTGATGAGAATAATAGGAGACGCAGATCAAAATATAGATGGTTTCACCCGGTTTTAAGAGCTCGTAATAAATCACACCGAGCTGATCTCACCAAATACAAATCATAACCTTGGCGCTGTGAATATTCGGTTTTGCCTTCGACGAAGAAGCATGCCCGGGCTTTCCCCATGATTTTCTGCGTTTAGGATTATCGAATCGGACCCACTTTTCATCACCGTAAGTTCCTGAGAGCATTCGATGCGCTTCAGCTGCATTTTTTTTTGGAATTGTAACAGAAAAGTAAAACTTCCCGCAAATGGTGAGAATTAGGCACATAAACGGACATTTCCGAGCGTGAATAATACGAAAACAAGAACAACTGCTACTGAAACGGCGATGACAATTCGTTAGGCACTGTCCACACTCACTTTAAAGGCATTATCATCTATGTATGTATTTCAACCAGCCTCAGCCAGTACAGCCACCTATCGGAAAACGGCGGAAGCAAAGTTGTACACCTGATATGTAAAGGTTCCCTCTTCAATCGTAGGTAAATTAAAAATCAAACATGATTGACCTTGACCCGGATTAACAGAGACACAAGCAATTTGAAATGAGGAATTAATAGGCTAATATATTTACTATATTATGCATATGTATTGCGGCCGTGGTTGCCGAGTGGTTTCATTGCGTACTGCCATTCGGAAAGGTCGGATTCAAATCCCCTTGCGACCAACATACAAAAATTACAGAAATTAATTTAAACAAAAGAAAATTTTTTAATTGCGGTCGCCCCTCGGCGGGTCCATTCACGAAACCTGCGGTGGATTCAATGCTTATTCGGCTTCAATTCTTGCACTAGTTGGATTTCCCAAGCCCGAAAAACAAGTTCTTTACGCAAAATGTTCTATGAAGTGGGTACAGCTCACCCTGTGCACTGCACGGCATCTCTGAGGATCATCTACTAGAGTATACGTGGTGTGAAACCGATCCATCCATTGCACGATTTGCAAACGTTGCTTCGAAATAAGTCTGTTCATTATGAGCTGTCAAAAAGATCAACTCCGTAAAATATCTGAAAAAACGCCCTTAATTTTGATAATTTTTTGGGATTCATTTAGCCCACTTGATACAAATTTTACAACATGATTACAAGAATCAATCAATCAAACTAAAAGGTTTTTTTGAAACACTAATTTAAAATAACTCCCGTATTTGATTCTCTTAAAATTGGAAAATATCGTCCGAATATATCAATTTGTCTTCCACGACTTACCAGAATAGACAGTCATGGCCAAATTTAAACTTCTCGACGTACCATGAAGTTTCATATTTATATATAGTATACATGAGTATGCCCATATCCAGCTCGATCAACCAACCGTTAACTGAACAAAACTACATACATACACTGCACAGCTTTAAAAAAAAAACACACAGAATATCTACGTAAATAACTTTGAATATCTTGAATAGGAAATTGCCCTCGTCGATGAGATGACAGTCAAAGAAACAATATTTTACTTCGGGCGTATCTATGGCTTAAAAGAGGACCAAATACGCGAGAAATTCAAATTATTACGTTCACTATTGCAACTACCACCGCCAAGACAGCTTGTGAAGAACTGTAGCGGAGGGCAACAGCGTAGAGTCTCGTTCGCATGCGCAATGATACACGAACCGGAGTTACTGATACTAGACGAACCGACAGTAGGCTTAGATCCTATGCTGCGCGAGAAGTAAGTTAATGATTATTTTATTTATTATTGATTATTTATTAATAATCATTATAAGATATTTTATGATATTGGTTTTTAAATATTTTTTTAGATGATAATAATTATTTTTTCAGTTTTACTTAAAATTCAAACAAAAATTATTATTATTTTTCCAAAGCAAACCGTTGAAAAGAAATTTATGCAAAAAAAATAATAATTATAACGAATCAAGCAAGCATAAAAAGAAATCACTTCAGATTTGCAAGAATGCACAAGTGGTAGTCTTCTGGTGCAGTCCTTTTGCTTCAGCGGCTTTTCTAAGTAGATGTTTTCTTGTCATTAAAAAAAAACACAAACAAACCCTGTTTTTAAGCCTAATTAATTCTAATTAAAAAATTTCATATTTTTTTACAAACCTTTCCAAAAGGATATGGGACTTCCTTGTAGAGAGTACTAGAAATAGCAAAATGGCTGTGATCATTACCACACACTATATTGAAGAAGCGAAAAAAGCTAATTGCGTAAGTAGACACTCCACGGCATTTTTCCATTTAAAAAACATATCTTTTATTTATGTTAGATCGGCTTAATGCGAAATGGTGTACTATTGGCTGAAGATACTCCAGTAAATATAATGATAAAATTTGAATGCAATTCTATTGAGGATGCATTCCTGATACTGAGTCAAAAACAAGGAGACTCGGATATTATACAACCGAATGCTGTTAATAGCGCTCAAACGCCAGCAATTATGCATTCTGTAGAAGTAATTGAGTCAAGCTCACCAGAACCCAACGATACGTGCAAGAAACCACCCTTGGTCGATGAAAATGAAAATAAAACACAACCAACCGTTTCGACCGTTCATGGCCATGAGGAGGAAACGGAAAATAAAAAACGTATATTCTTTACAACCCGTGGTCGTATCAAAGCCTTAATGACAAAGAATTTCGTACAACTATTCCGGCAGCCATCGTGAGTTGACATCACTTATATATTTATCATTATTTTAATTTAAAATCGTTTTGTTTTTTTTTTTTCAGTGGAATAATTTTTATGCTGCTATTCCCGATTATACAACTCACATGTTTTTATTTAGCTATAGGCAAAACTCCAACAAATCTTAAAATTGGTATTGTGACTCAGGAAGTTAATGATTACACAATATGTTTTGATCGGAATTTAAGAACAGTTTACAACTACAATGATACTTGCGAATTTGATAAAATATCATGTCGCTATATAAACGAATTGGGTGACGATATCGCTGAGAGAGTATGTATTCTATTTATTTTTATTCTAATTCTAAGCGTCCTCTAATTCAAAATATAATATGGATGAGTGCATAAGTTCGTGCCCGATTCCGCTGGATGCCGTTCGAATCGTTTGAGAGTGGCGCTCGTGAAAGAAATATATACATATTATATATCGTTGGAAAGGTGACAGTCCGAACTGTAAATCATGCATAAAATAACTTCATTTTGATTTGAGTTGCTTAGTGAAAAGACGCATGGAAGATGGACAACGAAAAAGATCATATGCGTCATATTATGTTATACGAATTCCGCAAAGGAAAAACAGTAGGCGCTGCAACTAAAGATATTCGCGAAGTTTATTTGGACCGTGCTCCAGCACTCCGCACAGTAAAGAAATGGTTCGCGAAATTTCGTTCTGGAGATTTTAACCTCGAAGATCAACCTCGCAGTGGACGGCCTTCTGAGCTTGATGACGATGTTCTAAGGACTTTAGTTGCGAATAACTCACGTATTTCGACGGAAGAGGTTGCCAGTGAATTGAACGTCAACAAATCAACTGCGTTTCGTCGTTTAAAAAAGGTTGGGTACACTTTGAAGCTCGATACATGGGTGCCACATCAGTTGAGTGAAAAAAACAAAGTGGACCGTATGTCAACAGCAATTTCTTTGCTTCGACGGATCAAAAACGAACCTTTTTTGGATCGGCTCGTGACTGGTGATGAAAAATGGATCCTGTACAACAATGTTCAACGCAAAAGAACATGGAAACAGGCACACGAAGGGGCGGAACCGATGTCGAAAGGTGGATTGCATCCGATGAAGGTACTGCTGTGCATTTGGTGGGATATCCGAGGCGTGATCTATTTTGAGCTCTTGCCAGCTGGAGAAACGATCACTGCCAACAAGTATTGTCAGCAATTGGTCGAATTGAAGAAAGCAATTGATGAAAAACGTCCGATTTTGGCCAATCGCAAAGGAGTTCTTTTCCATCATGACAACGCCAGGCCACATGTTGCAAAACCGACCCTGGCCAAACTGAAGGAGATGAATTGGGAAATCATGCCGCATCCCCCATATTCACCCGACATTGCACCTTCTGATTATCATTTGTTTCGATCGCTGCAGAACAATTTGAATGGAAAAAAATTTAAAAATGTGGAAGACGTCAAAAACCACCTTGACACCTTTTTCAACGAGAAACCGCGCGATTTCTATGAATCAGGCATCCGTAAATTGGTTGAACGTTGAGAGTGGATTGCCGAACATGATGCCGAATACATAATTGATTAATAATAGCGCTTTCTTTAAAAAATTTCAATTTTAGTTTGCACTTAAAATCGGGCCTGAACTTATGCACTTATCCAATATTAAGTTTTTTTTATTATATGATTGATTTAACTAATATTTGTAAGTGTGGCTCACTTCTTAGCTGCTGAAAGTCTTTCACGAAAATGTCAATATGAATGCCCCGAAGTGAACCAAATGCATTAATCGGGTCAATGTTTATTCACATTCAAGTCTCTAACCCACAGCCGCAAAATAATGACATTACGATGCAAACATACTTGCGCACGATCTATGCTTATATTCAAATCATTCAAGTTTTTCTCAATCTTTCGGTGATCCTTTCCCTAAATAAAGTATTATTGACATTCCTTAATATTCCCTGCCGAGGGGTGACCACTATTAGAAAAGTTAATTTACATTTTTATTTAAATTAATTTTCTTTTAGTTTATGGATATCGAACCGACCAGAATTTGAGCCCTGTCTCTCTGATGATAGTATACTCCTCGGCTATCGCAGACAGAATACGAACCTTGAGTATTAATTTTTTTTTTCAAATGGATCAGTCCACTACCCGTAAAAAAAATTTCAAGTGGTTCTCTGATCCACTTCTCGTAGAGAAGAGTAAACTTCCCACTAATCTAAGTGAAAAGCCACTAATCAAAACATAAATACGAGTTTTCGTTTATGCTAGTCCCTGGTTCACTATCCAAAAGTACGTGCACCGAGACTTTAAGCATACTTCCCCCCTTTGCAACGAAATCGGTTTGAGGTCAGTACATTGATAGCCATCAACTAGGCGTCATCTGTTATCTCGTTTTGAAGAGGAAACCACCGTTTGAGATTTATAATCAGGTGAATATTACCTATGGTGATAAAACTATGAGTGGTCTCTCGAGTTTAAAGACCGTTGCGCATGATGAACAGATAAGTGGAAGAAGTTTAATTGTGACTGACGAGTTGTCTGCGAGAAATGAAAATACGCTCCGCGACGATCATAGATTAACTGTGGGTAAACTTTCTGCGATTATTCCTCGAATTTCCAGATCTCAACTGAGCAAGCCATCGAAAAATGTATACCCAGCTTCACCACCAGCATAGAGAAGAATATCAAGCATATAAATAAAATAAATAGCTAAGATTATGTACAATGTATCACGTAATTCTATTCTTTAGATTATTTATAATTTTTAAAACCAACAAAAATTCAGTACACTTACTTTCTGTATATGCATCGTAGAATAATTCGCATACTCACATAAACATTATGAAATCTATAAATACAGTTTTGGTTCCATGTGGCCGTACTCAAATTAATGTTCTTTCATCAAGGTATATTATAAAACAGAGGATGAAGCGTACAGTGCAGCTAAGCGTACAGAAGTCCTGGGCTATATTATGTTTCCAAGTAATTTTTCTGAATCGATAAAAACGCGTATGGAAGATGGACGCTATGCGGATGACGGCACAGTAGAAAATTCCGAAATGAGTGTACACATTGATATGACCGGTGAGAAGATAGCGATATAAAATATTTTCAAAATAGTTATATATTAGAATAAATGAAAATAAACTACAAATTCATTATATTATTTTATTAAATAAAAGACCAACAAATCGGCTACTTTATTGAGCGCAAGTTACGTGACAGTTTTGGATCTTTTGTGAAGGGCGTATTGACTGATTGCAATCTACCGACGGGCTTGGGAAATATTCCAATACAATTTCAAGAGCCTGTTTATGGTTCATTTGATATTGAATTTCAGCAATATGTAGCACCAGGTGTTGTAATGACGTAAGTCCGTAATACTTCTTTTGAATGCGAAAGAAATAAACATTTTCACAGTTAACTTTAATCAATATTAATGCATATTTAAATAATATCCCTGATGGCAGTATGGTGTTCTTTTTGGCCACCCTAATGACGGCAGCCGTATTTATCTCGGAACGTATGGATGGTGTTTGGGACCGCACCTTAGTGGCCGGGGTATCAGCCATGGAAATGTTGTGGGCACATCTACTTACACAACTAATAATAATGGCATTCCAATCCTTTGAGGTGATAATGTATATTGGTTTGGTATTCGATACTTACAACAAAGGTGATACGGCCACACTTATTGGCTTACTGACAATGACAGCCTTTTGTGGCATGCTTTTTGGTAAGTAAACTACGCAATGCAATGTTAAAGTCAATAATAATACAATTTAAACTATTGAGAACGTTAATTAAAAATTTTAATTTTCATTCTATAGGTTTGCTCATATCAGTGTATTGCAAATCGCATACGGAAGCAAACTTTGTAGCAACAGGCGCCTTTTATCCAATGATAATTCTTTGTGGTTAGTAATGTTACGTACATAAAAAAAAATTAAATTCACTTTCACTTCCGCGTCGACCATTTCAGGACTACTATGGCCACTGGAAGGAATGCCGAAATCTCTACAAGATATTGTCTTATTCTTTCCATTTACTATACCATCAATATCAGCGAGAAATATCATAGAAAAGGGCTGGTCAATAACAAATGGACAAGTATATAATGGATTCATAGTGATGTCAGCTTGGATTGTTATATTCTTTACGCTCTGTATGGTGGGTCTTAAACGGAAGGCTTGAAAGTAGATAAGGGGTTTGGCGCCAAAGAAGAATGTTGTAGTATTAAAATTTATAAACTTATGTGCATATATAGTAATAATATAATATAAAATGCATATTACATATATATGTATGTGTATAATTACATTTAAACAAAATATTTCGAAAACTACGCAAAATGATTCTACTTTAGATTCAATTCAAACTTTTTTGCACGGCATATGCTTGCAATTATTGAATTACCTGCAAATACAAACGTAAATAGGACATTTTAATTGTGATCATTCATACACTCATTTATATCATGAACATTTTTTTTCTTTTTAAGAGAAATCATTTTTTTGTACTGTTTTATATTAAATACAAGAGTATATTTAAAATGGTAGGGATTAATGTATTATATAAGGACATACATATGTGTATGTGTAATCTATTTAATAGAAAAAATACATATAAAAAATATATTATATTTTATGTACATATTTATATCTTAATGAGCAAACAAGTGTACATATTGGGCATAACTGAGAGAATATGAAATAAATGTTAAATTACACATAAATATAAGCTTATCCTTTTCGTGGATTCAAAAGTACAGGGCTGTATTTTGACATCTGCAAAACTTAACCGTCAAACCAAACTTATAGCTAGCTACACTAGCTATGAAGATGTCTTACTCTCCCAAAGAAAGAAATTTACTGAGTTTTCAACGAAAAGGATTCAACAAAACAGCTGTTTATTTTTGCTGTTACATTTGAATCCGTTCATTTATACAGTTTATTTTTTCTGCTTCTAAGTATTTTTCTAAGTATTTTAATAAAGCATTTCTAACTTACTAATTGTATTCAAAATTTATTCTACATATCAGGTGTACAGCTTTGCTTCCGCCGTTTTCCGATAGGTGGCTGTACCGGCTGAGGCTGGTTGAAATACATAGATGATAATGCCTTTAAAGTTAGCGTGGATAGTGCCTAATGAATTGTCATCGCCTTTTCAGTGACTGTTGTTCTTGTTTTCGTGTTATTCACGCTCGAAAATGTTCGTTTATGTGCCTAATTTTCGCCATTTGCGGGAAGTTTTACTTTTCTGTTACAATTCGAAAAAAAATGCAGCTGAAGCGCTCTCAGAAACTTACGGTGATGCTGCTCTGAGTGAAAGAACGTGTCGGGAGTGGTTTCAACGTTTTAAAAATGGTGATTTCGATGTCGAAGACAAACCAAGGTTATGATTTGTATTTGGTGGGATCAGCTCGGTGTGATTTACTACGAGCTCTTAAAACCGGGTGAAACCATCACAGGAGATCGCTACCGAACGCAACTGATGCGCCTTAGTCGCGCGCTAAAAGAAAAGCGGCCACAACGTCAAGAGCGACATGGCAAAGTCATCCTCCGACACGACAATTCTCGGCCTCACGTCGCAAAAGAGGTCAAAAAGTACCTGGAAACGCTGAAATGGGAAGTGTTTCCCCACCCGTCGTATTCCCCAGATGTCGCCCCTTCTGACTGCCACCGATTCCGTTCGATGGCACACGGCCTGACAGATCAAGATTTTCAATACTTCGAAGAATTGGAAAAATGGATTGCTTCATGGATAGCGTCAAAAGAGGACTCCTTTTTTCGAGCCGGGATCCGAAAATTGCCGGAAAGATGGGAGAAAGTTGTCGCTACGAAGGACAATACTTTGAATAATATATCTGTAAGCACTTTTTCGCAATAAAGCTTTTCATTTTGGGAAAATACGGCGGAAGCAAAGTTGTACACCTGAAATTTCAATATTAAAGAAATTCTAAATGAAAAACGAAAATGAGTTTGAAATTCTTTTCCCGTGTAAGCCGGCTATATTAACTCAACATTATTTTAGAGTTTATTCGACTCTGATTAAATAAAAACCAACGTTTTTCCTTCTAAACGTCACTAATATTTCATTTTATACATCGTCGTCGCTTCTGGATGCTTAAGAATCCATTATCGTCACTGTGATCGTTATTCTGATTCTACGCCTTAGGAATGGGGTCAAGCAGCTCATGACTTCCGGTCTTAAACTAATTATTCCCTGGGTAGCCAACAAACATACGTTTGTAGGCGAACTAAAGTGAGAAGACGAATCCCATGCGGTTGTGTCTAGGGTTTGGGACCAACCACATGAAAAACAAAATCCAATGAACGATCGAAATAAGCCTCTAATGGGAGACTCCCCTTTTGATGACGTACCCCGCAAAATGTTTTAAGGATGACGATTTTAGGGCATGCAACTGGAATGTGCCGTCCTTTAATTCGGAAGGTGCCGTTGCCCACCTGGTTGATGTCCTCATAAAATTAATGGCTGACATCACCGCCGTCCAAGAAATGCAATGGTCGGGACAAGGACGGAAGAAAGTGCGCCCTTGTGAACATTATGCTACAGAAATCAAATCAAAGGAGTGCAAATTTGGTGTTGGACTCGTGATTGGAGGGATATTCTGTGGCTGAGTACTGGCAATCACTACGGTGGATGAACGTCTTGTCACAGTCTGATCAAAGCGAAACTTTCTACGCCGATTCGCGTGCACGCCCGACGAAATAAAAGGATTATTTCACCAAGGATCTATTTTACGAACGCCTGTAGCACACTTATGAGCGCTACTACCGACACGATGTCAAAAATTTTTCTTGGCGATTTTTGGGACAACAATCGGAAAATTCAGCCTCCACGACGAAACATCCCCAAATTTTCGATTTCGCCAGGGACCGAAATATGGTTGTCTGCACCACTAGCTCTCCTGCACAAAAAATTCACCAAACTGCTTGGCTGTCTCCAGACCGAAAGAACCTTAACCAAATCGACCATGTTGTAATAAAGACGGAAGACATGTATTCAGTGTTTTTTTTTCGGTTCGGATCACTATCGAACCCATCAACAAACACAAGGAAGGTTCGACGTTAAAAAGCTGCAGTCTCTCTGAGAGTACTCATCAGCAAACCGGTATAAGAGAACTGTGGGACAGCATTTTAGGTACCCTAAGTACAGCTGCAAACGAAACTATTGGAGTTGGAAAGGTCGCAAAAACAGCTAGTACGTTAAGGACTGAAGTATCGCAGTGGAGAGAAAACAAACTGCCTACCTTGCTTGGCAGCTTGGGAGGCTGGCCAAAATTCTACAAAAAGATACGGCGACTTACAGAAGGTTTCAAGACCGGAGCAGACACTTGTAGGACACAAAGCTGTGATCTAGCAACCTATGCTCAGAGCAAATTGTATTAATGGAGGGAACACTTCTCCAACCTGTTGAATGGCAGTGAAAATAAAACAACCGGGGAAGGTGAACCCGAAACTACAATTGATGACGAGGGAAACTTGTTCCGATTCCCGACTATGAAATAGTAGGAATAGCAATTGCCCGCTTAAAAACAGCAAAGCGACGGATACCAACGGCGGTGAAGAACTGATCAGGTGCATGCATCAGCTTATTTGTCAACCCACATTCATCTCATAATCTGCCCCAATTACCGTGGAATAAGCTTCCTTAACATCGCTTATAAGCTCCTATCAAGCGAATTGTGTGAAAGACTAAAACCCACCGTCAACAGACTGATTAGTCCTCATCAGTGTGGCTATAGACCTGTTAAGTCAACTATTGACCAGATATTCACCAAGCGCCAAATCTTAGAAAAGACCCATGAAAAGAGAATTGTTAGGTGGTGGGTGTACCTCTTCGTTGATTTTAAAGCAGCTTTCGACAGCATAATACGCTATGTTTGAATGTGGTATCCCCTTGCACGGATGTGTAAACACTTAAAGCTCCGTCAGGATCGGGAAGTACCAGTCCGAGCCGTTCGATACAAAGCGAGGCTTTATCGTGTGACTTTGCTTATTGCTGAAGAAAATAATACGAGCTGCAGAATTGAATAGAGAAGGTACAATCTTCTACAGGAGAGTGATGATATTGACATTATTGACCTCAATAACCGCGCCGTGAGTTCTGCTTTCTCCAGACTTGATAAAGAAGCGAAACGAGTGGGTCTGGTAGTGGGCTGGGCAAGACGAAATATCTCCCACGTTACCGTTGACAGTCATAACTTCTAGGTCGCAGATAATTTCATCTATCTAGGAACCAGCATCAACACCAATAATAATATCAGCCTGAAATCCAACGCAGAATCACTCTTACCAGAAGGTGCTACTTTGGACTGAGTATGGCGCAGAAGCGTGGACGATGTCATGATCTGACGATTTGGCTGGTATAGCCCTTTGCTCATTGCCAACGACGAATACCGCAGACGATGGAACGATTAGCTGTACGAGCTATACGGCAACATTGATATACTTAGTTCAGCGAATGAAGATATAGCGGCTACGCTGGCGAGCTCATATTGTCCGAACGGATGAAAGCGTGAGAGTGGCATGGCTTCACTTGGTATCTCCAACTTTAGCAAAGCAGCGAAAAGAAGAATGAATAGCGCTAATATTGATTCGGCTATAACCGATAATTCTATCATCTCTCGTCTTGGTGATGTCTGTTGACCACCGAGATCGTGCGATTTAACGCCATTGGACTGTTTTTGTGGGTTTACGCGAAAGCCGCATTTATGTGAATAAACCGTTAGCTCTTAACTCCTGAAAAGCAATCTACGTCAAGTTATAACTGAAATACCGAAGGGAAGGGGACTGCAGATCGATACACAATAAGCAAAGCAAGCACAAACTCTCTCAGGAAAATAAGGGTATACTTTCAGTTTTACAGGCCCATTTTCACTGTTACCGGTAAAGTAAATTTTGTTACTTTTCTTTATCACCTGAAAATGAATTTGGTATTCTGACTGGTTACATTGTTTAAAAAAAATTTGGCAGTGCTGCTTTTTTCGTCCATGTCAAATTACATTTGCCAGTTGATAAAGTAAAAAGAAAAATATTCGAAACGAAATGGAAGACGGTGCACAAAAAAAATTAAAAAGTTTTATTAATTTGTGTATTGAATCATAAATATAATATTTGAACGTAATTATGGAAAATATGCCTGGACAACAAAAAAAGCTGAATGAAAACGTTATCTTACAAATTAAAGGGCTATTTTTTAGTCTCGAAAACTTCTTAAAATATGGCTTTTTGCAGTTTTTTCTTCATCTTCAATGAATTCCAGGCCTACAATATGACTACCCAGTTTGGTTTTTTATTTTTTCTCAAACTTACAACCCAAAATCAAACAGCAGATCTTTTTGTTACCTCTTATTTCGCTTGTTACAAAATTTACAGGGTGACAGTGAACTCAGAATACGAATTAGTAACAAAATTTACTGAATGGTAAATTTTAATACCAAAGTAAATTTTGTTACCTTTTCAGAAAAAAGGAACTTAGCTCGTGGTATTTTTACAAGTTTTTCCCACCATTTCGTTTATACATATATTTCAAATAATCAAAACCTTTAATTACTATAATAAAAAAAAAATAAAATGCGACATAGAACCCTTAGCGTGCGTGAAAAAATTTGATATCTGAAATTACCGCTTACATGGTAAGCGCAGTAGTAAGGTTAACTTATTTATTTTCTTGCGCACCGTACTCCATTTCGATGTGAATATTCTTCTTTTTTACTTTACCAACTGTTAAATGTAATCTGACAAAGACGAAAATGCAGTGCTGCCAAGGTTTTTTCAAACATTGTAAGCAGTTCGCCAGAATACCAAAGTCAATTTCGGATGGTGAAACAAGTAACAATATTTACTTTGCCGGTAACAGTGAGAATAGGCCTGTAAAAGTAATTGAGGCGTGGTGAAGCAAAATGTTGCCGACCATCAACTTGTTTACGCTTCATCAATTCTCTTATGCAAGACATGATATTTTAACTTCACAGAAAAGTGAAAACAACACTGCAATATTGCTAAATTTCAATTTTGTTATGTTTTACAAAGTTATTAAACAACAAAAATTAAAACTACTGAGTAGTTTTTAGGCTTTCATTGTGGCATACCATCAGTATTCTTCGCTACGTAGTCAGAATTTTATCTGTCAAACTAGGCAAAGCGAATTTCATGTGAATCGGCCTTAATTAAAATGGATTCAAGTTGTGTCAATGAAATCCAAATGCGAGCCCTGTAGTTGAAATGGTATAGCAAACATAAAATCACTTAATAAAACTAATTTGCACACATTGGCTGCTATGCAATATATTTTAATTGGTATCTTGTGTGTTCAACCTTCGATTTGGATTGTAGTTGTTTTTTAAACCAGTCAAACAAAATCAGCTATATGGCAGCTCCTAAAGCAACCCTGATAAATGGATTGACCAATCAAAATCGAGTTTCTAAAATTTTCCCTTACGGAAATGAAATGTCTTCGTGAAACACACACAACGCCAAGCGTTTGGTCGAAATTGGATTTCATTCGTAATTTGACCGAGAAAGGTTTGTGTTTTAACGGAGAGTTATATCCGTTGTTGTAGTGATATTTATTTTTTTATAAAATAATAAATAGTAGCAGATAAAGTAACTTTTATTAGTTCCTTAAGTCTGCAACTGTAAGAAATAAAATATTATCGGTAAGTACTAGTATTTTCTGCAAATACATTTTTATTTGGATCGAAGCGAAAAAAATTTCCCAGTTTTCTTTTGAAAGAAGAATGGGGGGAGTTTGCTTAATTATAAACAAAGCACTTATTTATAAGAGAAATTCGATGGTTGCATTTAATAAAAATTATATATATTTTTTTTTTCCAAAGTTTTCAGTACTTTGTACATACACAAATTTATCGATTTGTGAAAACAGACATCGGATTAAGAGACGAATAGTACGCTACTGTTGCTAGTCAACATGGCGGACGACGAGCAATTCTCGCTGTGTTGGAATAATTTCAACAGCAATTTATCTGCTGGTTTTCATGAGTCGCTATGTCGTGGAGATTTGGTTGACGTGACATTGGCAGCGGAAGGGCAATTCGTTAAAGCACATCGTTTAGTTCTTTCGGTTTGTTCGCCCTATTTTCGGAAAATGTTCACACAAATGCCGGCCAACCAACATGCTTTCGGTAAGCTTGAAATTTCCCTTTATGTGATTATATCGTTTAAATATAATATATATATATGTTTTGATTTAGTTTTTCTGAAGGATGTAAGTCACACAGCACTGAAAGATCTTATACAATTCATGTATTGTGGAGAAGTGAACGTTAAGCAAGAAGCTTTACCAGCGTTTATTAGCACAGCAGAGGCTTTACAAATAAAGGGGTTAACAGATGTAAGTAAATAAGTGTGAAGCACATAATTTTATGCAGCTGAGGGGTACGCTTTTGTTTTGCGCCATTTTTGTGTATATATGTATACATGTCAAAGAATGCATTTGTATTTCGGCATGTATCCATACAAAACTGTACCCACCCTGTAATAGCAATATTCGAATTGGAGAGGTACATACGAATTATGTTGTTTAGTACACTCTTTATAATTTGTAGTGTTGCTTTTCATGTCTTATTTCTATAGGATAGATAACTTTATTTTATTAATCTAATTATTTTCTAGAGCGATCCTCCACCATCACAATCGCCTGCTGAACCGTCTACACCTACGCCTCAAATTCAACAAATTTCCTCTCCGCGAGTACGCCAAAGAACGTCAACGTCACGTTCATTTAAAATAGAATCTGTTGAAGACTCGGGAGATGACAAACCGACCCAAATTGTCATACAAACTACTTCTGCTCCCCCAGCGCAAGTAGTTGCTCAATCCCAAACTCAACATCTGCAACAAACTCAAAATCAAACACATATAGCACCTCAACAAATTGTAAACACCACCACCACCGCTACTACCACCGTTGTCACGCATAAAAGACCAGCGCGCAGTATTGGAAGTGGGCCTCATATTAAACGCACCAAAAGTACAATTGACCCCCTTGACACAACTGATGTGTCGACTGGTACCCAGCAAATAACTGTACAAACAGCTGTTGTGACGCCTGCCTCTGATACAAAAACACAAGTACAGCAACAACAAAGCGAACCTGAATATATAGACTTGCCAATAGAATTACCTACAAAGTCAGAGCCAGATTACGCAGAAGATGCTGGTGACGTGGAAGGAGGCGAAAATGAGACAACTTATGTTGAAGATGATTCTTATGGAGAACTTCGTTATGATGAAAGCTACTTCACGGAAAATGACGATGCACCAACCGGTGCGACAACGGTACAAAGTGGAACTGGTTCAAGCGGTGGTGTGAATGCAACTACATCAAAAGCATTGGTAAAACAACAGCAATCATCCTTTACCGACACATCGTACGTGGACGTTGCGGACCAAGCGAATAGCGACGCACAAGGTTGGTTGAATATGCTAATTTATTCTGTAGAAATTAAGAAAATGGTGCAATTGTAATTGAGCTATCAATTAATTTAATCTTATAGTGATAATCAAAATATTAGTTAATGGTTCATTTGCAGTTGCTTCCATGTTGCGTTAAGTCATTTTAATTGAGGTTGATTCGTAGTAGAATCGTAAAGAAGCCTTTATTCAGATGAACTTATACCAATGAAATCTTTAGTATATAATAAATGTGTGTTTATATGAATTACGTATAAATCTTGCGTTGTCTATGATGATGCAACGGTCTTTAATCGCGTCTTACGTTTTTAAATTGGTGAAATTGTTTGTTATTTGTGTGTTATTTCATTAAGAAAAAATTGTGCCTATTCGTTGATGGTGTGTTCACAAAGTGATTAAACTTTTACATACATTTCTGAAATATAAAATACAAACGGGTAAGTACAATACAAAATGATAAGATAAATTGATTTTAATTTTTTTAATGCCATTTTATTTATTTATTATTTTATGTTGATCAAAAATTATAAACTAAAACATATTTTTGCATAATTAGTTGTAAAATTTTGATTACATCCTAATAGAAATTTATGACAAATAATCCTTATATTAAAAGTTCTAAATAAATTTGAAGAAAAAAAAAACTAAAGATGTTGCTCATTATCGAGCAACGGTGATTATATCGCCGAGTCTAAAATATTAAATTCTAATTTCTTTATGATTAAATTGTGGGGATAGTTCTAAAATATCAGTTGCAAATCAACCATACATAAGATTATTGAAAATTCGAACATAGCTACAAAAAAAAAAAATCAGATTAGAACAACTCGAAGCAAAAAGTTCTAAACATTAGTGTCTTGTATTTAAGTCGTTTGCTGTGTCGCGTGAACATTTTTATATTTTGTTCGCTTCGATTTTCGAAACTTCAAAAAAAAAAATCGTGCTGCTTGATCCTAGTTACTCAAAACATTCTGCAGAAAATGTAATCTTAGTTGCTCTACTTTTGCTTAGAGCAGACTCGTGAAATAAAAATAGCGCATTATTTTACAAAATATTGGTAGGTTTCATAACTTTAAAATAATTATAATAATGCGGTTACAAATCCTACATTCTATAAATTTGCCTCGCAGCAACACTGCAAACTGGCATTTTAAAACGCCTTCTGTGCAAATAAGTTGCCTTTCAGTGAAATGACTAAAATAATCAAAAAATATGTTTAAAAAAAGCTTTTGATAAAGCGTGGCAAACGTTAGCGTTATGCAGTTGCTTTTGTTTGCGCATCAATAGCTATCAATACATTTTGGAACATGCTACATCTTCAAAGTTTGCACAATAGAAATGTTTGAAAATGTATGGTTGCTTTGTAACTTTCGTATTTCAACTCGTCCGTTGTTGTCGGAATCAGAATTAGACCGAGCAGTTATTCGTTGAAAAAATTGGGTGCAACGCGTGCTATCCCAAAATAAGAGCGCTAACGTATTGGCGTTTTTTTTTTCTTTCTCTTCATGTTCGCATTACTTTAAGAACATTTTATAAACTAATTGCATTTATTTCAATTAAAATAATACGAACTTAATCGGTCGGCAAAAGTGTGCCTTCGCCTATTAAATAAACCTTTCAGTGAATATTTGGCGTTTTATTTTCAAAATACAATTTATTTGTCAATTTTTTTTCTTCAAGTTGCTTATTACTCTTCGTCAGTTTATCCTCCTTTCCTTCAAACTTTTATCTTTCACTGCTAACTTCCTCATATAACGCGCTGTCAAAATTCATAATTCCATTTGCTCAACGTTGACGCCGCGTTATTGTGGGATGTCCCATACAAATTGTATCACCATGAGGATTTTAACAGTTGTTTAGCGCTCAACGGTCCAATTTAGGGATAGAAGAAAGGGATGGGTCAAGGAGATATTTGAGTCCAAAAAACGATAAAAGAAGCCTTCTGCTTCTTTGTTAAGTCGAAATTGGTCTATGAATCCACATAAAAACAAATTTTGTATCAGCAAAGATAAAGTATTATTACGATTTTACTAAATCAACCTAGATTATTTTCTAGATCCTTCGGGTACGATCTCTGGATTGTTAAATAAAAACTCGCCAATTCAATTTGCAGTATTTTTCGTTATAAAGATTTTATCTAATGTCCTTTATTTACTCCGTAATTCACAATTCAATTACAATGCACTTTTCTATTTACAATCACTAACATCAACCTTTACAATTTACTCTACTTAAATGTAATCTTCAACGCGTTTACTTTACGACTTTACTGATGTTAACGCCAACCAGTTCACTTTGTCACTAACTTAACTTGGCAGCTGAGTGTCCCCTTATATAGCAATCGGCTGCTCGCAGACGAAAGCGTAGAAGCGTCGATTTGTTCGTTTCTAGAATGTACTAGTTATCGGCTTCTCTCTTTCATCTGACATTCGCCTCGCATTTTCGCAACAATATGTAGTATGCGAATTTTATTTACATCGACTCTGGCAGCTCCAGCGGATTGCTCTTATCCCTTATTATTTTGCGCTTTATTTTCTGGATGGTTTCTCCATATCCTAAATTCATCAAATAAATATGCTATCACTACCGAAGTCAGGGAGTGTTCCAAAACCTCGAAGTGCTTTATGGTGATGCGGCTTCGCATCATTACAATGCAACCCTGTATCCTAAAAATTTGCCTTGCAATAATACTTGGCGAATTCCGACATTTTCGAACGCTTTTCGTGCAAATACGTTGCATTTCGGTGAAATGGCTAAAATATAAAAGAGATCGAAAAAATAAGTAATATAATGTTTAAAAATATAATTCATACAAAAAGTTACCGCAGTTTGCTTTTTTTTGTGTATCAATAACTCAACCGATGCATTTTGGAACTTGATACAACTCCAAAGTTTGCACATTTGCATTTAGGAATGCGGGACAATAAATGGTTGCTTTGCATTTTACTACTAAGTTAATATTAGTTAATAATCACAAATGTATTGATTTTATAATTAAAATTAAATTTTTTTTGCACAAGTGTGATGACAGCTGATTGAAATATTGGTTTTGCTTATCTTTTCCGATAAATATAGAATCATTTGGTCCGGTTCTATAACACCTCTGAATATGTTAATTTCGTACTATAAAAGCAACGTTGTGTTTTTTAACTTTTGCTTTTTATATCATGGCAACTCTGAGAATTTGGTATGTGTATTTATATTTACAGAAAACAACTATTTTATTATTTTCAAGAAATATTTTTTCGCGTCCAACTTTAATAATCTAATAATTTGAATAAGTCAATGTTTGCTAGAGTTTGAAACAGTGAAAAATATTCCAATCGATTTCCTACAAAGTTAAACCAAGGGCATTTCACCCATGTCGAAATACTATCAATCTATTTCGTCTATGACTACATATGTAGCTTCCAATAGCAGTGTGTGGAAAATTAAAGCTGAGGTGAACAAATTCGTTTCATCATATGAAATGTACTATTGGACCCATATTTAAAAGTTTTCAAATGATATGTAACAACTAGAGATATCGCATGGTTTATAAATTTAATTTTTTGTTTCGCATCAGAATTCTAAAAAAATAGCTTATGTTCCTGGGGAAGATCTGTCATTTTGGAAAAGTTGTGTAAGTTTAATGAATTTTTAGATTTTCTGAACAAAAATAACTAAATTTTTCAAACGCGTTCTTCTAGGTACATTACTATCATCAGACTTATTGAAGTGCTTTTCAATCATATTCAATTCACATTTTTTTATAAAATAAATGGCTAAAAATTAATTGATGTTGGAGTTTGAAACCGTCGTTTTATTCTATAATCATTTAACTCTAGATATTAAGTAGTGTTTACGATTATTTTGTATGAAGACCTATTATCATTGTCGTTATTATTATTATCGTTATTATACAGGTGAGGGCGAGGTGAAGTTCATACGCAGCCAGAAAAAAAATGCCCAGCTTGTTTTTAACGGCTACATATACAACAAAAAGTTGACACAAGCAAATGGTCAAACGACCTGGCGTTGTATAGATGTGTTAAAATTACGATGCAAAGCAGTTGTCATAACAAAAAATAATGCTCTGGTTGCAGCACGACGGACTCACAATCATGAAGATCATCAGCAACGTATTGGCCAACGCCCCTTGTATGGTATCGAAGAAGATCTGGGAGAATATATCGAAATTAAACCCGAAGATCCGAAACTTGCAGAATTAATGAGTGCTTCTAACATTGAGATTTGTGCACAAAAAAGTGGCAAAGAGTATAAGCTTTTCGTACCAACACCGGCTGTGCGTGCAGCTACAACAATTTGGCCAAATTATCAACAAGAGTAATAGGATAAAGCTAATTGTAGCTTAAAATAACTTCCATTACATTTATGTTTGGCAAAAAAAGGAAATAAAATAAATATTTATTTAAAATAGCTCTTAGCAGAAAAACTGAAGATGTTTTTTTTCGATTTTTCTGTTTTTTTTTATGAAGACTTAAATTAAGAAATTATTTACACTTAAAATTTAGTTATTTCTGTACTAATGACTAAAATATTTAATTTTAATTTTTCTTTTACTATTAACATTACAGACACAAACTTATCATTTATTGTTAGTCCTTGGGCTACACCTTGCCTGGTATTGCGAAATTACATGTACAACTGCCACAGCCGCAAGAATAGTAAAGAATATTGGCGCTGTCACAACTATTCTAAGAAAGTGCAATCAGAGCGTTGCCGTGCTCGATGCGTGTTAGAAGATGGAAAACTGAAGTCGGAATCTGGAGGTTTACATAATCATCCGCCACATACCGAAAAAATCGAAAAAATGGTTGAACGCAATCGCATGGTTGAGCTGAATAATACTGGAAGTGCAGTAGGACAAAGTATAAGTAGGACTAATATTGAACTGAAAGCGAGCCAACGCACGTTTCATATGCCGCTACGGGTGCAACAACCGGGGGACGAACTCATCGATACGTCTATAGTTGTGATAGAAAACAAATATAATACGAAATTTTAAAACATCTATTTATAAGTCATTTGTGCACGAATATTATGTGCAAATAAACGATATTACAATGAGACAATATTTACGTATTTGAAGAAAGGATATACCCACATGTATATAGCCCTAAATATCACATAATTGAAATAGTAGCTATGGTTGCCTATTAAATGTTACAAAAATGTTTACTAATCAATCTAATCAAATTTTACAGAGTCCCAAACGATTCCAAGAGATCTGGAGGAGGAAGCATACGCCTTTGATGTGGCAGAGAATCGCGTAAATTATCGCTCAAGTTTAAAAGGCACCTATCAACTTGTATTGGATGGATTTCCATACTCTAGACACCGTATACGTGGGGGCACTATTTATTGGCGCTGTGTGCAGTTTCGTCCCTTAAAGTACGTTTTAGGAAGTAGTAAACCAATATATTCATTATTATCATTGATCGTTATGTAGTATTTTTTTTTTTTTAATTTTAGATGCAGAGCAAGGGTGCGTACTAATCCGGCAGGCGACCGAGTTTCCATTGTGGACGAAGACCACAATCATCCCATAGTACGTGAGCGGCGTAAAAAGGGCACCCTTAAATGTGTATATGAACAACGCAAGCTGGATCAACTCAAACGTTGCTTCAAGTAGTGATAATCGAAATCCTCTTCTGACTGTTCAACTTCGATCTTGTTCATTAATTTGAATCATATTCATTAAATACATACATTTAATATGTAAGCTGCATGCAATTCTCAGCTATAAGTACATATAATTACTCTTGCGATAGAGTGATTTAAATAAATATGAAACAGTTTTTTAAGTTTCTAAAAAAACAACGCATTTCGATTGCATTCTGAGCTGCTATTTATAGTTAATTACTTATAATTTTTTATATATTTTAGCGATATCGTTTACTCCTAAGGACATCGCAGTTACATTTGAAAGCTTGAGATACAATTACAGAGGCCAGTTGGTCTATAATGGTCACACTTATTCCAAGCATGCGGAAAACGGTAGCACCTGTGTGGTGTATTGGCGTTGCTCGGCATATGCAAAATGGCGTTGTGGTGCAAGTATTAAAACTCGCGGTAAAATACTAACAGCATTACGAGGCACGCACAATCATCCAGCTAAAAGTCAACAAAGGACTTGCAGTCCAATAGTCTTTAGACAAGTTGAAAAACAGTTGTAAAATGTAAACCCTTTCATACAATAAAAGTAGCGCGTATTAACAAAAACTATTATTTTTATATATGTATACACACATACAAACGTACTTGAGCTATATGTTTATTCATAATATTATATTCAATTATTAATATTCTTCATTTTTTCTATTTCAGTTAAGAAGCGTACAGCGGAAATCACTGGTAACGAAATTGTATATCGGGTTGTGGCCCCCTCAGTAGAGGAACGAGACATGAAAATAAGTTCGAACGAACAAACTTCGTCAATTCATAGTGTACATGGCCTGACTGTTTTTAAATCATCATACTCTGAAGTAAAGTCCGGTGAAACTATTTTGAAAACATCCTGGAATAATCATCACTTAACCAAAGTTAGTAAAAAACGTATGCGCGGCAAATGTGTAAGCTGTTTGAAAGTAGCAGGCGGAAACCACATGGGTATTCAGAGTGTTACTACATATTGTCCGCAATGTCCCGGTGGTGTTTGGATGTGTATAGAATGTTTCGATAAGTCCCATTAGGTTATTATTATAAATGCCGGTGAGCTATAGTTAGCATATATAGGTTAGTTTTTTTAAATTGCTTAAGTTTAAATATTTCCTGATGGCTAAAAAAACCGGAGCTGACATAAAATTTCATCTGTATTCAGCAAGACTGATGAATTGAAAATATAATGAAGTCTACAAATTACCGCAATCAATTTATGTTTGGCTATATTTTGGATTAAGGATTTTAAATTTTTTAATTACTCATTGTATATGTTATATATATAATAAAATGATTTTATTTAGAAAAACGTCATTCACTAGTCACAACTTAAATTTCACCGAAAAAGTTTGACTTTCTGTTTACACATTTGCATACATATGTATATGAATTACTCTTTTATTTCGATATATTTTATATTTTTTGCACAGATATACACAATATATATTAGATCACTAATATATATATATATATATATTTGTTTATTGATTCATTTATTTTTATTTTTTATACTACCTTAATTTGAAGTTTAGTTGTGTATGCTTTCGCGTTTGATATTAAGTTTACTATCATCATTTGATTTTCGCGGATATTTCTTTTGTATAAATGCATGATTGTGTTTGCCATGGAGAACTTCAAGTTGTGAATTTTTTGTTGTGCGTACACGAGCCCTACATTTTGTGGTAGATCTAGTCGAACAAATCCACTTAATGCCCTTTGAATTTTCCATGAACTTAACAAACTGATATCCAGCATATACGAGTTTAACGGATTTTCTTTGTCCAGCGGTGAAATAAAATTGTTGACTGCTAACTTTCGCTGTGGACACTTCTGCTAAAATGAGAAATACATAAGTTAAATGAGACGTTAGTTGTAAGTTATTAGAACTTCATTTAGCAGTTATTGCTTATGTATTATTGGTATCATATGTCTTGAAGATTAAAATTAATATCAGTAATCAATTATTTCATAATTACATATGTATTTTATTAAAAATAACTACGTACACATTTTAGATAAGTTTTAGAAAAAAAATGCGGTACCGTAATAATATTAACTCAGTATGCATAAAAATTAGATCACTAATGCTCTTAATGGGGCTAAATTAGCATAATCGCCATTTAAGCTACTACATTTACATACATACATACTTCCGAAATTACTACTTCAAACTTTTTTTCACAATGTCGCTCGGTTCAACTATTTCTGTGACATCAGCTACGATTTCCTCATATTTTAAATGCATTCCTAGCTCAGCTACATCAATAGGATCTGTAGTTGTAGTTGCCACCGCTTCTACACTTGTATTTTCGATTGCCGGTGTTTTCTTCTCCTTTTTAGACGTTGTACCGCCACTAGGTGGTACCCGGCGTGTACGTTTCTTACGTCGAACGATTTCCTCATGCGTGTGGTAGCGATTAAGTGGCATAACTATATCGTTGATGGTATAGACGCGTGAACGGCACTTTTGGTTCCACCATTGATTACAGCGCCAAAATTTTTTCTCCTCCCCAGTTGCTAACTTCAAGATTTTTTCAAAGATAAACGGTTGCCCACCATAAATGAGTTGCACACGCCCCCGTGAAGTGGCTGAATAAATAGCGACACTGCCCTCTGGAGATAAATTTAATATGAAATAAACAAGATGTTAGTGTAAATCTGTGTATGTATTGATTATAGTGTAACTTATATAAATTAGTTTCAATAATAAAAAAAAAATACAATATAAATATGCGTACATCAATCGGCATAAAGACAAGTTTTATTTTTATTTTGCTTTAAATCTATTTCAAAGTGATTTCTCAAGTTTTTTTAATATACGTGGAGAGGGTTCATGATTGTGTTCAGGCTTGGTAAGACATACTCTGAACAAACCATTTGGTTGTTTCGTTGTTGTTATGCGTGCCTTACAAGGCTTCATACCAACGCGTCGACTTCGGCAATTCCAGTACGTAGTGTTACCACATACATTGTTCTTCGCATAGGTGAAATTGTTAAAACACAATAGTGATTTACCACGCTGGCCTGGTATGAAGCTGAGATTCATATTCTTTTGTGTTAAAACTACTGATGACTTGACTCCCTGAATGCTGTCGTCCTTTTCAACTTTTATTTTAGATGTAGAAAGCTTACTGATTGTGGTCGTTCGAGATGTTGAGTGATCTGGAAAAAATTGCAAGTTAGTGAGTAGGTTCTGCTTATTCCTCTCCTTTAGTGATAATACTTAATTAATGTCTACATTTACAGTGAGTAACCTTAATATTATATCTTGCTTGTTTATTTTGTACTTTTTCAATTAAAATAGGAATTTATTATACATAATTAACGTTGTAGACTTTCAATTTTTCAATTGCCGAGTAGGAAGGGATACGATTGGTTGTGGAAAGAGTGGTAACTTTAATTGTTGATATTGCTGTTGTAGATGTCGTAATTGAGGCAAACATCGAAATGAATTTATATCATGACTTAGCTCTAGCTGTTGCGTATCAGTCGCTGCTTTAGAACACCCCAATGGCCAATGGGTTAAAGAGTTTTGATTTTGCGCAATTTCCAAACCTTCAGCCGTATACATTGGTTTATGATTATGCTGTGCTGATCTTACATGAATTACGTCGCCACTGTTGGTGTGCCTAGTTACAAGTCTCGCCCGGCATTTCGCCTTGTGGTACATTGAACATTTCCAGTCTCGTGAAAGTCGCCCATCGCGTACCTTTTCATTCGGTGTATATGTATTGTAATTGTAAAGCACAAGTTGAGTGCCCCGACGTGATCGTATATATTGCACTGGAATTGGAGCTAGGAAAAAATAATCAAATATTTGTTAGAAGAGTATAAAACAAATCAACACATATTATAGGAAAGATTTTTATAAACGATTATTATGATTTTGCTTTTCTTTTAATAGTCTTAAATTATTATTTTTATTTTTTATAGATTTTGTTACAGACGAAGCTGTCTTCAAATTCTTGGAGATCAATTAGCATCATACATAATTTTAATACAATTTTACTTTTGCCTATAACTTTGTTGTTCGGCAGTGTGATTATGTTTCTTTCGCAATATTAAGCCAAATGTATCTTTGCATATAACTGCACGGGCGCGACATTTATTTCGAAAATTAGCACATTTCAAGTAATATTTACTTGCTGATTGGGAACCGATTACAAAGCGATAGTTTTCTATGGTTGTGAAATTGGCACTCGTAAGAAGATTCTTTTTTTCTGCAAAAATTAATGTTAAAAAATATATATCAATGGTATAAATTTTATAGTTTATATGGTAACTTATGGTATGTATTTGGGGAAAAAAACTCTTAAGCAAGATCTTTTATCATATAATAAAACTCTTTTTTGATTTGGGTGCTACAACCAATTTTATTTCAGCTTAAACATACAATAAATATTTTTAAACCCATACTAACTAATAAAGCTTACCTTTAGCGAGTTGTTGATTGATTATAAGTCCTTTGACGGAAATTCATTCTATATACTTTCACTGGCGGTTATGCAGCGCGATATGGCTACATCATCCACTGCATGCCCAGGAATGGTATTTTGCTTCGTGGTGTACATGTGTCCTTGATAAAGCAATCTAAAACCCTTTAATTAAGTTTGTATTCTAATGTTGCTTGTTTGTTATCTATAAATCTAAGTTCATTATCGCTAGAGCTTAATAAACAATTTTCAGCACACTAACACATCTCAAAATAGCTAATTCTTTACTCTTTAAATTTATGTATTTTTTCTTCTATTTCATATTTATATATGGTTATGATCACCGCGGAGCGATGCAATCTGATCACATTTTGTTATAACTCTCGCAGTGCATTTTGTGTATTTGCAACGTAGTTTGACACACTCCCAGTAGCAAACATCCTTAATGCGTCGATTTAATGTATAGGGCTTGCCATTTATGGTAAGTAAGTTGTTGCCCCGGACACTTCTTGTGAAACAAACGTCCAGATCTTCATACTTTTGTTTACGCTGCTGCAATCTGGCAATTTCCATGCCTAACAATCCACTTGAAGTATTGGCGGCACCATATTCTGAAAAAAGTTTTTCTAGTTGTATCATAACAATAAAGCAGCAGATTACTTAGACATTATATTTTGTACAGTATATATTTATGGTATCAATAAATACAAAATCAATTTGATATATTTTTAACTATAATATTGTTCTTATTTCGCTTTAATGTAATCAACAGCACATCACAACTTGATTTATTAAGAAAAATTTGCTGTTTATGCGTACAATCGGTGTGAAAGATTGTTTCCTTCAACATTTCAGCACAATAAACTAAGACGCCTTAGTATAAGTGGCATTCGTATAAACTATTCCACACAAAACAATAATTTTATTTTTCAAACATTAAGGGAAAAATTTTAAAGTTTTTCACTTCTTAATTTTTATTTAATTTCACATTTTACTTTCTTTAAAACACACAAATTTTTCTAATGCCCTACAACAAATAATGGAGAAATTACCGACTTTGGGGTTGCCAAGGTTGCCTGTATTGCTTACAGGTTTGCTTGAACAGCAGTATATACTCAGAAATAAATAAATTCATGTAGGAATTTATTGATTTAAAAAATTGATTCATAGCATGATAATGTATAATTGGATTATTTTTTAACCATATCAAAATTAATATTGCTGGTAAATACATAGAATTGTTTTTTTTTTTTAAAGCGCAAGAAGCACTCAAATAGTATTATAGATGAAATGTATCGATGATCGATAACTAATTAGCATAACTATTTTATGTGACAACAAATTATTTTGGTCTACATCGATAGTTGGGATAGAAGTTTTAACATATAAATTATGGTGTAATTTGAATTGAATGAACTTTTTATTGTGATTTTAGGCAATTTACGGAATCTTTGCTGAATGTTGGACTTACGAACAAGCTTTTTTTTACCAATGTGAATGTGTTCAAAAAGTGGAAAATGTAACTGCATTAGCCAAAGCGTGGCCAGGGTCAGATCAGAACATTCTCGGATCATGATAAAGCTATTAGTAGTGCATTTTTTTTATAATAATTATTATTTGAAATACTTGTTGTGAACATTTATATTGTAATTACCATGTGAATTAATAAAGCAAATTATACATAATATTGTATGGGATTAACTAGCAATTGTTTATACATAAAAAGTAAATAAAGGTAAAAAATCATGATTAATATTTTTTCTTTTTTTCCACAGAGAAAAAGAAATCTAAAAATCACAACGATGAAGTTGTGCAAACGTTAAACAAGTCTATTGATGCCAAAATTCCTCTTCATGCAGGCAGCAAGGTTTATGTGTCCAAACATGATTTGGCTAAAATTTTTATTCCAAACGCTTGCATATATACTTCACGATTAAGTGAGCTGGTATTTGGTTCAGATGTGTTAGAGAATATATCGCGTTCGAATGCTAAACAACGACTTTTGATGCTGGATGAGAATTTACTCAAGTCTATTATTAGTAAGTATTCTGCTGCTTATATGGATAATCTGAAAATGAATATTATTTTTTCTTTAGCCCATGTAGTACAGGTTTTTTCAATGCGCGGAGAATCCATCGATGAGAACACGGTGCTTTCTTTTATACAGCACAAAATTAGGAACATTTCAAATGTAACTCCGGGAGCAGCTAAATTTAGTTCAAATGAGCGTAACTCACAGGCCAGCTCTTCATAAGATAAATTTGTTATAAATTTCATAATTTTGTAATATCAATAAAGCAATAAAGACCTAAATTTTTGATGAGCACAACTTTATGGCAGGAAGTAGAGTTTACACAACTATTAGAATGCTTTTTTATGTTGATATTTGAGACTAACAGAATTTGCAAATTCTTTCACCTTTTCAGATTTAAAATATATTTATGAGGACAAAAACACGACAACATATTTGCAATACGCTACAACTCAGCGTGGGCGGGTTATGCTTGTCTACAATGGCTATCGTTATGTCGAAAATCGTCAGAGCCATAAAAATATATTTTGGCGTTGTTCACGTTACGTCAAGTATGGCTGCAGGGCAACAGTGGTGACGTCGAAATTACATGACGACGTATCGGCAGTTCGTGTGACTGGTGCACCTCATACCCATGATCAGGAAGTGAAGACTGATAACATTGTGGAAATATCACCTGACTTTATTGATGAATCAAAAGGAAACCTGTTACGAATGGTTTCACTATTTACTGATCTTAAATAGAGAATTTAGACATATTGTTAATAATAAATAGAGCTCCTAATCTAATTAATTTATTATTTGTATAAGTGAAATAGATTAATCATCAAAATTAAATAAATGCGACAAAGGAATTAATCTGTTACCATTTCATAAATAGTAAAATGCAATTATAAAATAAAATTAAGTTGTTGTTAAGTGTTTTATAGATTTAAAAATGTGTATTCCAAAGGAATGTAATGAAATCAAATAAGGGATTTATATTGATATACTTTTACTAATTTAATATTGTTTGTTCTAATTTAATTCCAGTAAAAAAGCCGTTAGCGCTACCAAAAATTTTGGATGGAAAATTTTATAAGGACGTTCAACCAAATCGTAAGACCATTGGGGGAATTCAAGCAACATGCACGACTTGTTTGGGTATGATATCAGGAACTGCTAAGTCTACAGGCAACTTTCTTAGCCATATTAAGAGACGTCATAAGGATATTCTATCTAGTTGTCAAATATATTGTCAAACAAAAACACAGAATTTGACCACTACTATTTCCAGTGGTTGTAGTGAAGGTTCAGAGAGTATTAAAGCTGAACTAGGCGAAAGAGAAAATCGTCAGTTAGCATTAAATGTACCGTTGTACACTGGTTTATCAGCCCAAGCTCAATTTCAAGCATTTTTATGTCAGAAATCATTGCCAGTTGTGTCTAAGAGCATCGTGACAACAGCTGCTACAACTATGCCATATGGCAATATAAAAGCAAACATACCAATAAGCGGATGCTTCATTAATAAACAATAGAATAATTAACAATATTCATTCATGCAAATTGACCGTCATGTACATATAAATAAAAATGTATAGGAGTAAAAGGAGCATCAATGACAAATTGCTAGGAATTAATTAATTATAGAAAAGAATAATTATCGCGAATGAAATTTTTTCACTTTCTTTAAAAATACTAAATTGGAGTTTTTCAACTTTTTAATGTATTGTATGATTTTAGCCCGTGTCTTTTTTGTGCGAATATATACACTCAAATTTTTTAAACAGCATAACATAGGGTTTTGATTAAGTATATATACATATGCGCGAAAAAAACACGGCTAATATATATAATTAATAATATTATATATTATAATACATTAGGGAAATATATTATCGAGTGATTGCTTTATTACGTAAACTTAATAGTTCTTATTTGTAAGGAACCTATATAAGTTTTATGTGTATTATATATGTATTCATTTTAGCAACTAAAATTTTTATTTTAATTATAATACTATATTTCAGCAACTAATAAATGATATGGTTTAACTAACCAAACAAATCAGACAATCTTGTTAGCTGAAGAATGGAAGGTTTAAATAAAAGCATAATAAAAAGAAATTCATTACATACTATAATTAACCTAACGTGTAAAATTATTTTAAATTGACTAATGGGAAGTTTTTTGGACTGCTTCTAGTTTAAAAACAACGATATTATAAATAGATCTAAATAATATTAATTTCTTAAATGTTTATTGGATATTATTAGAAGGATCTCGCAGTCTATAAAATACATATGTATATGTACATAAATTATTCTATCATACCTATCCTAACGAGGTACCTCATATTTACACATACATACATATATACATACGTGTATGTATGAATATTGACAAACAAATGAATGAACGTATTTTAACTTGTCAGTGGAATCGCATTACATTGTAATTTTCCGACATTTTGACCTATGGAACTAAACTTTTTATAAATTAACAAACCCGCTCGCCTTGCAACGGCAATCCGTTGTCCATCACCCATGTGATTGTGTACATCTTTAAAAAATGAATTATTCACATCTATTGGATCACAGACTAAAAAAATTAAAGTATTTACCATTCGTTACGTAGAGGTCATCACCTATTGTCTTCAAACGGCTTCGACACTTTTTGGAACGATTGTGTATACACTCCCAATATACTTTATCACTATTTCTTCCAAATCTTTTTAAATTTGAGCGATAAATAAAATCGTTTATTGCTAAAAGTGTTCCACCTTTACGGCTGTAAATAAACATTTGTGGCCCACAGTTTCGTACATGTTGCATTATTACTGTAAATAAATTTTACAAAGTTATAGATTAGTTATAATTTCTTTAAGTTATTAACTTCTACACCACAATTTCTTGTCCTGTTAAAACTCGCAAGATTTACAAATAGGTTCTCACATATTTTTTATCATATTTATTGTAAATTTGAGTAACACTGTACTACACTAAAGGCACTTTATGATTATGATTATAATCAAATTTTCTGTGTACATGTATATGTATATTCAAATGAAAAATTATATTAATATATGTATGGATTTATGTTGACCAAATCGATTAATACATCATTTCTTTTTGCCTAAGAGCGCTTTCTGTAGGCGTCGCTTTATTTTCTCTCGGAAATCATTAGTGTCTGAGGGAACCGCGTCATTATCGTCTTTTGGCTCAGTCAAAAACTCCTGCGAATCATCGAACTCCAATGCTTGCAGTTGATTGGTTTGCACCGAGTCCGTTACCTGTATTTCATACTCATCAAACGTATCATTTTGTTCAAGTTCCTTGCTATCATCATCTAATTGGCCATCTGGTTCAAATGTCATAGAGGTTACACTCCTATCTGTGGCCTGCATGAAATGAACATGTTCTCCGTCTAACGGAAAAACGCGCTTTTGATCAGTGACAACACGTACTTTACACTCTTGCATATTTTCTTTGTAACAACATTGGAAAATGGAATATGTGCCCCGACGGAATGTAAAACGAAAATGGTGCCCTTCGTATATAAGTTTCATTCCTCCCTTGGTAGTTGAAGCGTACAAAGCAGGTTCGCCATGTCCACGTTGAACAGCAGCCAATACCTTGTCCACCAGTTTTTCATCTTTTTTGGGTTGTTTAGGTCGCCGTCCACGCTTTAGTCTCGGTGGTAAAGTGTCCAGCAAAGTCGAGCCCGACGCCAAAGAACCTGTAGATCGCACGATTGCTGTAATTTTCAAGGTAAATAGTATTTAGTTTTTAATCGCACTGTGATGTAAGCAATATATATTAAACTAAAAATAAAATAAAACAACAAAATTCACAATTGTGAAGATTATTTAGAGAATTTATTTAATTTTTGTTAAGGATGGGTAAATGGACTTTTTGTTTTTGTCACGCGTCATTTAGTCAATGCAAACGCAGAGTTGAATTTTATATTATTTTTACTCTTAAATTTTTCATTATAAGTTTTTTGAGCTAAATTGCATAAAAAACTTTATATAGTTTTTATATATAACCGCTTTTATAGGTAGTTGACTGTTAAGATTTTTATTAAATTTTATAAAATTAAGAAAACTATATATATATTCCTACATATATGTATAAATATATGTATATATCTATATAAACGTAAAAGCTGATGCTTTCACAGCCCTAATTGGAAAACTTGTTTTATTTTGTGCCTTTTACAATGTAATTCTGTTTTAAGTTACTAGAAGAACTGTAAAGACTATTTTTAATAAAGAAGGAGATTGGTCCGCCGCGGCAACCCTTAAATTTTCAAAAGAAAAGCATACCTGTAGTTCGAAACGCCATTTTGAAGTTAATCGTTTCGCAATTGTCGCTTGATATTTCGCCGTATTTTTCGGAGCTAATAAAAGTACAGAATTTTGTGTTATTCATTTTTATTTCTATTAAACAATTTAAACAATAACAAATTATCTATGTGTTTTAGTATGCAATTTGTGTCTTATAATTATTAATATTTCTTTGTGTAGTGATATTGATTAATGTCTGATGAAGTGTTATGTGTAATAAAAGTTTCGTGCTGACGAGTTTAACGTAGCTAATCGAGTAATGTATATTGGAGAAAAATACAATAATTCACTTTCAACTCAAAAAATGATTAACGTAAAACAACATTATTCTTTCAAGTGGAATGATGAACACATTACAATATCATTCGAAAATGGCTGATTTCTTAATTTTTAATTAAAGTGAGTAATATTTTTGCTATTTTAAGAAGGTTATGAAAACATTCACAGTGTACACACAGCATATACACGAACATATATTTTTAATGTTTTTACCCTATAAATTTACGTAGATAGGAATTAATGTATGATTTAATAATGACTTCATTTTATTTTTAACTGATGGTAAGAGTTTAGTGTATATACGCGTAATATCAATATCCATGTGGGTTACATGTGCTACGTTAAAGCATAGGGACTTGTCATATGTAAATTCCACCCGCCTAGTTATGACTATCTAAAAATAAAATAATATTACTTGCATATGTTCAGTACTTTATTGTGAATAATTGATGCGTTATTTTTATTATAATATATGAGATAATTTGGTACCTAAATACAAACAGAATAAGCCCTGGAGTACGGCACCTTCGTCATAACACAAGCGGTGTAGGGGCTCGACAATTTTCCCGCGGTAAGGATTCCTATCCTAAGAGGCGACTAAAATCCTAAAGTTCCCACGACTGTCTGGTTGTTATACCGTAACAACCCCATTTTTATCCTGTTATGGAATGTCATCATTCCCCAGAAACTAATTTTTATTTTTGATAACCAATAACAACATGACCTTCGTCTCAATTCCAAATTTTAAATGCATGCCTTTATATTACATTAAGAATAATAATAAAATATATGTCGATAGCTCAAATCTGAATGTGAATCATTTTAATGAACGGGATCAGCAGAAAGCAATGTAGTAGTAGGCAATCAAGAACGAACAACAAAGATGTTTTATCAAAAGACGAACATGGGCAGTTCTCATAAAACTTCTTAAATTAAACTAAACTGTTTCAGCGAAGATAAGTGAAGGAAGTAGCCCATACGAACGAAAAAAAAAATCCAGCCAATTGAACCTTAAATAATATTATTAAGAACCAGTTTCTGCATGCTAATCTAAACAATAACTTCCCGAAGAGAAAAAAACTTTCTGTTAATTTAAGCAAAAAGTCTTTTATGTACCGAAATCCTGTTCCCGGAGCCACCTATGTACCAAATTTGAAGTAAATCGAACTAAAAGTAAAATTTTTTCGAATAGGTCAGTTTTCGGTCCACTGTTATTCTACAAAAAAAAAAAAAAAAAAAAAAAAAAAAAAATTTTTTTTTTAATGGAGGCCCCAGTCCACTTTTCGGAGTGAACTGTAGTCTTCCTGTTAATTTACACAAAAAAAACTCTTACGTACCGAATTTCATATAATTTGAACTAAAAAAAATGTGTGAAAAATAGGTGTTAGTCGATTCTTAGATCTACTGAATATGCACCTAAAATTTCATTAAAATCGGCCAAATAGGAGTATCGTGTCTAACACTGTGACACGAGAATTTTATATATTAGATATATTAATTTATATATAGTGAAAAACTAACTCCACAGTGTTTACCGTACCTATTCTTTAATAGTTATTTGCGATTATCGACCGAGAGACCTGAAGTTTCTTCTAATCCGTCCCCAAATGGTTGACGAATTTTTACGAGGAGTTTTCAGTTCATGTTAAAAATAAAATGGATCCGAATGGATGCACACACTGCTACCCACTCGGCTAATTATGTAGTAGATGTACTTAAGTGGAGCTTAATTGTGACAATCCCTGGCCGAATAAAAATCACGGTCGTTCCGGTATAAAGACCCGACTGTCGCGGTAAATATTGGATTTTAGTCGCCTCATACCCGCTTTTAATTAAGATTGTTAATTTTTTTCACAAAAAAATCATTTGATTAATTGAAAGAAAAGAGTAATGAGCGCTGATACAAACTGTACATACGCTGGAATTAAAATGAAATTGGGAAGATGAAAATTATCAATACTGGTTAAAAAAAATAGGGAAGCGTTAAATTGAATACCACTCTGACTGGAGAGGATTTTATATATTTCCTCAAATATTATATTACGAATTTAATAAATTTTACACTCCACAATTGTTCTTTAAAACAAAGCAAGGAAAAAATGACGTTCAAATAAGATATATTATTTCTTTCATTACTTAAACGTTTAAAAATTTTCAATAATTCTGTACACATTTTAAAAAGTTTAATTAATGTTTAAAAGTACACTGGGTATAATACCACAAGTGTCGGGCAAAAATACTGGTTTCATTTGATTTCTCGATATAATCTAGTTTTTATTTGATCGTGACCATTCAACGTTGAGTTATATAATCAAATTTGTACTATGACAAATCCAGCACCGACAGGTTATCGCGCAATACAAGGTTTCGTTTGCTACTTATGTTCACTGGTATTGTTTGCATTTTATATGTTTTGGGCACTGGCACCATTGGAATGGTTGGGCTTAGATTATTTTCCGGACAAATATTTAGCACTATCTTTATCCAACGTCTCATCCGTCGTTTTGGTTATGATATTGTATGTTTTCTATCCTGCGATTAACTTGGCGTTGACACCGGATGTAGATGCGATCGCAACAGTTGTGGATGTTAAGTTATTACAAGGAGGAGATAAGACCAAACTGGCACATGATGATTGGGCAGCAATACAACGTTTGGAGATTGATCAACGCAACAGATCGAGGATCACAGTAATGAGCAATAATGTTGAGGAACGTTGTAACTTTTGTACTGATGTACATCATCATAATTTAAATGTCGATAATAACATAACCACACTATATCACCTCGACTTGGCGGAAATAAATCGTTTGTTTTATGACTAAATGAGTTACAGGCGGCAAAAAAATCATTTCAATTTGTAAATTTACATACATATCTAATTAGGTTTGTAGCTTTGTATAGAAAAAATATATACGTAATAAAAAAATTAATAATTTAAAAAAAAAAAAAACTTATTTTATTTTTTTTTTACTAATGAAAAAACTATTTTGAATGTATCAACATAAGATCCTTGCTGTACTTCGTTTCAGATACATTCACCGAATATGACATCAATGATCTCGAATTCATCTACAGTCAACGTGGACATCCATTAATTGTCCTCAACCGCTTTTTATTTCGAAAGAATCGTAGTCGTTATTGGCGTTGTTTACGCTGTACTAAATATAAATGTAGAGCCCGTTTAATTTGTTCATCAAAAAGAATTGTACGGCTTTTTGGCGTACATACACATGGAGAGGAGTCAGAGAAAATCGACTGCGGTCGCCGGTTACGAGGTGAATTGAAAACGAGCGATCTTAACGAAGGTGATCTATATTCGAAACTGAGGCTAATAAAACGACATCCACTTTCCACGACGGCTGATTATAGTGGACCGAATGAGTCTATATTAGAATCTTTAGCGCCCAAAGCTAATTCTGACGAAAATGTTAAAACCGATCTATATATGGAAATATCACCGCAATATGTTAATAACTGTTTACAATTTCGACTTATCGATAAATAAAAGTTCATTTTAAAATAAATTTAATAGTTTTTTTTTTGTAAAATGAAACCTAAGCTGTTACTCAACCACTTTAAACATATAGGCATAAAAAATATATGATATACCAACATTTGTGCATACTAAAATATTTTATAAATTCTCTTCTTAATTGTAGCGCGTTTAGAGTCCGGCAATGATGAAAATTCGCTACAGAAAAATAGTACTGTCACTCACACAATGCCATTTCCATTGGGTGTTTGGTTAGAAAATCAACAAGTATTTTATATGCGCAATCAAAAACAAGGCTATAATCTAATTTTCAACGGATATATGTATAAGAAAGAAGCCAGCTTTCGTTCCACCATAAATTGGATTTGTTCCAGAGGTAATGGACGACGTGTATCGGACAACAAATGTACAGCACGCTGCATCACCAAGTTGGATGGTTCGATAAAATTGGGTAAACATCCGCATAATCACTCGCCCAAGTTTAACCCAGAATCAATGCCGGCAAAAGCTTTGCCTGGAGCAGAGTTCACATTGACATTATAAATAAAGAATGTAGGCATTCATCCAATCATTTACAGTTTAGAAGATATATATATATATATATAGACTAATATAGGCTTTTTAAAGTATTAACATTTAGTTATATTCATTAGTGCCATTAAATCGATTTCTGAACAAATGAAAATATTTATATATTTATTAAGGAATGGTGAAAGAGCAGAATAATAAATACACACATACATATACTGCTAGTTACATATAGTTCATAAGTATAATAATAGCTAATGATAATTAAAAGAAAAAAAAAAAAAAAAAAAAAAAAAAAAAAAAAAAAAAAAAAAAAAAAAAAAAAAAAAAAAAAANCAAAAAAAAAATATAAAAAAAAAATTAAAAAAAAATATAAAAAAAATAAAAAAATAAAAGTTAAAAAAATTAAAATAAAATAAAAAAATATAAATAAAATAAAAAAAATTAAAAAAACATAAATAAAATAAAAAAAAAATTAAAAAAAATAAAAAATACAACAAATAAAAAAATTACAAAAAATAAAAAATACAACAAATTAAAAAATTACAAAAAATAAAAAATAAAAAAAATTAAAAAATAAAAGAAATTTGAAAAAGTAAAAATGTAAAAAATATATAAAAAAATATATAAAAAATATTTAAAAAAATATAAAAGAAATATATAAAAAAATATAAAAAAATATATATAAAAAATATTAAAAAATATATATAAAAAATATTAAAAAATAAATAAAAAAAAATATAAAAAAATATATAAAAAAAATATAAAAAAATATAAAAAAATATATAAAGAATTATAAAAAATATAGAAAAATAAAAAAAATATATGTATATAAAAATATAGAAGAAACTTTTACCCTAAAAAATAGATTTAGACTACGAATCTTATTCATCGAATTATTATTTTTTGCTACTGAAATAATCCTTTTTGTACGGCTCTGTAATAATGTTTAAGCTAAAAAAATATATTAGAAAATTATTTTTCGGAAACCAATTGAGCAATGCTGAGAATTAGTTTTTACTAACCGATAATAAGATACTAGGCTTTGAAATTTGGTAATATTTATATACTCACAAACTATATTTAAGTTGCATAAAAAAAAAACTATACAACTATTTTAATTTAATATTTCTGTCTTGTCTTTTTAGCTACAATTATAACGGAAAATAATTTTAAATATATTATACTCAAAGGTGTAAGATATAAATTGTTACGATCTCAAGCATTTAAAAGCCATTGGTATTGTACCACATCTAACTGCCCCGCCTACATAACCATTGATGAACTAAAAGGTGGTCTACTTTTGATTGGATCTACCCACACTCTTGCCTGCAGGGAGAAATACTCCATTGCGCAATATTTATAAAACTTACATGAATTCTTTATAATATTTAATTTATAAATCCTAAGTATTATTAGCACACAACATATCTGTTCAAAATAAATACAAAATGCATTGAAGCATTTTTATTAAAGTACAAATTTTTGTAAACATATACATGTGGCTGTTTATTTTACACCAATCACGTTTTAAATTCAACAATAATTTTTTTCTTTTCTTTTAACTAATACTTTTCCTTGCAACTCTTTCACTTTCAGATAAAGATATTTATGAAGAAGAAGTCTATTTGCATGCGAACCTAATAGATGAACCCATCGATCGACCAGCTATTCAACCCATGCACGCACATAATCCCTTTGAGGGACCCGTTTTTGTGGTTAGCAAGTATGGCACTAAACAATTGGTGCTAAAGCAGCATACATTCAATCGTCATGTCTGCCGGGAAGAAGTTACGTACTGGCGTTGCAGCCAGTTTGCAGTATTACGTTGCCGTGCGCGTATCAAAACTAAGGGCAACACTTTAACCGTGTTGAATAGTGAACATAACCATGAAGTTATTACAAAAGCACGAAAATATGGATCGCTTAAAGCTGCAGCAGCTGCAGCTGCCGCGGCGAATAACAGCCCAACTATTGCTGCTAGCAAAGTAAATCTTTCCAATACTGGCGAGTCAATAACATATGGCAAAGCGTCATATAGTTTATCAGCTGTTGATAGAGCTGGAGTTGTAACCACAGTTAACATTGCACCGTAAAAACTGTCAAAGAAGGTGTAGAAAATATTTAGCACTGTTAATTTTGAATTTAAGAAGTTCTTCTTCAATTTATGTTATGTTTAGACCTTTTAATAATAATATACACTTATAAAAAATAGTAATAGTAAAAAAAAACAACAAGTACTATATGTGAAAGTCGAATGGAAGCAATAAAAAAATTTTCCAAAAAGCAAAAAATTTATGTATAATAATTCTAGCTAGATACGAGTACAAATTAATCTAATCTACAAAATATTTAAAATATAGATCCATTTGAAATTTTCTGTAAACTTTAATTTATACTTAATGTAGTAATATACATATATATACTAATCGTATATATTTTTGTTTCATCTCCTTCTATTCTCTTTGTAGCCCGCTCGACAGTTAATTACTTTTCATATATAACTGGTTTCCGTGGAAGTCGCAAGCTAAAAGTTGGCGATTATAGCTTTACGCGTAACAAGTCTTCGGGTGCCAAAACTTACTGGTCCTGCGCACGTGCCGGTATCCATAAATGTAAAGCCCGCGTAGTAACAATAGATGAGGACTGCCGACATGACGTCATCGTTAAATGCGAGCAACATAATCATCCGCCATTTTAAACATCACGGGAGAGCAGGCGAATGATTTTATAAATCATGAGACGATGTGAAAAATGGTTTTATAAAAACTTTAGTTAAACTGAATTAATTTATTTTAAATTAGTTTCATTAGTTAAAAAATGCAAATAAACTAAACACGTTTAGTATATTAAAAAGGAAGAACTATTAAAAAAAAAAGAATAATTTTCCCAAAAATTGATTAAATAATCGAAGTCAATGGCATTATTATTTTATGTATGTATTTGGCAAATTTGTACAGTGATATACTAAATCATAAAACCAACTAACCAACCAAATTTTGAACTAAAAAACTACGTTTTACCTATTCCAGCGGGGCTAGCACAAACAGGTGTAAGAGAGAGTTTACTTTCGTTCACCATGGGCCAACGTGGTTGTACTCTGCTGGCATTTAAGAGTTACAATTATGTACGAAATCGATGTACGGGCCAGAGGACTTACTGGATATGTGCAAAGAAGGTAAGTTTTTACATTTTCGAAATTGCATGTCATTTCTGAATTTACTTTTTAATTCCAATTATTTTTTTAATTAATTACTTATCATTACTCTTCTTTCCGCACAGGGCAGCACAAAATGTAATGCACGTGTTGTCACCGATGTGGTAGATGGTGTTGAGAAAATCGTTTTGGAGTCGTGCCGTCATAATCATGCACAAAAAGTCGCGCGCAAGAAGCGCAAAACATCAACAGAACAAACACCGAATACAATATTAATAGAAAAATCAGGAAAATATGTGCAAGTACAACTAAAGGACGGCACAAAGTGTAATATCGTGGAAGACAGCGATTACACTTGCTGAATTTAACAGTTTTTTGCGTTAAATTTAAATTATTCCAATGTATGTTAGATGACCAAATATTACTTTTAACCAAAAAATATATTTTATAATTCTCACACATTCATAAAATAGCTTATATTTCTGCCGAAGCGCATGCTCATACTAGTGCCCTTCCGGTATTGTATGTAACATCATAAAAAATTACTTTAATGTTTATAAATTAATTATTCGACTTTTACTGAGAGTTTACTATTACTAATTTTTACAGAAATCGCTACTTTCAGCACCGGTCAGCGAGGTTGCACTGTACTCATTTATGGCAATCAGAAATTCGTGAAAAATCGGAAGTCGAGTACGCGTACATATTGGATATGCTCGAAAAAGGCAAAC